CCTATTTCGACAAGGAAACCGCTCATGCTTATGAATTTCCTTTAGACTGTGTTCGTGACGACGTCGTCGAAGAACCCCCTCAAGTTAGCATACATGGGTCTGCTCATGAACGAAATCTTTTGTTTCAGAAGATGGCTGCTTGTGGTCGCTTGGTGCCTCTGACCGTTGATGATGTACGTCCTGGGCTCGAGTGTGGCCTTTTTTGTGTTCCCAAAGATCTGGACAGAGATCGTTTAATCTTAGATGCCAGACCCCCAAATACGGTTGAAAAGATGTTGAACACGTGGACAAAGACCATGAGCAGCAGCACTTGTCTTTCCAGCATTGAGCTTGAAGAGTCACAGTGCCTTATCATGAGTGGCAGGGACATTCGTGACTACTTTTACCAGTTCTCTGTTTCCCCGCAGCGATGTCGCCGCAACTACTTGGCCGGTAGGCTGGAGCCCGAGGACCTTGAGTTCATCTTCGGGAAGAAGTTCACGGAAGCTGGCTACGTTGGCCTGTCCACTTTGGCTATGGGCGATTTGAACGCCTGTGAGTTTGCACAGGGGTCCCACATCAAGCTGGTCATGTCCTGTGGAGGAGCCGCGATGGAGGAGATCCTGATGATGCACCAACCTAGCCCTAGAGGGTTGCTTAGTGTCGGGGTTGTGATAGATGACCTCGTTTGTCTGGAGAAGGTGCTTGCGTCTGACGTCAAAAATGGTGCATATATGGGTGCTTCTCTTTTGGACGAGCGGATGGAGCGGATCATGGCCAAGTACGAAGAGGTTGGGCTGCCTACTAACGAGAAGAAGGCCTTCGACAACAGTTTGAGCAGTTCTTTTTGGGGAGTCCAGGTTGATGGGTTGAAAGGGCTCGTACGTGCCAATGAAACCAGGCTGTGGCCTTTGCTGCTCATCACCGTGCGCGTGTGCGCATTGGGGCTTTCTACGGTGGGATTGCTCCGTTCTCTGGCCGGGTCCTATATTTCTATACTGTCGCTGAGACGCAGACTCTTGTCCACCATGAACCTTGTCTTTGATGCCATAGCAGCGTCCAGCTCCGACAGACAAGTCCTTAGGCTTTCTGGAGCCCTCATTGATGAGCTCTTCACCATGATGATTTTGAGCAGTTTGTCTGTGGTGAATTTGAGGGCCAAGACAGTTGGAGTTCTCCACGCGACTGATGCTTCAGATTGGGGCATGGCCGCCGTGGCTGGTGCGATCCCCGTGCAAGTTGCCCGAGAGGCAATGAGGTTGAGTCTCAGCAAGAGCTGCTGGACAAAGCTCCTTCCCCCGAGCAAAGCCTGGCTGCGTAGCAAAGAACTTTTGGAAATGGAAGATGAGCTACCTGGAGGTGACGTTTACGATGTTCACCCCTTTTGGGAATCTTTGGCTCGAGCTGTGCCCTACCAGGAGCAATGGAGGCGGAAGCACCCAAAGCCGGTGCATGTGAACATTGGTGAGCTTCGTGCGCACCTTATTGAAGAAGGTCGCATCGGGGCAAAGCAGCTGAGCGTGCGGGTGCCCTATGCCTTGGACTCGCAGGTGGCGTTGGGAAGCTTGGTCAAGGGCAGAGCTTCTTCAAAGGCTTTGAACTCTGAGCTGCTGAGGAGTGTTCCTACTATGCTTGGCTCTGATCTTTATGGTGGCTATGGTTTTTGGCCTTCGAAACTGAACAGAGCCGACGGGCCCACCAGAGACGCTGAGCCTGACGCTCCTGATGCAGATGTCCCCTGGTGGTGGAATGATGTCAGCAGCGGCCTCTTTGACCGGTTTGACTCTTGGCTGAAGGAAGTGGAGTGTATGGTGGCCCCGTCTCGTTGTCCAGAGCTGACTTCTGTTGGGGATCATGTGGAATTGAGAACGGGACGTGCCCTCCGAGCCATCACACGGCAGAGGCGGAGACGCTCTTGCGAGATTGGTGGGGCGGTGACGCCTGTTTGTGAGGGAAGCCGTTTGGATGCTGAGGCTTTGTCTATCCTTTGCAGCTTTCCTTTGCAGCAGTTCCTCTTTGCCAATGGGGCTTGCGAGTTTTTGGAGCCGGGCGCTTTGGATTTGTACAGTGGCAAGGGAGGAGTGGCTCGTGCTCTGGCTGAAGGAGGTTGCCCATGGGTCTTGACCTTTGAGATCAACCGAGGTGAAAGTGAGAATGTCCTTCTGGCTTCCAACAAAGAGAAAATCACCAGATTGGTGATTCTTCGAGCTGTCAAGCTGGTTGGGTCGGCTATGGTATGCAAATCCTTCTCCCGTGCTGTCACTCCTGCGGTCCGCACTTTGCAATATCCGCGGGGGGTGCCTTGGATGACCTTGAACATGAAGGAGAAGGTGAAGGAGGGAAATGAGATGGCCGATTTCGGCGCTGATCTGCACGAGCTGTGCGAGAAGAGTCTGGATGATGCTGAGAGTGCTGATGTTTTCTTCTGGACTGAAAACCCTGACTCCTCCCACGTATGGGGACAGCGGAAGTACAGAAAATATAGAGACCCCAGGTCTCAGCATGTGTTCAGGGCGGACTATTGCCGATTTGGCACCAAATGGAGAAAAAGAACGAGAGTGGCAACAAACCTCCCAAAGTTGAAGGGAGTGCGCATGATGTGCATGTGCTCCAGGGGGCATCAGCAGCTGCGTGGTCAGCACCCCACGTTGAAGATCCCCTGGACTTTGGTTGCGCAGCCGTATCCTCGTGGTTTCAGTCGGATGATTGCCTCGGCCGCTTTGGATGCATGCGGCTGGAGCAAACAGGGCAGTGGAAAGTTCAACATAGCTGGGTGCGCCAAGTGCTCCTCCATGCGTATCGGAGAAGCTGATCACCCTGGACCTCGCAAGGTGGCCCATCCACGTGGCTTCTCCCTTGAAGAAGCTCCTGTGCAGACTTGGAGCAGCATCCGCCTTGGTGACCAGCAATGGGAGAAGTTCCTGGCTTGGTGCTATCAGTACGTGGAGTCCGACGTCTTGGCTATTTTCCTGGCTGTGCCGATCTTTCTGGCCTATGCCGTTCGGCGCTTTGGAGATCTAGATTTTGTTCGTGGTGGGTCTCTGCTCTACTACCGGCATTTGATCCTGGTGGCCTTGCGGCGTGTTCCACAGCTGAAACCCTATGCTGGAATATGCTGGGATCTTGCCACTCGGTGGGAAAAGGCCGAGCCCACTACCCATCGAACTCCGGTGCCTGAGGTTCTGGTTGAAGCCATGATCGCCATAGCCTGGAGCATGAACTGGAAGCGATGGTGCGGCGCTCTCTTTTTGCTTTTCTGGCCTTTAGTGCGGGATGACTCTACAACGCTGTTCCAGCCTCGTCGTGGCTGCTATGGCTTTTTGTACTTTTCACCCATGTGCGCCTTTTCTGATGGCGGTAGAGGAACTTTGGTGCTGCTGCAAGCTCTTCATCGACCAGCCTGGGAGCACTACGCTATGGGCATCCTTTTGTTGCTGCGGAGCTCTTCTTTCTGGACTCCATCTACGTTGGCTACGTGATGCCCATGCTCTACGGCGAATCTCTTAGCTGCTACTTGCACCACCACCACCAAGCCATCCTGGCGCTGAGAAAAAGCGCCAGCTTGCATTTCTTGGCAGCGTCACTGTGAAGCTTTAACATGACCCCTCATGTTCAACTGCACTGTGGCTGCAGCTTTGTTGGCCCTGCCCTCCTCCCTGGCTAAGCCACGCTGGGTAGAGGAACTTTGGTGCTGCTGCAAGCTCTTCATCGACCAGCCTGGGAGCACTACGCTATGGGCATCCTTTTGTTGCTGCGGAGCTCTTCTTTCTGGACTCCATCTACGTTGGCTACGTGATGCCCATGCTCTACGGCGAATCTCTTAGCTGCTACTTGCACCACCACCACCAAGCCATCCTGGCGCTGAGAAAAAGCGCCAGCTTGCATTTCTTGGCAGCGTCACTGTGAAGCTTTAACATATATATATATGTAATACATTATATAATACATATACTATATAATTTTATTATAATATAATATAATACAATGTAATATAATATAATATTATATAATAACATATAATATGATAATTTAATATAATATAATATAATAATATAATATAATATAATATTATATAAATATAATGTAATGTAATATAATATAATAATATGTATATATATACATATTTTAGGATATATATATATACATTGTATATAATAATACATATTATATAATACAATATAATATAATATAATGCAATATAATATAATATAATATAATATGATATAATATAATATATACATATTTTAGGATATATATATAGATTGTATATAATAATACGTAATATATAATATTATATATAATATAATATTATAATATAATATATAGGATATAATTAGAAAAATAATTTAACCACATAATATAATAATAATATTGTATATATATAGATATATACGTAGTACAATATATTAATTTATATATAATGTTTTATAATGTAATATAATGTAATATAATATAATATACAATATATATAATATATATATGTTTTTAAAACAAATATAATATATAATATAATATATATAATGTATAAATATATAATGTATAAATATATATAATATATAATATATAACATATAATATATAATATACAATATATAATATATAATATATAATTTATAATTTATTTTTTTTATATTTTATTATATTATATTACATTATATTATATTTTATTATATTATATTAAATTATATTATTTTTTTTAAAAAATTATATTATATTATATCATATTATATTATATTATATTATATTATATTATATATATGCTTAGTCCAAGTATACACTCCTTTAAATTAACATAGACCCTGACAAATAGGGGGTTGGAAGATGACTTTTCAGTAAAACATGTCCATTTTCAGGGTCTATATTAATTTACTGGAGGGTATATATATATATACACACAGACTATCACTGGGTTATAGCTATGTACAATGTACTTCAACGATCGTATAAGTTATGTTTAAACCGAAAAAAAATTATCCAGTCAAGTGGGCATGGGCCTGGCTACTCATGTCACAACCTTCCGAGGCTCCTACAAGTGCAAGAGCAGGCAGTTCCCAGGTGCTGCTTTGGGGCACCGTAGGAGGGCCTTTTCTCCCTGGTTGGTCCACTGGTTGGTGGATTTTGGTGATTGCTCCGCTCCCCGTTGATTTTTGGGCCAATGATAGATCCGATACCACAGCATGGTTTTGCTTGGCGGGGTATTTAATATTTCATATTTGGGAGGAAGAGATTATCGACTTTCAATTTTTGGGGTTGGCCCAATCACCATCAAGGACCCATATTTTTTGGATGGGGTTGATAGCAACCAGAGAAAGGTACAGCCTTACAGTGGAAAATCCGACTTTCTGCCAAGTTTGGCAACGGCAGATCTGCGATGCTGGCCCGCAGATTTTATGGCCACGGCCCACAATTTTGTTCGATTCATAGAATTGGATGATGGGAACATTGAAACCGGACCCCCCCTATATTTTATGGTAAAAACCATGGTTTCCTGTAGATTTTCCCTTAAACCAATCCATTGATCGATCGATTTCTTAGATGTCTTGCACAGGTGTCTCTTCGGTCACTCTTCTTGTTTCCCATTTCTTGCGTTTCTTTTCCACACGCACCCGTTCCCCCCCGAAACCCCTTAAAAACACCGAGTCTCTCAGCACTTTGAAACATGGCCAGGCAGATCTCCTACTTTCAGTGTGTCAAACCGTACATCTCTTTGCTTTTTTACGTTGGCTATATCGCCCTCTGTGTGCTGGTGCCTCTCTCCACTGCCAACTTGGCGAGCTGTTCCTTGGTGAAACCTGTTGGGAAAATAAGTTTTGAACGGCAAGGATCTCCAAACCACCAAAAAAAAATGGGGTACAAAAATGCCACGAAAACCACATAAAACCACTGCATCATGGTGTGGATCCGTTACGCACTCGGTGGCCCCTTTCTTTTGAACCGGAGAGACTCCCGAGGTGACGAGGGCCTGCCTTGGGAAGTGCACATGCCATTCTTCTACTACTTCCTGTGCTTGAAGGTGCCAGGATCCAGTGTGCTGATTTGAGAGGCAACCCTTCTTGAAATAATGCTATGCTTCAGCTGGGCTTGGTTCAAAATGGGGAGATTAGTCGAGAAAATATGATGAACTCATATGAAATCAAGGACCACAAAAAATGATGTAAACCTGAAGTGGGGATCCTTTTGACCCGCGATGTTCAACCAATTCTGCTCCGAAAAAACTTGGGCAGATGATATTCAGATCCACCCCAGGCTTGGGAGGTTGCGGTGTACTCCTGTGATGACGTCACAGTGATAGGCGCTTGGATTGGGCGTTACGGGTGAGGACGCCGATGGTGTGAGTTGTGCCAGTTTCAGGCAGAAGATTCAGAGACCAATTTGCTAGTTGAGGTTGACTCAGGATCAATAAGCCCTATTTTACTTCTCCGGGGAACCAATTTTGGTGCTTGTTTCGCACTATTTTGGGGAGATCCCCTCAATTCATTCAATAATTGATAGTCAGGATCTACTTATCCGGGGTTGACATTGTACAGCATAACTTGATATACTATCTTAGATTCGCAGGCCGACCTGAGAACTTACGATGTCTGGCTGTGACTTGCTAAAGGCAGGTTGCAGAAGCCATTTCCAACTTGGCTTCATCGACCTTCTGGGGTGACCATTTTCAGGGGTAGCCATATGGAAAACCCGCGCAGCTTGTCATTGCAAGTGTAGATCTTGTACTTCGAGCCCGGTCCGCCATGATGACACGGCTTTGTCAGTCTCAAAATTGGGTATGGTACGCCTCATCCAAGCCCTACTTTTTGAATCTTTTGATGATATGATTTTCCCTTTCAAGCCATGTCAATCTTGGTCTATCTGGTGTGATTGTCCACAGGTATTCATATATCATTATCCGTAATTACCATACATCCATTATCCATAGATCCATATCATGAAATATCATTATCCATTATCCATGGGATTAGCATCATTCTCCAGAAAATCTTTGGATATCTTTGGCTTATCCCATGGGAAACCAGCATCAGTTTTTTGGGCGCCCCGGCGCCAAAAAGGTGACCTTACTCCGCTGCAATACCTCCAGACTTTTATGACCTCCTTTGTTGGGCTGGCAGATGGCCACTGGATGGGAAGGGGCCGAGGGGCCCGGGATAGAGATGTGAAAAACATGCGTTTAATATGGTTGAAGCATCAACATGGGATTTCATGGGATTTATACCAGATTTATCGAGCTGCGATGGGAAACAAATGATGGGATAGCCAAATGTGAAATAGCTATGGAAGCCATGGCCCATTTCGTGCGAAATTATCCAGACCTACAAGAAATGGTGATGTTCCAGAGCTAGATTGAATTACCAGAGGATGTATGGTCACAACAATTATCAGATGAACAACAAAGTCACCTTCATATGGTCGGAAGCATCGTTTTTTGGGGGGTTCGGAAGTGGTAGAACCTATGGACTCAGCAAAATTCAATGATCTACCCCCTGGTAATTTACCAATGTGCTGTTGAAAAGCACCATTTTGACATAGGGACGTATCATTTCTCTTTAAACGGGCCATGGCTTTTGCAAGCAACAAATTCGCTACCCGGGTCACTGCAACCATTTCCCATGTCACTCATGTAGTTTCGATGATTTTCTCATGAAACATCTCTATTTTTGTTGGAGCTTTCCATGGATTTCCCCAGGTTTGATGACCGAGGCTATACAGACGCGACGGCCATCGTCATTGCACGATCCTGCGGTTCACCGCTGTGGCGCTGGATGGCGTCGCTTGGTTGCAATGCGGTGGTGCTGTGCAGCTACAGCAGTCTACTTGGGGCATGGCTGAACCTGGAAGATCTGGAAGCAAGGTGATGGTCTAAAGATGTCGAAAGTACAGTGTTGTCTTTTGAAGTCAACATTGTTTGGTCAATGCGGATATCAAACAAGCATATAGCATATGATATTGCAGCACATGATGGTTTTCCATGACCTCCCATGTAACGTTTTTCAGCACAGAAGCTGTCTGCTTTCAGGCTGACATACGTCATTGGTGTTGTGGGCTGCCAATGGCTGCTGATGGGCGGAGCTACCTTGATTTTTGATCACTCCGGAGCTTGCTTTTACAAGAGCCTTGATAAATGCGTTGTCAGCGGAGTCAGCAGATTCTCTGGAAACATTTTCAAAACTACAGCCGGGGCACCATTTGCAGACCTGATTTTTGCATCTTCATCGTTTTTTCGGATATGTATTTCCGAAGGATAGTTCTCTTCCCAGCAGATTGGCTTGGGATGCTGAGGATTCTACATATGGACACCGTGGCATCATGCATTAGCATGAAGCCAGAGGATCAAAACGCCCTCATGGCTTGGCGATTGGTGAATTGGGTTCGATGTCTGGCTGAGGATTTGCCACAATGCTTCTTCCAGAGCCTCAGTTCGATTTGGGTCAGCAGTGGGAGGGACCCTAGGGATGCTTAGGGTATGATTATTTGGCAATGATTCAAAAGCTATCAAAAGCTGAGGGTCATTTTTTTTTATGGGCAACACTTAGAGTCGCAGATAAATCAGATAAGGTTTGACCAAAATTGGCTTGGTTTTCAAGAACGACATGGCCACTCTTATCATTGCTTCTGAACACTTTTTTGAGCCAGACTGCCAGACAGCAAGACCTATTAAAAGATCACCTCCCTGGGTGTTTTTGAGAGGTCATGGTGCACCGCTGGCAGAATCCAAGATCTTCTAAGGACTTTGTTTATTCTGACTGTGAAGAAGAATGGCATCATGCTGATCCTCGGCAGAGCACCGGCATGTCCTATCCCAGCTGGGACCAACATTTCAGAGGATTTACTGCTAGAGATGACCCAAAAACTACCCTCTGGTTATTTAACATAGCCATGACTACGTACCCAAAACCCCACCTTGCCATGACTTGCCATGAGGCTCTCTATTGCCATTGGTGCTTGCACATCCATCATGGCTGTCTACAACGCTGCGAAGCGGATGGCTGGAGCGATGGGAACCAGTTGGAATGTCCTCAAGGCCTAAGCAGATCAAAGAAACTGTAGCCAGGGATTGGTGACTGTACCCTCTGGTAATTTAACGTAGCTATTGAAAATGACCATTTATAGTGGATTTTCCCATTAAAAATGGTGATTTTCTATAGCTATGTTAAATTACCAGAGGGTACCATATTTTGCTGACTTCAACATCTCATGTCGAAGTTTTCTTTTCCGACATGATCCCTTTCAATTGAACGTAAATCCATCACCCTTGACTTTGGAGCGGCCAAAAATTTGCTGACCAGGTGAAGAGAGACATGAATCGTGCCATTGATAGCTGTGATATCGTGGCCTTCGAAAATGCGGCGGGTGCCGCTGGAAATCTGCAGGAACTGCATGGCACTGTGGCGCACGGCGAACGCATGCTGCGCTATTTGAGCGCCAAGCCTTGTCGGGTGCACATCGGTGCACCAGAGACACTTGGCCAATTTAGAACGCAAAGATTAGTGAAACGAACATACCAACAATATATATATGATTATATATGATATATTATATATTATATATTATATAAAATTATATATATATAGTCTCTTCATGTCTGTTTGAGGGATGTGAACATCAGGGAGTGACACATTTTAAATTTACCGGCGCGATTGAATAAGATCACCATTGAAGTCTGCCGTGTCTGCCGTGAGTCAACTCGCTGCAATCCCAAGGAATCCCGGTCTTCAGACTCACTTGGACACTCCCCAGAGCGAGGTGCACCGGGTGCGAGAAATCCCAGGCTTTTTTGGTTGAGATTCGGAGTTTCTTTTCCAACCACAGGATGATTGGTTTGTATATTGAAGTTGACTGTGGATGAATATCCCCTTATTTAATCACAATTTTTTATCCACAGGATAATATCCACAATGGTTAACATCACAATTTTTCAGGTCAATATCCCCTTGTGGATGAATATCTCCATTTGCTACAGCGTTGGCTGTCAGCCAGATCTGCATTGGTTACCGTCTCCAATGTGGTGGCTATCCCCGTTTTGGATCATTTGATGTCATTTTGGTAAGTGAAATTGGCATTTTTGTCGGGTCAAACCCTGAATGTGTTCATGATTGATGTTGAAGCAACCATTTTGTTGGTTAATTTCCCACTCTTGGTTGGGTTAAATCCCAATGTTGATTCGTTAGGAGACTTTTTTCCCCGGTCAATTCCCACATCTCAATTTCCGTTGAAGTCCCGTTTGGGTGAACTTCTACTTTTGCTGGTTAAATCAGGTACATTCCTAATTATTCGGTCGGTGAAAAAAACCACTCTGGGTTAGCGACAAAAAAAACAGTTTATATATACGTATATATATACTATAAAATATAGCATAATGTGTACATAGATATTATTATTATTATTATAAAGATATAAAATAATATACATATATACATAAATATTATATATGTATATAATTATATATATATATACATACATACATAACATGGTTCCCTCCTCTTTGAAACAAGAACAAGGGCCACGCAATGCCGCTCGTCGCTTTAGAACCGTCGCTCTTTCGAAACGTTGCTCGGCTAGTCAGGAGCACCTCTACAGCTCGCGGCGGCGGACCATGGAGGAGGCTTCCAAGGCGCATTGGGAATGGGGAAATTGTTCAATCGTAGTTAAATTGATTGGGAATTATGGCTATAAATTGAGATTGATTAAAACATATGGTTATCAATTGGGAATTGATTGGGAATTGATGGGAATTGATTGGGAATTGATTGGGACTTGATTGGGAATTGGGAATTTATTTATAAAAACTAGATCACCTTGGGAATTGATTGGGTGCAAGCTGCAGAAGGGGGCTAAATTGGAGCCTGTGAGAAATGGGTATCGCTAGGGTGCTGCAAATTTCATGAAGTTTCTCCCTCATTGGATGAAACAATCCTTGGTCCTTGATGTTGGGGGGTCGATACATCGTGAACACGTCTATTTTTGGAAACCTAAACTTACTGGTGCTTAGCAGGGAATGAGGGAATGATCCACAATAACTATCAATAATCATCCCATTCCCCCATTCCCATCCATTCCCTACTAAGCGCCAGTAAGTAAACTCCTTCAGAAATTGTCTAGAGCCTGAATTTTAACGTAAAGATTATCAGACTGCCTGAGTGTGATGAAATTTGGTCAAACAAATTGCACTTGCGCATCCTAGGTATGCTCGAAATGGTCAATTATTACATTCTCGATACAAACATACTAGTGCAATTTCCTGATGTTAAAAACAACAGACTTTCACCCATTGCACCGACAATCCATATTACATAACTGCTGTACCCTCTGCTCATCAAACTTCCCATCAAAATGACCACTAGCATTCTTCATATGAGATTTCCCAGCCATGTTTGATCAGTGGAGAGTATTTTTCATTTTTTTCAATACCATCCAATTAAGAAGAAGGTGACTTCCACATCCCAATATATCCGAACTAGTCACTACATCACCATCAATATCACCATCATAATCATTATATCCCCAATATATTACCATTATATCACCACGAACATCACCATGATATCCCCACAGAGGGTATGTTTTGCCATCGGCGATCCTCGGCAGGCCGCCCTCAGTCGTCAGAAGCGCATGGAGGCCCTAGAGGCTCCGAGCAGCAGCTCGGCGCGGCGACGTGGAGTGTGGCATGAGGCACGACACGTGGCCAAGGTGGGGAGGCTCAAAATGAAGCCTCTGTCTGTTTCTTTTTTTGGGGTTTGAACTTTTGAACTATTTTCGGTTGAGCTTTAGTTGAGGGTTAAGTTCAGGATTACATTTCATCAATCAAATTGTGAGAGCTGTGGACTCTGAAGCGGACCTCCAACTCTGCCAGGTCTACAACTCCCAGCGTCGCAGCGTGGAGTTTGCCATCACTGCTGCGCAGCAACGGGAAGAACGGCTGAATGCGCTGGTGAAGGCCATCCCCCAAAAGCCAACCAGCGAAGTCACCACAGGTTTCAATACTAAGTCATGGATAGTCATCTAATGACTTGGATGATTTGGGGGGTACCACCATGACTTCGGAAACCCTCCATTTAACGTCAACCCTAGATTCATAAAGCCTGACGCTGAATTTGGGGGGTTACCCCCCTCGATGACGAATTTTATGTCATGTTTTTGTCTTGCTGCGAAGACGATACATTGTTAAACATTGTTAAACTATTGTATTCCAATGACCTGTATGAATATATATATATATTTATTATCATATGAAACATGTTGTGTGCATGTACTGCGCGGTAAAAAAATCTCAGCTCTCTTCAGCTCGCTTCAGCTCTCTTGAGCTATTCTCAGCTTATTTCAGCTCTTCTCAGCCTATTTCAGCTCTTCTCAGCTTATTTCAGCTCTTGTCAGCTTATTTCAGCTCTTCTCAGCTCTTCTTAGCTCCTCTCAGCTCTTCTCAGCTTCTTTCAGATCTTCTCAGCTTTTTTCAACTCTTCGCAGCTCTTCTCGCAGCTTTTCTCAGATCTTTTCAGCTCTAGCCATTCTGAAGTTTCTTTCCTAAACTTCCTTTCATTATCGACACACCGAACCTCCATCCGCTTCCGAGGCGGGTCCCGGATGTTGCCACGGCGCCCTGCCGGCCGCGAGTCTCGGGAAGGGCAGACGTGCAGATGCCTCGTGGTGGAGCGACAAATGCCAGTCGGGCGAAATGATGAGGACCTCATGATTTTTCAGATGAAAGGTATGATATAATTACATAACTGGTTGGTGGTTTGGAACATCAATTTTATTTTTCCATATATTGGGAATAATAGTCCCAACTGACTTTCATATTTTTCAGAGGGATTGAAACCACCAACCAGATAATATTACATATAATTAGTATATTTGCAGAGGTTAAACATATTTACACATGAACTCCGTAAATCCCAGCTATTTTGCTGTGAAAAATGGCACCAGAGTTTTGATCCATCAAATCCCGCCGTCAAAAACACCAACCAGAACACCTGACGATTTACTCGGACCATATGCGTGCGAAAAGAGTGAAGAACATCGATTTCAACCAAAAAACACAATGAGTTACTACTTGTCCCTGGGCGTAGAAATTCGAGGACGTGGATTTGTAAGCTCTCTATATTTGGCCTGTAGATCATCACAAGCTCACAAGCGATCCAATAGCCAGGATGCAGTCGCAGGAGCTCATTTAGAGTGGTCTTAGGCTATCACTCACGCTCCGATCCATTCTCTATGACGCAGTTTTTTTCCGACCTCTGTTGACGGCTCATGGGCATAACGCCCAATCCAGCATTGCTTGAGGGTCTCAGGTCTGGCAAAGTCAGATTTGTAGGTCAAAGTTTGGCGTCTCGAACACGGGCAGTCGCCCCAGGGGGTGACTTTGGAGCACTTGCAAACGTACCCTCTGGTTTCATCCCACACGGTGGAAATGGAATATGTTCCATTTATAGTAATGTGGCAAAAACAATCATAAACCACCCATTTGGGAATGGTTTTTACCACCTATTTGTGGTGATGACTGGGGGATGGTTTATGATTGTTTTACCCACATTAGATGCCCATCTAGTTCGGACATTTCCCAGCTAGCACTTGGCTCCGCTCATGTTCGGGACTTTTGGCAGGCCTTGCCAGCAACCCCAAATGGGATGCTGATCTCGGGCCATCGGCAACGAGGATCCCCGATCCGCCAGTGTGCCAGAGACTTTTGATTCGAACAGGATGGTTCAGAATCTTCCTGGTTGCTGGTTTGGAAGATGATTGAGATATTTTTGTAATTTTCCATCCGAATTAGAAACCAATCGACTAATTGACCAATGATACCAGGTCGTTTTGGGTTGAAACCACCAACCAGAAGCTCAATCTTTCCTCTTTTTTTTCGAACTCAACTTGACAGTCCTTCGGTGACCGCCGTTCCTTCCGAACAAGGGCGGAGCGTTTGCCACGGAAGACTGGACATGTTTGGTTATCTTGAGCTCCACTCTTGCAGGATTGAAGGCTGTGCAAGGTGCAAGTTAATTATACAACATCCAGCAGTTGATGACATGAGTTTTCGATTCCCTGTACACATTCCATCAACTGCTGGTCTCGATTTGTTTAAGATATTGTCCCCGGACGCACGTTGTGGTTCTCTCACGAGCAGCTGTGACAACTGCAGTTCTGCTTGGTGTGTTCCATGGAGCCTACAACCGGCACTGTGAGTGCAAAAGTCTGTGGCTGAGGAGGGATGAATTCCACTGAAATGTCATAGACATATATGCTAATTTGAGCAGAGTCATGAGGCAAAAAGACAGCATTGTACTGTACAAAGTCGAGAATGAAATCAGGAGTTGACAAGGTTTTTCAGCACATCCATCACAATTTGTTTGAGTTCATTTCAGTTTGTGTTTGTTTTTATTGTTTTTGACTATCAATTACGATTACCGTCCAGTCATCGCAGATGTCTTGCTGGAAAATCAAGCAGCTATAGTTCGATGATTTTCGCTATCAACCCGAATTTAGTTCGGGGATTTCCCAGCTATGGGGCTGATTACCGAAGGGTAAACCATCAGATGTTCCATAAAATTAATTACTATTTACCCCATGATTGTTGGTTGAATCAACCATTAAGGTGGGTAAAACAATAATAAAACATGAAATATGGAGTTATCCCATGATTGTTGGTTGAATTCCCCCATTAATCACCATTATATAATCATCATTTACCCAAGGATCATCAACAGTTTGTTGGCTGATTGGCCGCCACAGGTGGTGTGCATGCCACCAACCAGTGAGGAGGCTGGGCCAACTCTGGAGTACCCCAGCTGGATGATCTGGGGGTACCTGACTTAGCAAACCTCCATATATGACAAGGTACCCTCCAGTAAACTAACGTAACTATGGAAAATCACCATTGTCAATGGGTAAATCCACTATAAATGGGCCATTTTCAATAGCTATGTCAAATTACCGGAGGGTACATACTATACATATATCTGGGTAAATTATAACGACCTCACTGCGACCGAGCCCTGGAATCATGGTTAGTAAGGGGACTCATCCCCAAAATTGCCCAAAATAGCCTTATTTCAGATTAGTGAATTATTGTAATTTACCCAGATATATAACTATATAATTACTGTGTATATATAATTTTATATGTAAGTGTATAATTATATATACACATAATTATATAATATTATATATATATACATAATTATATATATAATTGTATATAATTATATATATATACATAGTTATATATAAACATAATTATATATAATTATATACAATTATGTACAACTATGTATATATATAATTATATATAATTAATTATAATTATGTATATATATAATTATATATAATTATATAAATATAATTATGTATATATATATAATTATAAATAAACATATTATATACATACCTTCATGTAGAAAATAGATATCCCAACATTTGGGAACGTGAAACATGAACAACGTCTCAAACTTTCACAATTTCATATTTGAATCCTCCATTTTTTTCAGGCGATGTCAACCATTTTTGGTTCCATCATCTCTGGCTTCCTGGGACGTTTCAAGAGCCGGATGCTTGGGGGATGAGGATGTCGAGGTTTTGCAGTGAATTTACCACAAGAGAATCCATACTGATCCATACTATCTACTGCAAAAATTACTCAGTTTCCTTGGCCCAGCAAATCCAAGTATACCCAAACTATATTTCCCATTGCCTGCTGACCTTGCTATTTGAAACCCCAAATTTGGATTGGTTGAAAACCATCCAAAATCTGATTGATTGTGCTTGAAACGACGATTCTGTTGGTTCAAACCTTCCAGAATCCCGAAATTGTGGGTGAAGCCTTCAATTTTGCTTGGTTGGACACTCAACAGAATCCAACAGCACTGTTGGTTAATTCTAGAACCCCTCCAGTGGAGTGCAGAAATCCCAGGCCTCCTTTGGCCCTGAGGCGAAGTGCAAGGCTTAGCCAATGCCTCCGTCCAGGCGACCATTGACATCTACAACAAGCCTGGACCACAGCTGCGGGGATCGGCACAGGCCATTGGAGTTGTTAGTAAAACAAACTCGGATTCACCATCCCTTTGACCATTTTCGATGGATTTTCGATGGATTTTCGATGGATTATCACCATTTCATTGGGATTTTCACTGTGGATTTTCGATTTTTGTGGTTTCCAACGCTTCGCCTGAGGTGTGGAGATGAGTTGTTGCCGACTCCCACGAGGCCGCACTATACCTTCAACCTGCGCGACGTGTCCAAGGTCCAACCAGCCACTGCTTGGGATTTGGTTGGGGGCTTAACCGTTTAACCGTTTAACCCAACAACAACTGGGAAAAATGGTGAGTTAATCAACAACAATGGGGAACACTTGTGAGTTAACTAACAAACATGGGGAACTATCTGGAATACACAATATTTTTTTGGCCAGGGCACCCCAGATTCTGTTCATGTTTAGTATTCATCATCCAATTATATGGGTATCTAAGTTGGACCCATACCCATATGGGATATCATGGGATATCATGGGATAAGCGACTTACATGATATGAGTTTTGAGTGTGCCTGAAAATGATCAGTATATCATAGTGTATCCCCTATTTATGCTAATGTCATGGGGATATACCATGATCAACTGGTGGAATGTGACCCATAAACCACCAATATATAAATGGCATCTTTGGGGATGAAGTTCCATAAGTGTGATCGATTTTTGATGTAAAAATCCATGGTACTTGGCGAATCTTGGTGACCCGGTGACCAGTTGGCAGGTCTTCCAGGGACTGCTGATGGTCAAGGCGATGCATGTCGCAGCCTCAGATCCCTCAGCTCAACCGGGAACCATCCGGAGATCAAGCCTGGCTGGAACATGTCCGCAAAAAAAAAGGATGATTTTCCAAGTAAGACCTTTGGTTATGGGATTTTATGGGATATTATAGTGATTTAATGGGATTTTATAGTGATTTAATGGGATATTAATGGGATATACCCTCTGGTTATGAGTAACATAGCCATGGTTTTTCGATGGCCCATAGAAATAGATGGTTTACCTATTAAAAATGGTGATTTTCCATGGTTATGCTAGTCATAACCAAATGGTATAAGGGATTTTCCATTGTCACAGTTGATTGCTGGAGGATGAGAAGCTAAGCTGTACATTTTGCTTGGTCCATGAGTCCATGACACGGCTAACTCGAGGTTCCAAATGCTGAAGCATTTACCAGGCTGGGATTGATGGATTTTTTAACTTTGGCCATGCAATGCAGCCAGTTAGTTTCCACCAATTGCTAAGCTATAAAAAAAGCCATTCTAAGGGGTACAATGGGGTACAACTGGTCGTGCCTCCCCTAGAGCTGACCACTTGAGTTACTTCGCTCCTGGCTTTGGATGAGCCTCAGCTTCGGCTACGCCTGTGCGTCAGGCTGTGGTACCATGAGCTGTCGCGCGTCTTCTGCGATCGCTTAATTAGCAAAGCCGACAAGGACTGAGTCTGAGACTTTCAGACTGGGTAGATGGGTAGATCTGTCGATCTTAAGATGACTTTCACATTCGACATTCTCAACTCGGTGACATGTTTTCAAGAAGAAGCATGGTGAGTGTGACATTCAGAACACCCGATTCAACATGATTCCACAACCTCCCAGCTACCAACGCTACCAATGCTACCAACGTCAGGAGTGGTTCTACAAGGCTGCAGCTGAACAGCTCAAGTCCAGGCCCAATGGGCTTGTCGTCATAGCCATATGTTGCCATACCCCAAGCATCCATGGCTCATTGACCAACATGTACCACCAAAATCACCCCGTCATCAGATGTCACCAGTAGAAATAGCAACACCATGGATAGACCGGGTGGATTGGATTGGTTGACACCTTGCAGGAAACGCAGAGATGTTTCACACTTCAAATACTAAAACCAATCCATTGAATACCCCAAAATTGGTTGGATTCCCCATGATTTCCCATTTTTTTTTAGATTTTCTTGGCGTGGTTGGCCCCCCAATCCCTTCATCCCCTTCATCCCCATGGCGCGTCCATGGCGCGTCCGCGCAGGTTCCGCGTGATGGACACGGACCCGGAGATCTGGACGTCACTGATGTGGTGCAACTTTTTGCGACCCGTGGAGTCGCGGGTCTACGAGGAAGCCAAGGATAAGACCAAGGCGAGCGGCGCGATGACGGGGGGTGCACTTGGGGAAAGTGGATAGAACTACATAGAACTAATATAACTCCAGAGTTGGGATATTGGAGATAATAATTTAATAATCAGCTATGGAGATTATTGAATAACTTGGGTTACTCTATAATAACTATTAGCGGGTTATTGTGGTAATAATATGGCAGAATCCCCTATGACTTGAGATATAATGTTCGTAAAACAATGTCATAAAGCACCCAGATGGTTTGATGGGGTTAATAGTGACCTCAGCTGAGTTGACACCGAAGTTGATGGCTAGTAAGGGGTAACTATCCCAAAATGGCCTTAAGTATGATTTAGGATTTTTTCTAAATCACACAGATGGGAACTTGAGAAAACAATGGGATACAGTAATAACAACAGTGGGTATATTCTGGTACATCATATTAAGAAAAATGACGGGTACAGTATCGATGGCTGTGATGTAGGGTATGGTGAGATCAAAGCTTCTGACTCTCCTAGCAAAATGGGATACCCTATGGCTTGACACTGATATCAGAGTCTTGAAGCAAGCTACAGGGCTGATATGAGTGGTACTTTCTGCATGAATAGACTTCTTGTTATTGATGGTTGCCAGATGTTGCCAGGTTCAGTCCCTGTTCTCGCCAGGTGCAAAAGGTTCTGGAAGATGCCAATGATGACTACAACCTCTCGCACACCGCGCAGATGAATCTGGTGTTTTTCCAGGAGGGGTACCAGAGTGGATTCCCAGCCGTGGTTCCGCCACAGCTGTGGCACCAATGGCCGTCCACGGAAGGCAATCTGCTTGGCAATCTGCTGGTATCATCCACGCAACTCTTGGTGAAGGTTGGGATTCCTTTTATGATTACTGTAGTTGCCCCACCAAGCCTGTGCTAACATCAGCACGATCAGCATCACCTCTAGGTGATCTCCCATTTCTCTCAGATCCAATTGTTCAAAATGGTTCTGCATCCTGAAGACCAAGCGACCTCTCCCAGAAGTGGTGGAAAAATTGCAGGAAACTCCTCCCAGTTTGGGGGTAGAAAAATGGTTGCTCCATGTTGCTCCAAATGCTCCAACCAATTTTAAGTGAATGCTTCCCTCAAGGAGGTAGAGCGGGAACTTGGTGTACCATTTCTGCTCTTTTTACCAGCTTTTCCTGAGCAAATTTTCCTCCTTGTAAATTGGGATACAGGGTCCTTTCCCCTTTCCAGCCACCCATGGGTTTGAACCTCAAATTGTCCCCGTCGGCTCCAAGAACTCCAGGACTGTGTGGAACACATCAACCGCATCGCGCGTGTGTTGGCCCAGCCGCGTGGTAACCTGCTGCTGGTGGGCGTGGGAGGCAGCGGACGTTCCAGCTGCGCCAAGATTTGTGGCTTGGCACAGCGATGGGTAGCTGATAGGTGGGTTATACCTGGCTTGGAAGTTGGGGGAATGGATGGGAATGGGATTTTGATGGGAGAAGACTCTAAGACACCAGATGATTCATCTGGATTTTGCTCATGAGTTTCTGATCTTGGGTTCTTTTAGGTTGGAGACTTGACAAAGGGCCTACACAAATCATCGAGGAACAAAGCAGTGGCTACCAAGGTGCCTGCATGTCAGAGCCAAGATCTCAGTGAGCGTTGAACCTGTCGCTGGGGAGACGTTCATGTAAAAGAGTTGGAGAGTGCTTGAATCCCCATCAAATGATGATTAAAGCAATCCCACGCTGGATAGAAAAGTTGAACACCTGAAAATTGCGGAGTACATATATACGTATATATAATTATATATAATTATATATATAATTATATATAATAGTTATGTAATTTCTAATATATAATCCATGACATCCTGGAACCACCTTTCCTTTCCTTTTTTTTTTGGGAGCCTGTTCTCAGCAGTGAAAATTGGAACCTCAGGACGAGCGAGTTCAACATCGCATTGACCAAGGCTATGGCTGGAACCGTGTCCAGGGGAGTAGGTCTGTAGCAGTGGCATCATGATATGTAGTGATGTAGTGAAATACCACGAAATACTACAACATTGCGGTCCATACAAACTGCGTTGTGCCACACCGATCTATGATATGGCCTGACATGTTTCTCCCAGCCTAGAGTCCTAGAGTAGAACCGGTTCCAATTCTTCCGCCCTTGGAGAGATCTTTGGTTTGCAGGGATATGGCATTGATGCATTCCGAGAAGACGAGAAGAAGTTCTTGATTTCCGCTGGTGCTGGTGCAGCCAAGGTTCGTTCAGTAGTTTTGATGCATCGTCTCGGTCGGAAGAGGTTTACTGGAGAGATTGAGATAGCTGCCTTTGATTTTTTTTTTAAATATGTTGTTTGCGAAGGGTTGACGTTGGTGATGGTCACGAGGTGTGCAGATGAACGAGTCTTCATTGTTCATTCATCCATTGAATATGATGACTATGCTGTTTGATTCACCCCCAGAATCGTTCAACCAGTTCGGACACAAGGCTTTCCAGCAGATCAAAGGAACCATGCGTTCAGGAATGTTTAGCGGGTTCAGGGGTCCCCAGGGGTCCCCAGTTTTCGCCCCATTCCATGCCCATATGAAATCATATGAAATCAAAGAAATCCAACGATCCAGGAAGCTCCCCAAAGAAGTGAGACCCCATTCAGGGATTCTCAACCACCATCATCTGCAATAGTTTCAATAGTGACTCATTAGATCTCTATTGCTGCGGATGGGTACCATGATGGAAATACAAAACCGTCAACACCTGAAGTGAATGCCCAAAAGTCCCGTCAACTGGTACTTCTGCTTGGAAATGATACTGAAACCCAATAAGTCACATCAAATGTTGTAGCCTTCGGTCACCTGGGTCACCAGTCGGGGGAACTTCCCAGGCCACGATGTTCCTGTTGAGCGACACGCAGATCATCAATGAGACATTCTTGGAGGACTCCACTGGGTCCCCAAGTGGCTCCTGGTACCATAGATTTGCCCAATTCCCACTTGAGAGAAGAGTAATCTTCCATTGGTGAACCAAAATTAGGGACTTGTGATGGGACAGTGGCGTCCGTTAAAATGGACATTTAGAGAACTGCGTTTTTTTGGTTCTAGTAAAAACAGTTTGGTGGCCCGTAAGCTTGAGTTTATCACTTCCGTGATAAAGTCAATAGACCAATCAGGCTGCAGGGGATGGGGATAAGAACCGCTCCCCCAAATTTGATCAGAAATGGTGAGGAAAAACTATCATCAATTGATCTTGGAGATTGTTATTGGGTTGACCACACCTGACTATTTGGGACGACTTGGCATGGATTTCAGGATATCAACAACATCCTGAACGCTGGTGAGGCAGGTTCAAATGATCTGGTGGACTCGAAAATGGCCTTTAGACACTGACTATGGATGACTATGGCCGTTTTTGTTCGCGTCCTGCACTGATCCACTAGAGATGCTAAGTTAAAGATCATCCCCATACCTGAGGCTCCGCTTGAGCAGGGTGTGACAACTAACTGTGGCATGCTTTCGGTGCAACAAATGAAGACAGAAACCGGTTCGGTGGTATGCGGCACAAAAACTTTGGTAAAGAAAGATGAAAAGTGACATTCGACACCTTCAGTGCCATACTTTCCAGTGTTTTTTTTTGCATCGTTTCCAGCCATTCCCAGTTTCAAAAAGGTGCCGAATCTCTTCCCCAACGACGAGATTGACAGGGTCATTGCAGACACACGGCCACGGAGCCCAGGGCAGCTCTTTTTCACGGACTGTTCGGGATGATGGTTTTGCTCGGATTTGGTCGATGAACATGCTGAAATTCGAGCAGTTTATCCAGAGCGACTTCCTCTTGGCAACAGCATTCGTCTTGACAAGCGGCTGAGAAGTTGATGCTCCATCCACAGTGTGGCTCAGAACTTCTGAACCTCACATCTTCACAAACTACAGAAGTACTGCCATCTTGGCCTACATCATGATTTCAAAGTGTGTTGTTTAGAGGACTTGTGAGTTGCAAAATTGATTCAATAGTTTGATATATATATATATAGTTGATATTTCATATTTGATGATCAGCTGTTTCTCAGGATGTTGGGTTTTTTGGGTGTCGAACTCCTTTTCCAATCGCCCATTGTTGGTGATCCCTGTGTGGGATCCCGAAAATCGCCATGGCTGATGGCATGCTGCGATCCCCCACCTTCCTGGTGGGGGCTGAGAGGCAGCGGAAGAACTTGGATGAATTCAAACGGCGAGAACAGCAACTCGCCGAGGCATATCACAAGAACAAGCCCCTGTGCTTCAACGGATCCTTGGGCGGTTTCAACGACCTGGGATGTTTTTTTTCGACCGCTTTTTTTCTTTCCTTTTTGTTAAAACTTGTTTTGTTTTTGTTGGATTTGTCAGTCCTAGTTGGGATGAACCCCGAATTGACGGACTAACAGTTACTAACACTTTTCAGGGAGTTGTGCCTAGAGGATCCTAGAGCATCCTAGCACCTTCACGCATTGTCTCGCATGTTTCTTATGCCTAGCCTCGCACCAAGGATGCTCTTACCAGAAGACACACCCCGTGAAGGCACAGAAGGGACACAAGGATGCTGATGCCTGCTTGACAGTTCCATTGGCCTCCTCCCATTTGCGCAGAAGATGTTGAAACTCCCGTTTTCCCTCAGCTCAAAACAACTATACTGGTTGAGGGTTACATAGTCTAGTGGGGATTATCATCGATGGGATCCCAATTAACCAACTCGTAGAAAGGCCCTGCTCAGTTGACTTGACCAGAGCAAATCTTGAAGCTTCGACATTTCAGGGTCGTTATTTGTTGATATATCACGGGTATTATTCATCCAATCCTATTTACTGACCTGGGGGGTTCCTAAAATTAGAGGTACCCCAAATCATCCAAGTCATGAATGACCATGACTTAGTATTGAAAGCCATGGGACTTTTGGGATCTTTTGGGGGTACCCCCACAACTTAGGACACCTCCAACTGCAGGGCTTTCGGGTTCGCTCACTTCGCAAACCCCCAAGGTCCTGGGAGTGGCAGATGGTGTATCCCAGATCGAGGACTTTGGCATCGATGCCTCGCTCCTTCCAAATGAACTCTTGCAGGTCGTGGAGCAGTTGGGAATGCATCAGTTTCTTGGTGCCCAAAAACGTTTTTGGAATGGATAGGAATAGGGGGAATGATCCATAACTATATATTGTTAACAATCGTCCCATTGCCCATCATTGCCCAAAAAAAAGCACCAGTAAGATTTCTGTTGATGTGAGACATCTAGAGTTTTTTGAGACGTTTTTTTCTTGAGTCCCGAAGATGGGGAAGTTTTACTGCCCTTTTGGCAGTCGGATCATATTTTTTTGGGTCAAAATGATACCCCAAAAAAATGGATGGTGAAATACTGTACAAACAATGACACATTCAGTGGGTCCATTGATACCAGAATTTCCACCCGTCCCCATTTGCTTTTGGAAGGTTTGGGGCTGGTTTTTGGCCTTGTCCCAGAACGGGTTGTTGAGGAACATTCACATGGTTTCCATGAGATTGTCCCCAACCCACCAACAACGTTTGGCTGGTGGTTTCAAGTTGTTTTTTAATTTTCCGATTTTTTCTGAAGACCCAGCCTGTTCGACTGAGTGTTGGGGGAATCAAATCCCAATCTGGGATATAGATGGATATATTTTGTTTTTGAGTGTTGGGGTTAAAATCCAAAACTGGGATATAATTATATAATAGATTGCTGTCATATAACATAACTATTTCATCACTGGGATCACTGGGATGGTCTCGCCGTTGCGTCCAGGTTGGTCCCGGGGGCCAAGTTGACGGCCGCGGACACCTACCGCGGCCCCGCCTCTATGTTGCGTCGCGCCTTCGAAGCCACGGAATCCCTGGGCTCGCTGACGGTGGTGCTGGCGGTGCCCGTGAGCGAAAAGGGGTGAAAACAGAGGGGGAAGATGCAATATGATGATATAGTTATAATATGATAGTTATAATATGTCATAATATGTCATAATATGTCATAATATGTCATAATATGTTATAATATGTTATAATATGTTATAATATGAGATATATCATGATATATCTATTATCTCTCTCTCTATATATATATAAGTATGATTTCTGTATATATATATATTCGGATGTGCCCCCCCTGTAACAGCCAAATAATGGATTTCCACATGTCAGAGAAGCAAAATGAAGCACCAGGAAAATAGCCCAGAATGACATTAAACTTTCGGAGCCTGGGTAAGAAATTTCTGTATATATATATACATAATATATATATATGCATAATATATATATATATATAGACTATAATATTGTATGAGTATGATATTATCTAATGTTACTATATGTATACATGCTTTAAAAAAAGAAAAAACAATCAGGGATTCTACTAGCTGGTTTCGTTGGGTTTTCAAAAACATGAACATCCCCCTTTGATCCAATCAATCGTGAGATGTTGTGAAGTCAGTATTGAAAAACAAATGCAACCAGTGCAATGCAACAAAACTTGGCTTTCAAACACGGTTGACGGTTGCTCCAATCTATTGCAGGTAAATGATAGCCGCTCTTTTTTGGGGACATTGGAGACTTTTGCGACAAATTCTCCAGTAACCGCTGGGGTGTTTTTGTAGCGTTGAGGTGATGGACAATTCCACCCGAATCCACGGGAAGTTGCACCCGATGATAGCCATCATCACCGTTGGAGATTGTGAACTGATTGTGCTTCGACGTGTCAAGGGCCCACAGGGACCTTTGGAGTTGGTATGTCACACCGAGATGCAACGGATCGATGGGCATGCGCAGACTCCCTTGCAACTGGCCAGGGTGGATGACAGGATTGACCCCAACTTCAATGAGGAACTCTCCATTGAAGTCATTGAGAGGGGCAGTGCAGTGAACTGCGTGTCAGCTTATGAAGGTGACATTGTGCTCATGGGTCTCCGGCCATTTGCTTATGATTTGTGTTTTTCTCACAGAGATCATCCCCCAAATGGTGGAGGGTTGCAGCATGTCATGGCATGTACCATGATCTTTCCGCTCAATGGATCGATGTAAGGGACATCTTAATTACTTCGGAAACATCAGTTGTTTAGCACTAGAATTTCTAGGGACAAGCTTCCACGATCTTCCCTTCAATGAACCAGAAAAATGAGGGTTTCCTAAAATGGGGGATACCCCTAAATCATCCCATTTTAATATGACTTTCCATGAAATAAACCCATCCAGCACTTTTGGGGTACCCCCATGACTATGGAACCCCCCAGGCAGTGATGGTGTCTTCGACAATTTGTTCTTGGATGAGATCGTGGAGACCGCCAATCAGATGCTTCCGCCCAAAGGTTCCGAAGGCGCCTACCCAGAGGTGGCGCTGAAGTCTGTGGCGCAGCGCATCGTTGCTCAGCGCAGTCTTAAGCGGAGAGGGTCGTGCTTTCGAATGAATTTTGAATCTCTGGAACTTTCCCAAGGCTTTTTTGGATCGCCAATGATCGCCAGGTAAATACAGATGAAAGCTCGACCTGTCAGTGGTGCAGGGAGTCTTGTACGTCTTGTTGACTGTAGGCATTTGCAGGAACCATCAGAAAGCCTTAAAGTAGACAGTTTGATAAGGTCTAGTTCATTCTTCTAGTTCCGGAGGTTGAAGATTGAGCTTGAGGAGTCTCAGGTTTTGGCTCTATGTAAGACCTCCATCCTATCCTGAAGTTGATATCCGGGGGGACAAATTCAACTCCTCGATCGTGATTCCACATCCTTCAGTGTCAAGCATAGCACTTGTTTTTGAAGACGGTCTCGAACAGAGTGACGCTGTCTTGTGCTGAGGTTGAGCAGTGCCATGCAAAGACGCGGCCACTGCCCAACGGCATGTTGGCTGAAGCACCCATTGGCAGAGGTGGAAAGAAGGATGATACATCCTGTGTGGTGGCAGAGGTGGTGGAGTGGACTCAAGATTTACAGAAGATCTGGACCCCTCCGCAGCAAAGTAGCTGGTGGAACCCCTTTGAGTGGACTTCTCTCAGTAGTTTCATGAACCTGAACGCCTGGTGTGGAGCACAAGACTCAGATGATGAGGGCGAGTTCAAGCCAAGGGCTGAAAAGTTACAAGCCAAACGGCAGAGTCAAAATGACTGGAACGACTTGGCCAACTCCGGGAAGCAGGCGAACCAGGTGAACCAGATGAACCAGGTGAGCCAGGTGAACCAGATCAATCCCCAGCAAGCATATGCCAAGGCAAACCAGGCACAGGAGGCCCAAGGATACCAGGCTGGGAATGGCTATCAAGGCTACCAACAATACCAGGCTTACAATCAGAGTTACCAGCCCAACTCTCAGACTTTCCAAAGTACCCAAGGCACCCAAGGACAATATCAGAGTCAAACCTATGACAAGGCCAACCAAGGCTACCAAAGCTGCCAGGGACAAGGATATCAGGGCAACCAGATGTACCCGAGCCAACAGGCCAACCAAGGGTATCAAGCATATCAGGGCTATCCAGGCAATCAAGGGTACCAAGGCTACCAGGCGAACCAGGGCTATCAGGCCAACCAGTACCAGGCCAGCCAGGGGTACCAAGCAAATGGCTACCAAGCAAATGGCTACCAAGCAAATGGCTACCAAGCCAATGGCTACCAAGCCAATGGATACCAGGCAAATGGATACCAGGCAAATGGCTACCAAGCAAACGGCTACCAAGCAAACGGCTACCAAGCAAACGGCTACCAACCAAACGGATACCAGGCGTATCCTCAAGCACAGCAAGGCCTGAATCAGGCACAATATCCCGTGAACGGAGCGCAGCCGCAACAGTCCTTTGCAGCTTCGCAGATCTATGGTGCCCAGACAAGGGTTTCTGGCGGCTTTGGCATGGATGGTCCAGTGGCTGCGTATAGTGGCTGCGCTGGTCGCTACTAACAGGGTGACGCCCAGTGGGCCAAAAGGGTGACAATGGAACTCCCAACAGCAATCCATGGCGGGAGGAACAAAAGGGAAACGTGCTTCTGGTGGTGTCACTTTCCAGTAGGCTGGCTGTTTTGCACACGAAAACACCTCACACATCCCAAACACATCCAAACACCAAATTCCAGCGGCAGAGTGAGTAGATTGCGAATTTCCCTAGTGTTGGAAACTGGGAGTATGACACAACACCTTATTCGAACCACTGCTATTTCCGCACACAGCAGTTTCGGCTGAAGCTTGCCGTTCTGAGAGGCCAGCCATCGCAGATGCCATGACCAGGTCAGCTCTTCGGTGATGAAGAGAAGCTTTGAGCAAATCTCTGCAGATGCGTCTTGTCTTAACCTTGGGGATAATCTGACCATGCCCTCGGGGGATGAGAGGATGATTTCAAGGCACACTGACTCGGTCATATCTTTAAGTGCGGTGGAACCACCGCTCCGGTACTTTGTGGAAGTCAGAAAGTCAAAAAAATCGGACTTTAGTCTGTGTTCGTGCAAAGCATCCCACATTTCAGGCCAACATGGTCCCGCACTGGACCATGCAAATCTGCAGGATTCTTGTTGCTTCAACTACATACTTTTATGGTTTAAATCCATCCTGGATTCCATCCTCTTTTGCTGAAATTCATCTTTTCTGATTAGATCATCAGCTTTTAATACTTACTGAATCATAATTCATCTTAAATCATTCTTGTTTCTTGTTGATTCTTGCTTGGCAAATTCCAGGAATTTTCCTTGAGAGCTGATTTCGTGCTGGTTTCCATCGCTCGCTGTTCTCGTGAGGCCTTGGACTTGCGTTTTTGCGGCTTGGATGGGAACGACTTCAGCCTCAACCTTCCAGAAGACATCACAGGGCAGCTACTGATGGAAAAGATGATTCTTGATGGACGGCTGCCATCCAAAGCTGGTGCAACGCTGCAGTTCTTCTTTCAAGATCAAGAGATTTCGGGAAGCAAAATGCTGAAAGATTTGGGTGTCTGCCAGCTGTCGACCATCTCCTATGTATACAAGAGAGTGGATTTGTGGGGGTCCCAAGGTGGATCAGATCTTGGTCAAGCCACTGCAAAAAAAGTCAGGAAGTACAGTATCTGAAATGATGACATTAACAGAGTTGGCGTGGCCGCATGGCCTTTCTTGGATCTTTTTGGCTTAGCCTTCAGTAAATAACCGTGGCCTGCTGGAAAAAAACATCACTTTTTGGTTATTTATCCATATTTATCCCATTCAACCTCCATTTTATATTTGATTTCCCGTTGCCATGTTTGATTGCCGGAGGATCAACACATATTGACCCGCTGGGCTACCCTGTTTTTTAGCGATTCCTCGAAACAGGTGGAAGGCCTGCAAGATCCTGGTGGGGGTGGCGAAGGTTCCTCGAATGACAAAGACTTTCGCCTCGAAAGCACAAAAGAAAAGTGACAGGTACAGGGAATGGAGTGCCCCACTCATATTTTATTTGGGTTGTTCCACTCTAATATTTATTTGTCATATGATGTCCTATAAGTTTATCCCAAGAAATGGGCTGTTCTGTTCCAAGTGGATCAGAAAGCAGCACTCCCCGTCCGGTTTTTGAAACGCACTTTTCGGCCCAGGAAGATCCGACACTCTCAGGTGTCTCCAGCATCTTTTATGACTTGGCAGAAGCAAATCCACTGGTGACTTTTCTTTTCAGCATATTTCATATGTATGTATATATATATATATATATATTTATCATGTGTTTCACCATGTTTCGATGAATAAGGGGCCACGCATTTCATCCTCAAGTTACACTGTCTATATATATATAATTATATATATATGTCCACTTATGAGTACTTAGGGAAACTGGTGTTTTTTATTCTTGGACATGAATATGTTGTTTTCCTTTCTCCCCCATTTTTCATATCAAGGGTGCTTCCGTCCCAATCAATTTGAAGTGGTGTGGTTCTGTGACTTGAGACCAATGTACTATAGCCCGGTAGTTCCTTGGGCACTCGCTTGAGTTGTGTCAAGGCGAGAATTATGCTTCCACTCAGCTTGCAAAGTTTGACCTTCGGAGATTTCTTTTGTGATTCTCTGCAAGACGTGCCTCGCTTTGTGTTTATGCAGAACCGCTTCGTGCACTGTCAAAGCTCACTGATGTCGCATTTTTTCATTTTTTTTCAAACTTCTTATTTTTAATATTCTATGGTTTCAAGAATTGGTTTCTTGGATCTAGCGCAAACTTCATCTTTTAATTCAGCCTGTTTGGCTGTGAAATGCTGCAGCGCTTGCATCGAAGAGCAGGTCTCGCTTCCTGCGAATCTCTTGAGTTTGACTTTCGGACGCCAGTTCAACCGAAGTCTCAAAGGTTTGCTTCTGCCAGACAGCCTTCAAGTTCTGGCTTTTGGAGACTTGCCCAGCAAAGAAGGAGCTAAGAGCAGGTATCGACAATCAAGCTGTGGCCAGTTCAGCCCTTATGATGATCTTAGGTTGTGGACCTTCCCCTTGGTATCGTAAGACGGGTGACTCAGCAACTAGTAACTCACTAGTTCCACCAATCCACAGTATGAGTATGCCGCTGTGCCTTTCTGTATGAACTTCCCCGGAACTTTGGGGCCTAGACTTGTTGGTAGGTTCAACAATTTTTGATTTTCCATTCACACCTAGAATGGTTGGGGCCACACTCAGCATTTCTTTTGGGAGGTGTGGTCCACCGACCAGTGCCATATGGTCAATAGTTTTGCCTTTTTACTTTGGCCAAGAGTGAGGAGACAACTATAACCAAAAGATGGGGCAGGTGCTTCTACCCTGCAGCCTTCAAAGCTTGACATTTGGACGTGCATTCAATCAGAGCCTGGAAGATATGCATTTGCCAACGGGCCTACAGACCTTGACCCTGGGACACCGGTACAACATGTGCATGGACCGGTTGAAACTGCCCAGCCAGCTTCGGGAATTGACGTTTGGGGAATCTTTCAATTGGAGCCTGCAGAAAGTGAAGCTTCCCGGCAGTTTGCAAAAGCTGACTCTTGGAGATTCTTTTGATCAGCCGTTGGACGGTATGATCTTTCCAGGTCTCAACAGCTTGATTTTTGGAACCAACTTCAACCAACCATTGGAAGAGGTTGAGTTCCCAAGTGAACTTGTCACGTTGACCTTTGGAGATGACTTCAATCAGACTTTGGACGAAGTGGAGCTTCCCCGCGGTCTGAGGCATTTGACCTTTGGAAACAACTTTGTGCAGAGTCTGGAGCCTTGACATGACTACACGTGTTACCCTATGGAACATGGATGAACATGGCCCATTTATAGATGATCTATCTATTCAAAAGTGGTGAATTTGTTGTACCCAAGTGATTCTGATGGTAATATTATCAATACTCAATATGACAATCAATAGCCATCCATATTCGAATTCTGAACTTGGCAATTTAGTCGCTTAGATTCTGGGCCTCAGATGGTGAATTTCTCCGCCCCGGCCCTTTGGCGGGCCACGGCGGCCAGGAAAATGTGACCCTGCCAGAGAGCCTTGAATCCTTGATCTTCGGAATGTATTTTAATCACAGCTTGGAACATGTCAAGTTGCCACAGCTGCTAAAGCTTCGATTCAATCAGACTCTTGAGAATGTGTCACTACCATCCCTGAGAAGTCTGACATTTGGAGATGACTTCAACCAGCCTTTGGTCGACCTGACTCCCGGACTGTTGCACTTGACATTTGGGCAGGACTTCAATCAATCCTTGGAAGGGGTTCTGTGGCCCAACCTAGAAAGCTTGACCTTTGGATTGTGCTTTAATCAAGCCGCGGATACTTGGAATGTTCTTCCAGGAAGTCTTTTGAGACTAACCTTTGGCGACGACTTCAACCAACCACTTGACAATCTCAAAGTGCCTGACACTTTGCAAAGCTTGACCTTTGGCCATGAGTTCAATCAGAAATTGGATCATGTCAAACTTCCAAGTACACTTCAAACGCTCGCATTTGGATGTTGTTTCAATCAGAGTCTGGACTCCATGACTTTACCCCAGAGGCTTGGTAGTCTTAGCTTCGGAAACAATTTCCAGCAGCCTGTGGAGACCTTAGTCCACCTTCCATGCCTGGAGACTTTAACCTTTGGCGATGCCTTCAACCAAGCCATTCAGAGATTGCCTGGAAGCCTCAAAAGCCTAAGCTTTGGAGATGATTTTCAGCAACCCCTTGAGCAACTCAACTATGAAAAAAAACATGTTCTGGTTTTCTGATTTTGTTTTTCTTAGCTCTGTGGCAGAGTTGGACTGGAGGTCGTTCTCCTCTTTGCACCGCATCTTTGATTTCAACTATAGGGATCAACGGTTCTTGATACCACTGGAGACCGCTGACCTAGGCATCTTGAACTCCCGAATCTCGAATGTTTAACCTTGGGGCATTTCTTCGACATGCCCTTGGCAGATCTTCTTCAGCGCACAGAAAATCTGCGAAGCTTAACCCTTGGAGATAGCTTCAGCCACTCCTTTGATGGTGTGGTGTTTCCTGCAACCCTGCGGAGCATCTCTGTTGGAATGCCCTGCAGCTTCGATGGTGCGTCCTTGCCCAGCTTGCGGTCGATTCAATATGGGCCCGTGGCGGCCAAGTGCACGTGAAACGCGCTTCGCGATGTCACTTGGAGTTGCTGCTTTTGCAACCTGGGTATGTCTGGAAAATGGGGCACTGTATACCGATGTAGCCACCGTTATGGCCATTTCAAGGGGAATATGAATGAAGGTGATGGTTAAGCATCAACATGCTCCATGTTCAGACAAAGCCACGGATTGAAGCCGCTGAACCTGGAATCTGGCCATCATCTCCTCACAGTTGCTGAGACCCGATGAGACCCTGCAGATGTCCTGTGGATTGCGGTAGCTTCCAATGAGAGTACTTGATATCCAAGCGCAGTCGGGTACTTCGAAGAGGGCTTGATCTTGATGCCACAGAGTGGGATGAAGATGTCTGGGACATGCTGGGACACTATGGATGTGGTTCCCAGTAGCATTCTATCCAGTTGGGAACTGGAGACTGGAGCACTGGATTGCGGTGGAACACCAATGCTGCGTGTGCTGCAGCTTTCTTTGAAGATGGGGTTACGCGTTTACTTTGGTTCGGATTGTACAAATACAAAGAGCTTCACTGCGTCATATGTCGCGGAAAAGCAGAAGGCATTGCAAATAAAGCGCAGGTCACCCTGAAGGTGTTTCTCTATGTCCTATATGTCCTATGTGCTCAAAACGAGAACATGAACTGCTGGCTTTGAAACGTCACAATTTAGGAACTCGCACATGTCATTGGACCGGCTTCAACCGGGATCCATGAGCAACGATGTCAAATGAAATGTATCAGATCGCTTGAGCCTTTCTCCGGACGCTGCCTCCATTCAAAGGTCCATTGACCCTGCGTGACTTCTGAGTGCAGCATGTTGCAGCAGCTTTGGAACATGCCACATACGTTGTATCATACCGCATCTATTTTCATTGGTGGATGTTGGTGGTTCCAACTGGTGATGGATCAAAATGGATCAAAACTGATCAAAATGACACATTTTTGTTGTGGAAGATCCAGAAAACTCCCATCCTTTAACAGCTATTTTTGGTGTAAACAAAACCAGGGGATTCCCATGCCCCAAGTCCCATCCTTGAGATGATCCGCCCAGCATTTCTCAGGCCCCGGGCCAAAGAGTGTGGCCAGAGCGAGGCAGGAACATCACTGGATGGGTCGTTTATGATTATGCTTATCACCTGCATGGCTAGTTTAGGACTGTTTAGGACTATCCGTAGTTTCACGGTTAGTATATGGTTAGTCACTGGATGGGTAGTTTATCATAGACTAATCGTGACTAACCATTATGGTTATATAACATAGGGTAACCATATCTGAATGAATCCGTGAGGTTTTTGCAATGGAACATCGTGGAACATAACCGCAAACATGATCATGATTCATTTTTGACTCCCAAAGATTGACCATGAGAGTGATCTCCAGGAAACCGTACATCAGGGTAAATGTATAACGACCTCGCTGCGACCGAACCCTGGAATGATGGTTAGGATTCAGGGAATGTCCCGTAATATAGCCTTATTTATCCTTATTTCAGATTATATAAATAGCAAATTATTGCGATTTACCCAGATACATATCATCACCAGGTCACCAGATACAAGCATAGCATTTTCATATGACCAGCAAATCTGATATTTCTGCTATCTATTATCTATTTTCACTGTGCCCATCAACTGATAGCTCATAATCAGCTGATATCCAGACGGAATATGGTAAAATTAGATAAACCAGGTGACATTGACTATCTGTGAGTATCAGGTACTGGATTAGGAAGGTTAAATGAACATGGTCGGCGGATGTCGGGGGCAACTATTTTTTATCGTAGTTGTAGATGATTTACTTCTTGAACTTGGGACAAGTTCATGACATTTCGACTTTTGCCAGCTGAAAGTCCCAGAAAATGGACCAATTTTGACGGAGAAAACCAGGTGAAAACCGTGCACTTTCTGCCATTTTTGGAGGCCAAAGACGCGGTGTGGCAATTTTTCGTGGAATCCGTGCGCGAGAATTTGCACATTGTTCGGATCTCAATGGTCTCAGCTGTCTGTAGTAATGTGAAGCCAGGAATTTGCAAAACCCTCAGTTTACTAGTGACCAATTAAAACATATTAAAACATATTAAAACAGTAGTAATGTATGACACTATTTTGGGCCTAACGTCCCCAATTCATAGTCAGGTTTTGGCAGTTTTCCAGGGTTGACCATCCAGCAGTGGCCAAGGTTCTCACGATGTCTCCAGTAGGTTCAGCCCTGCGGCGGGGAACCACAGGGCGAATGCCCTTGCGCAAGGAACGAAACATGTTGGAGTTTATCTAGGGGATCATTTGTAGATGTTCACTTGCCGGATTTTAGGGGTAAAGTTCCAGGACCCACAAAGTCCTAGACTTGCTTCAAGTTACAGGACCCCACCGCATCTGGCTGGGAAAAACCACAGTGTTTCTGCATGAATAATTACAGTTCAGCATAGTTCAACCACAATTTCCTCCCATCTTTCAACGCAGTGATGACGGTCACCGAGGGTGCGCATGCGAATGTTCCCTGCCTTGGTGAATTGCTGCACCATCGACTGGTTCCTCCCATGGCCTGATGAGGCCACGGCCGTCATGGGGAAGCCATGTATCTCCGCTTGGTTGATTGATCAACATGAGTACATAGATAAAATCAATGAGAAGACGTAATAATTCACAGGAATATAGTATGTAATAATACATATATATATATATACATATAATATACATATAATATACATATATATATATACACTGTAACTGTGACAATGATAATACACAATGATACATGAACATACATGAGAATCCGCTGAATTGAGTTTGCATATTTTTTCCAAGCGGATATCACCAAGAATTGCATAGTTCACACGAAATGCAGAGCGGATTAGACCTAAGCTGAGTAGAGGTGCAATACGGCTGGGGACATAAAGGAAAAGGATTCTATTTGCTTATAGCATAGGTGAACTAAGGCAGTGGAAACAAGGAACCAAGCGCAAATCTATGTCAATCTTAGGTGTAGTGTTCCTCAGCATTGTAGTCCGGGGCTTGTAGTAAGATAGTTGATGTTGACCCAGAACCAAGAACCCCCAGTTTATTCATGGTAGGTACCAATTCTAATAGTAATTCATCACGATTGTAAGAGGCAGCCTCTTCCAACTAATGGTCGGCCGTTGTGTTCAAAATTTGGTGTTGACATTCCTTCTCGAAACTGTCCTTTCTCGACACAGGCCTTGCTTGGAGTCTCGGCAAGACAGCCTCCAGTCGGCATGTTCAAGTGATGACATGGGGAAGGGTCATTCGTGAAGCCATTGGATACCTGCCCTAAGATCAAGAGGTCCCCAAAATCAAAACAAAACATGGTTACAGTCAAATATGGTAACAAATATGGTTGTAACTATAGTTATATCATGTTATATCTACCATAAACCATAGAGGTCCCGAAAACAGCAAACGCTCAATGATAGGTGGATCAGTTGGCTTCGATCCCATTTTTTCTCCAATGATATGATCTCAATAATACACATGCACATACAGTCACATACATGCAAATATTGTTCCCAATATATATACATGAATACAGAATTGTAGATATATGATTATAGTCATCCTGGAGTAGATAGACCGTCTAAATGTCAAAAAAATCCTCACAAACATATTTTGTCCAAAATGCGATATTCCAACTACTTCAGGATGTTTATACATGTATATAATACATACAAATCTGTACATTTAGATTTTACACATCAGGCTCCATCCCATCCCCTCAGGTTGTCTGGCATGCAGGGCATCAGTGATGAAGTTCGTGATTCCGTGGCCAAGGCCGACTTTTTTTCCCGACCTTGGAGGGGAATTCCATGGCCATTGAATGGGTAACTCATGGTAAGGTCCCAATTCGAAGGTTTTCGATGCTTTTAGTACTGAATTACCAATTACCCTCTGGTCATGACTAACATAGCCATAGAAAATCACCATTTTCAATAGGTAAACCATCTATTTCTATGGGCTATTTTCCATGGCTATGTTAAATAACCAGAGGGTAAATCCAACAAAAATGAATCCTGGAATTTGGGCATTGAGGTTTTAAAGCCTTGGGACATTCTAGGAGCCCGTTGTACGAAGCCTCAAACGGTGGAGTTACTGGGGTCAGCCAATGGGAATCGCCGGATGGATGGGGATGTGAATCTTATGACAGTTGGGTCAACTGACCCAAATTGATCTTGAACCAACCAGAAATGGGAATCATTAATACATGTATATGGGGTCAATACGAAGATATACAAAAGATGATGGTGTCTCAAAAATGTCGGAAACATGGCAGAATGGTAAAGCTGTTAGGATTGGTTCAAAACACAATTTTTTTGGGGTATTGACCCATACCTGCATCATGAGAACCCCTATTTTGGTTTCCCGGGTGAACTGAACCCTCTTCTAGCTGGCCATGGAACCCACGTCAGGATATCTAGGGATGGTGGGAGCTGATCACCCCTGATACCAACAGCCGACACTTGGCCAGGCGTGCTGCTTCGTTCACCAAGAGGTGATCAAGACCTCTGCGATCTTTGAAGACCGGCTGAGGCCAGCTGTGTGGCTGCGGCCATGTGGATGTCTTGATCTTTGGATGCCTAGTTGAGCAAAGCTTGGTGTGCTCGCCGATATGAAATTGAGTGCTGTAAACATATGTATGATACTAATGATACTGCATGACGAAGTGTCAGGCAGAGTCCAAGAGCTGCCTCAGCACAACCGCAGCCCACAGAATCCTGCTCAAGCTTCTTCCATCTGTTTAGCATGTTTAGCTGCAGTGTTTGCCTCACCGTTCCTAGGGTTCGCCCGCGCCATGAAGAGAAAGGCAGAGGGGCCGCCAGTGGAAGCCGATGAAGTCGAGCTCAAGGTCCTTTCGATGGATGGTTCCTCCATGAAAACCAAGGTTTCAGCATCGATGCCAGGCATCTGGGGAATCTCATTGAAAAGGTCAAAGGTCAGAAGTTCTAGTCTATGGGACTTCTATCTATCCAATTTTGATCTATTTCTCAAGCCTGATATCAACTATACATACATAATAATACATATATATATATAATGTTTCATCAAAAATCTCTCTCTCTCTCTCTTCCTATTATTCCATTTAGGTCACTCAACCAAAATCACAATTCTGGCGTTTGATTTTGTGCCTTTCTGCCACAACATCATTCTGGTTGTTAGGCCGCGACTTTCTTTACCTGGTCCGTGGCCAACTTCCGGAAAAGCGACGGGCTGTGTTGTCGCTTTGCTTTGAGCAGAGGGAAGTGTCAATGACAAAAACACTGGCAGAACAGGCCAGAGCTGGGAACATGTCCTGAGAATTCGTTGGTGGTTTCCAATAGGGATGGGTCAAACATCCTTGTACCACTTTCCTCTAGGATATCAGGTAGGTTGACCCCCTGGTGGAAGACTATTTTCTAGACCCTCAATATCTTAGGTATATGGTTTTAGGTTTTAAGCTTCATGAAATCTTTGCATGTTCTAGGACATGTTTTGAAGATCCTTGAGGTCTATACACGTACGATTACAGCTAGTTTGAAATATTGGATTCAAGTGTTCCCTGCATTTTCCACTTAAACATTGAATAACAGTTTTTTTTTCCATAAACACATTGATAAGAGTGTAAGTTTCTATGCCTGATATTGGTTTGATATTGGTTTGATCCCAACGGACGATTTGACTGGGGGGATAAACATCCATCCATGGTAGGTACCGTTTGGGTACCAGGGTTTGAACGCATAGCCATATTCTGAAAACAAATCCTGGCATAGAATGGTTTGATGATCAGACATTTTAAGTGAACTTCAAAGCCAACAAATGGGAGAAACCGATGTCAGACATGATGAAAAGGGCAGGATGTGAAGCTACATTCGTAGGATGTCCCATGGCAGGGAGATATTTCTCAAGAATCAAACATTGGATTTTGACACATTGAGGATGTAAAGAAACAAGACATGTGGGTGCTTATCAACAACAGTGAGTTGGAAAATAAATCATTCTACACCAGCGGGTGCGAAGCAGACACCCATGGATCTGATAGGGAATCGATCGAATCGATCGGAGGTTGTCACTCCCCCTGCTCCAGGGCATTCATTCTTCCGCAACCATATCCTGTGTCTACAAGACAGTCAATGCGTGGCCCGGACTTTGCTTGGCCATGCTTGGCCTATCAGTGCTATCTTTGGCCATGGTATTTGGGTCTCTGTCTCGTGGGTTTATGCAATAGAATCACTGAAAAACAGTGGATCTCCCCGGTTGCACATCTCTTGCAATGGGTGAAACATGTCATGAAGTAACCCCCAAATCTTGCGGATATCCTACTGTTCATCAGTGGTTGATGGTTTTAGCCCATCTCCAAAAAATATGAGTCATCTCCACCAATCATCCCAAGTATGGTTGAAAAAACAATAGATATTTTGAAGCCACCCAGCAGATCATCACTTTTCCATGGCCAATTTTGAGGTATCCAACATTGACATAAGCAGAAATGTCAAGTCGCTGAGGTTCGAAGCATGGCACGCTCTACGGGGAACGGCCGGAAACGGAGGGGCGACCTTACATGCCATTACAGAGATTCTGCAACTTGGCATCCAAAAAGCGGATGATTTGTGCTGAACGTGGCTAGAATACCGAGAATTTGAGTTGGACACATTCGATTTAGGTTTACCCCAAATTTCAGGTGTACCATTGGTAAACCATGGTAAACCTATGGTCCAAGAATTCCGCAACAGGACAAAGTGAACATCTGCAGGACATGACATTTCTTTATTTTCATAATGAGGTTCTGTAACTTTTATCAGATGCAATCCATTTTCAACAACCCCTTCCCCCTCTTTATTGAAAGCCCATTAGGGGTGCGGGTCTTTTTTTAACTATATAATTATTCAAAAAATATGGCGCGATTGAACAACAACCAGGGTCAAACCAAAAAAGTACACCAAAACGCATCCCAAAGTAGTTTTAGTCAGTCGCAGAACAGTTTATGATAGCACGAAGGGATTTAGGAAGGCATTCGCGTGGCAGGTATTCAGGGCTGGAGCCAAGAACACTTCCTTTTCTGCTACTGCCCGGCCTGCGATCGTTATCGCTGGGAGACTTGGCAAATCGTGGCCTTTTCTAGAGATTGATCAACATGGTGGAAGCAAGGCATTGCAAGGTCATGGGAAGTCACTGGAGATGGTTTATGGTTTTGGACCACATTAAGATAGATTAGGCGGCCACCAGAGGTCTACAAGACCTCCTTTGTGTATGGGGCTTGCCCCAACAGCAGCATTCATCTTCGATGTCAGGAGATGGATTCAATTCCAGCCTCCAAGCCGTGCATTTTCCGGAAAGTCTGGAACATTTGGCATTTGGTGCACGCTTTAATCAGAGCTTGAGGAATGTCCTTAGCCTTCACGGTTAAGCAAACTTTAACTTTCTTTCCGGAGTTTTGTAGTTTGGTAAAACCCTAATGTACCATCCCCAATTTTTGCACCAGAACTTGGTCGCCCCAAATTGATACGTCATGACGGGGCTGGCACATCTTGCACATCTCTTGAGTTTTGGCTGGCCCAGGTGAAGCTTCCCAGTGGGCTTAAGACATTAACCTTTGGATCACTGTTCAATCGATCCATGGATCTGGTGGAGCTTCCGGCTGGTCTTCAAGTCTTGACTTTCGGAGAGTGGTTTAATCAACGCCTGGAGCACTTGACTCTTCCAGAGGGACTACAATGCCTGACGTTCTCGGATGCATTCGATCAGACTTTGGAGCGCGTGAAGCTGCCAGGGGGATTGCGATGCCTAACTTTTGGCACCAGCTTCTCCAAGGATCTGGACAAAACGTCTTTTCCTGCAAGCCTGCAGACCTTGATATTTCAAGGCTCATGCACTCAGAACTTTGAAGATATCTCTCTCCCAAGCAATCTGGAAAGCCTATCTTTGGGCTACCTCTTCAATCAGAAGCTGCAAAAGATCAAGCTGCCGGCGAGTCTCAAAACTCTGATCCTGGGGGAAGCTTTCAATGAAACCCTGGAGGGCACATCGCTTCCCGACCTGGAAAACCTGTCGCTTTGGTCGATTCACTGGGACCATGGCTGGTGGTGGTTTGGAATCTGGGGGATATCATGGATACCGAAGTGTGACAATCAATTTGCACAAGGGGTTTCAGTGACTCCAAACCACCGACCCAAACCATCAGTGCACCACTAAGGTTAACCGGTTCCCATTCGGGGGGGTGAAGACCCTGGGCCATGTGGACAGGGGGACACGGATCAGCCAACTGCTGCGCCAACCAAGGACCTTTGGATACATGTTCAACCAGAAAATGCACCAAGTAGACCTGCCAGACAGCCTCAAGAGCTTACACTTCGGAGTTCATTTCAACCAGGACTTAAGGGAAGTTCGCTTTCCCAGATCTCTTCAGAAACTGACTGTTGGAGGAATGTTCAATTCCACACTGTGTGGCAAGGTGTTTCCAGATGACCTCAAGAGCTTGACTTTTGGTTGTCACTTTAATCGGAGCATTGCAGAGCTTGAATTTCCACGCGGCCTGCAGACATTGACCTTTGGAGAGCACTTCGATCAGAGCTTGGATGGGGTTCAGTTCCCGCAAGATCTTCAAAGTTTGAGGTTTGGACAACACTTCAATCAGCCCCTGCAGAATCTGACCCTTCCAAGCAGCCTCGAGAGCATTTCATTCGGCCGTGTTTTCAATCAAAGCCTGGAGCAGATGCTTCTGCCTAGCAATCTGCGAAACTTGGAATTTGGAAGTTGCTTCAATCAGATGATCAGCTCATTGAAATTGCCCAACAGCCTTCAGAGCTTGACCTTTGGAGATTCCTTCAACCAGAGCTTGGAGAATGTGAATCTGCCCGCTTCTCTGCAGACCCTGGCATTCGGGAAAGCTTTCGATCAGAGTTTGGAGAAAGTCACTCGGCTCAGTCCAATGCATTCTTTAAGCTTGTCTTGTCGTACAGATTTCGACCATTTCCGATTGGGCCACCGTTTGGCTTCAAACGTGTCTTGCAACTGTGTCTTCCGGCATGACGAGTGAAACTCCCACTCCAACTGTGTCCTATCTATTTCTGAGGTCAAACTTCCAGAATGCCTTCGACATTTGACCTTTGGACAACATTTCAACCAGAGCCTGGACTTGGTTCAGTCACTTAGCTTCACTTTTCCCCAAAAAATGGGGCACTGAAACCGATACTTTAATGGAACCTGATCCTTCAAGAATAAAAAATCCAAGGTCCAAACATCGCAAATTCCATCAAACTTATCAAATAATCCTGAACACCATCGGTTGAAGAGATGTTGATTTTGGTCATGTTGAGCCTATGATCTGGTCCGGTGGGTGTGTTTTTTTCTGCTGAAGGATCCCCATTGACTTTCGGAAAGTCGTTGATTCACTTGGTTGGCACCTCCAGGTTTTGATATGTTCATTAAACAACAATATAGCTACATTATACGTATATATATATACATACATCATATGAATCATATGTTATACACACATGATTACATGATATACTATTGTTATATACTATAGATCGCAATGATTGCCCTGTCTTTGTTGGGTCCATGTTGAGTAGCCCTGGCTAGGCTTCCCAGCAGTCTTGAAACGCTGACCTTTGGAGAGGATCCTGGGCACCAAAGTATGGAACGGAATGGGAATGATGGGCCTGGGAATATCCCTAAGGTCTGATAAAATGGTGGGTTATTGATGGGATACTCATAACCCTTACCCTCCGATGATTTTGGAACAGTTTGCGAAGTGCAAGCCATGGACGATTTAGTTCGATAAAGTCCTATTCAATTTTCCATGGCAAACTGTCAAATTACCAGGGGTAATCCAATTATGCAAAACTGTTCTAGATGTTTCGATAGGATTTCCAAGAATTTCTATTGCTTAGATGTTTTCTGGATGATGTTCCTGACTGGGACATTTTCAGATGAATTTCCAATATTTGTTCAGTGGAAAAATGGGTGTGGTTGATTACCAGAGAGGGTACTTGCACTGTTCTCTTTTGGGATGGTTGAGTTTTTTTTTTGAAAAAAAGATGGATTGCCAGTGCACCTTTCATGCATCCCGAAAGTTTTGAGTTGTTTTATTTCCTCGATAAGCTTGAATCTTGAAGTGTATCTCAGGGCTTCAACCAGAGCTTGGAGCGAGTTGACTTCCCAACGGGCCTTGAAACTTTGGAGCTGAGCAGCGCTTTCCAAGTTCTTCCTGCGAAGTGTAACTGGGCTGCAAATGCCAAGGTCTTCAAAGGAAACCCATGGCAGGTGTTTGCGGACCCGAGTTTCGTAGGAAATACCGCTTCTATCTTAGATTGAAGGTTATTTGAACTGAATGTGGAATGCACCTTTCTTTTTCGTTCAGACAGTAAAGATGCTCTTGTGACCTTGAATCCTTCTTTTGCACGGTATCCATACTAGGGTCCTTGCTAAATTTTATCAAAGTATATCAAAGTCATGATCTTGATGCACCCTACTGAGAAATGCCTCTGCAGAATCAGACCATGGCGGTGTCTATCCATTCAACCAACCCGGCCCAAAGGTGAACCCCCCGAAAATATTCGGGGCGTATCAAGGGCTTATGACCCATCCATTTTCGGGATGGTCACCTTTTGGGGTTGAATCCCAATGATATCCCTTGCTATTTCCTGAGGTCAGACGATGTCCCGCATTTGTCTCCGCAACTTTCGATGTACAGACGTGATGGTGGGATGCTCGTAGCAACTTCGCTGCTTTCGAGCGAGAAAAGTGTGCCAGGGCCTGGGTCAAAGTGAACTGTGTTGGGCACTGCTGGACCCATGGTGGTTTTAGATACTATGCAATGTCCCACTGCATTTTGACATGACTCAGGCCAAGGGTCATGAAATGTCGCGAAGGGTTCAGATGGGTACTGTATAGGTCAAGTAAACTTAGGAACACCCCAAGAAAAAACAAAAACACATGGATAGGCGGAGTTATTCCCCATTTTTTCCATCCCCAATGACCTTAAAATCTGCACGGTCCTGCCAGGCGTAAGGTCTACGTCACGCCCAAATCCTACCTGGATCTCATTAGTCTGGCGCCAAGTCCTACCCGTTTGGGCTGATAGAATTGACAAATGAGCAGCTTTCAAAACCACTGTTGGTTAATGCTTATAGTCATTTAATAGTGGTTTTAACCATAAAACTATGGGGATACAGGTCGATATAACTGGTTGATGATGCGTGGCTGAGGATTCTAAGGGGTTGTACTAACCAGTATATCGGGGATTATCATAATGAATGAACAGGGAATCCCGCCAATAATCAACCGATACCATGGAATGGCAGAGGGGGTTGAACACTGCTCAAATGGGTAGTTGTTGAACGGATTTTTTGAAGGATGCTTGAATCATGTCAATTGATACGATTATAGAAATACCATTATGGAACAAATCGGTTACATTACAAGCTTTGTATAATTGAATAATATGTTATGTCGTTCAATAGTTACTCACCCGTCACATTTGTGATTTGCCGGGATTCGGAGCAGGGAATTCATGGATGGTTTACTCGGCAGTTTCTCACAAAGATTTGTGAGTTACCGGTACACCAGACACCAATGTTACACCACCAATTTGCCCAGTGCCTTGCGATTTTTTTTGTTCCTCAGGTCTTTACTTGGAGATGATCCAGGAGAAAAAGGATGAAAAAGACGTGTCTCTGAAGAGGCTTCAAACTGGTGTCGACAAGATCGATGAGGCGGAGCTGGACATAGCTGGACATAGCTGGACCAATGCTGGAACAAACTCACAGGTGCAGGTTGGAAGCAAGGAATCACAGGTGCAGGGAGGTAGCCTTAGCATGGAAAGTGAAAGCCAATTCCTCCTTTGAGATGTCCCTTCTTATCAGTTCTTATTGTTGTATCAAGTCTTCAGGAAACATGTGTCAACCGTTGAAGGCTCAGAAACGAACCCATTTCTGGACACCAAAGAACAACACACAAGAAATGAAGCAGAAAGACCAAAAGCATCCAACATCCTATAGATATATGATCATACATATTATCAACATGATCATTATACAATTATTGTTATTGTTAGTGTTATTATCAATGGTGAGTGTTATGTTAAAATACAACATGCCTCAACAACTGAACAGTTAAGTCTTATACCTGAATACACACATATATATATATATATACACATATCCACATACAGTATACACATTTAAACATCTGTTTTTGTTTCCCATCGGGGCCCCCGGCGCTCATCACCAGCGGGCCAGGCCAACTCCTTCGTGAACAACCTGCAGGAAGAGCTGACGAAGCTGGCGCCAGTGATCTCGGAAAAGATCAAAGAGGCGACGGTGACGGTGACCGTTGCTGGGACGTGCCGTAACAGGACATCTGTGGAAAAAAACTAAAAATGCAACGGAAATCTGGGATTGATTAAAACATCTATATAAATCTGAGTTGTTCTGAAATATGGCTGAATCTAGGGGAGATGTCTGAATATATATGGGTGTATATAGATATATATATATATAAAAGAGATTGATGGGGAGAGTATTGGGAACAATATATAAGGATATTATGGACATATCATGGGAGCTTGTGAGACAATAAGTGATTAATAACTGGCTATGCAGAAGATACCAATGGGATTTTCCGGATGAACATTGAGACTTTTATGGGAAAATCATCGAACTAAATGGGGTATTTTCCAGCAAACCATGTTTGATTACTGGTGAGTATTTGGTTGTCATCGCAAAATATGTGAATCAGCACCTAGGATACCATGAGTGGAAGGATGGACATCCAATTTCCAGCTAATTATTTTGATGTTCACCAGGGTACCAGCACGTTGATCCATAGCCATATGGGGAAATCAAGCAACAGTTTTAACAGGATGTGTTTTTCCATTTTTTCCGGCATCGCTTCGGTCTTTTGCCGGCAAAAAAAGTGGTTTTTGCCTAGGGCCTAGGGGAAATGGGACAAGAATTAGGAAATTTGCCAGCAGAAATAATGCAGCTGCCTGTGATGATGGATGATCCACTGTCACAAGAGCTGGCTCAGCCCAGTGGTGGTTGCCATTGGGGGAAGAGCAATCAAACAAATTGGAGAGTAGATAGTGAGAGTAGATCACCAATCATTCTGGCTATGAATATGTTGAATACACCCGATGTATTTTTTTTTTGCAGCAAAATGGTAGAAGATTGGGAAGTAAGATCTAAAGTTCTAAAGATATGAATAAACATCGAAGAGTGCATTTTGATGTATAGGGTATAGGACGCGCTCCATGCGCTCCGGACTCATTTCGTGCCAGCAAATGTGCGTCGCCATCCTCACTGGTGGTTTGAAGTACTCAGCCCCCCTGAGTATGTTGAAGATCAGTTGAAACGACAAGCCAGTCAGCCAATGGTAAGCTTGATCAACATTCTCCGAGTTTGGGAAGTTGGAGTGGCGGTACCTCGCAAGTACCCGCAACATTTTTGGTTATGTTTTCACCAGCACATACCATCATATACCACCATATATACTCGTATACTCACTATATGGGAATAGCTTAAAAGTGCTAAAAGACTCCCCCAAACGTAGATTTTAGGTCTAAATTTACCAACCATTTGCGCATCCATTGGCACCCTTCTTTGATCCTATCCTGGTCACTCCCGAAGGCAGATGAGTTGGTGCCAGTGGTCACCGAAGAGCAGAAGAAGGCACACGTTTTGGTCGTCATCGGTTCGATCACAAGTGCTATCAGGGTATCCCCAAAAAAGTTAGGGGAATTATCCAAATATAGCCTGAAATATCAGGTGAGTGAATCATTTATTATCATTAACCCAGCCTATTGTTGGATCCACATGTCACGTACCTTGTTGAGCAATCCCAGTGACGATTGAATGACATCCAGGTGACCGACTGGGCGGATAACTTCCCTAGAAAAATGGCCTAAACCATTATCATTCATATTGTTGGAGATCTATCCCAATTATAACCCATAATATATATATACTGTATATATACACATACACCATTATATACCCCTATTCTATCCCTGAAATATATGCCCATTTTAGAGGCGTCGGTTTTCCCCGTGTTTTAAACCATCCGTTGTTTTTCACGTCACCAGGCTGAAGTCATCAAAGAGAAGGTCTCCAGCGAGGAGGTCAGCGCTATAAATGGGATGCACTCAGGGGACATCAAACTTATCAACCAGGCTTTGGTAGGTTATGAACCATCATAGATGTCCCAAATTCCCATTGGTTGGTTGATTAATAGAGGGATTTGAAGGAACCCCTTTAACAACAGGGAAATGATGATAGATGGTATACCAAAAGGACATTATTGTTATGAACCACTTAGTGGGATGATCCTCCAAGTGAATATGGATGTTGTTCCCCCGAAGACATGGGATTTCATGGTTAAGTTGATCCAGCCCAGTCCCATGCAAAAACGCAGGGATGTTTGTTGAGCAATCATGATCATATCAGCACAAAAAATATTGTTGGTCGATGTTTAAGACATTATTATGGGAATATCATGCAACATCATGAAAAACGCATGAGAACCTCAATGAATTGATGCGCTACATGGCTATTTGAGCATGGTACAATTAAAATCTATGTAAATGTATCATTTTTTAAAGAGTTTAAACAAACGCCATTTAAACTTTAAATGTACCATTGTGGAAAAAAACACACGTCCAGAAGCATCACACAATGGACTTTTTGCTGCAGGTGGTGGTCCGGAAGCAAGCAGATGAAGTGAAGGCCATCGCCGACGATGCGCAGAAAGACTTGGACATTGCTGGAGACCAAGCGGAGCTGGGATCGAAAACGGACCCCAAACGCAGCTTATGGGACAATCTACAAGCGTGGCCAGAAAAGGGCCCTGAAATCGCTAAGTTGGTGTAAAGTTCACCTTCGGTGAATATTCTATGGTGTATGGTAGACTGGTGAATATAACTAGACTCTACTTAATGGGGCTTACAAACCAACTAAAAACCAGAAGGCACCACCTTGTATGGCTCGTGAAGATGGAATGCATGTGGTGAAATTCATCTGATGTATCCTTGCATTCAAGAATCCAATGTTGAAATGCGTGGTAGATGGGTATAGCCCAAATATGCCCAAATAGAATGGTGCTCATGTTGGGATTATAAGATCAAGTTGGAAGTTATAGCCCATGGCTTGTGGCTAGTATTGGCAGAGAGGTCAGGATCAGTCAAGATCTGTCAAAAAAAAATCCGTGAGTCACCCCAAGTTGGAACCCGCCGCTCAACATTCTTTGGCCGTCAGGGGGTCAACCATTGACATGGGTTTACCCAGAAATGGGGAAAAAAAACGACCGGTTTTCCCCAAAATTGCCATTGCTGGGAAAACCATGGGATTTTGAAGACACAACTCCCACATTTTCTCAGTTTTTTTCAGAGCCTTTGAGGCCATGCCAGCCTTAGAGAGTGCCTTGGCGGCTTTTTGAGAGAACCATCTCCAAATTGCAACTTTCCAGGTTGCACCCCCATAAAAAACAACGAGTTTCAGGATGTTTGAGGATCATGTTTTTATCTCCATGAAGTTTATTTCAATAGGTTTCGATCTTTCGGGGATTTTGCACAGTATCAAAGTCCTTTAAGAATTGTATTTGAATGTATTTGTCACAAGAACTATACATGATCATTTGCCAAAAATAGTTGACAGAAGTCTTGTACTAGTTGTTGACAATTAGTGTGAATCTAGTGTTTTTTCCTCTTCGTTATGAGGCGGCACGCAATTAAATTCACCAATTCTGCAAGGCAGCGCTAGCAAACCCGCTAGGTGTGCGCTAATTAATTATCTTTAACATCCATGTTCAAAGACTTTTGTATGTGTTGCCGACTGCTTGTTGTTTCAACATGAAGAAACACTAAGATATAACACTTAGCGCCTTAAACCTAAGGATGTCTTAGGGAATTTCTGTGCTACTCAACCATTTTCCTATGTTTTTAAGTTTGTTGTTCAATTTTGCGAACTTATAAGTAATTTTACATATAATATAGATGTATGATATATACATAATATGTGTATATAACTATACACACGTAATTATATAAACACACACACATATATATGTATGTATGTATGTATGTATGTATGTATGTATATATATATATACATATATACGTGTGTAAAAAACATATATATCGTATGTCTTCCCCAGCGTGTGTCGTGCAATTGTTGGGGCTTCTCCAGGATCTGGTTTTCGTCCACTTTCCAGCCGCCAGGTGCGCTGAAGTCCTTGGACTCTTTGGACAAGAAAGACATCCAGGTGACGGCTGGGGAAGGTGGGTGGCTTTGTGTTTTTTTTGGTGACCGGGATAGAGGCATATAACATAACAATAGGCTGAGGTTATAGGCTGAGACATCTATAAAATGGGGAAATCAGCCGCACATATTGAGGATTCATATAGACTGAGGCTTGAAAATTAACAACATAATTCGCACATATTTTTTTCGACGTCTGATGGTGGAAAGTAACTTCGGTGCTTCTCAACGGCTCGACTTTGATGAAGTTCCTGGGAACATAGAGCTGCAGCTGGGACGTGGGTCAATGTGCAGCAAAGATGTATCGGTCCTGTGCCAGTGTAAATGTGTTTGATCAGATCTTTTTCACTGCAACATAGAGCTGGTTTGATTAAACAAATGACATGATTCGACATGGGATAGTGAGCAAGTATCAGAAATGAAGAAACTCTGTCAATGAGGGGCTCCGAGTCCTAATTTCGGACCCATATACCGGGAGAATTTTCGGCCACTGCAACCATTCGGTTCGTGGTCACCAGGAAATCAAATCCTTTGCAAAGCCGCCACCTTTGGTGATGATGACCATGGAGGCACGACGAAAGAAGTGATTTGGATCTGGTCTTTCCAGGACCTTTTGGGTAGCACGAATGAAACACGTAATCTTCCCAGTTTTGACGTGTAGATCATGTAGATGTAGAGCAGCGGTACTTCGTTTTTCTTGACCATTTTCACGGCATTTTTGTTTTTTGGCTTTGAAAGATCAGTCCTACATCACAAAAATCCAGCGCTGCATCAGCATCCCTCAAAACGCGGTGGCGCTCAGGCTGTGAATGTTCTGCTGCAAGAGAAAACCGATTGGGACACGGCGAAAAAGGTCCTCAACAGGGGCACCTTCTTGCAAGACCTGAAGACCTTCGACAAGGACCGAACAGAGCGGCCCAGGGTCACCTGTTTGGCATTTGGCGGATTGATGGCTGGGGGTTCCTCGGGAATGCATCTGACCCCGGAGAGAACGTCAATGTTCCTTCACATGTGAAAAAGTCTGAAAATGGAACCTCCAGAAAAGTGAATGTGGTTTCACTCTTTTTTCCCAACAAAAAATGTTGTATGGCTTCTCTTTTTGGGGGGTCCATTGGCCATCGCCTTGGAGATCCTGGTTGATGGTAGGGTTCAATCCTGCCAGGACAATATCCCGGAGAAGGTCTTGAAGCAACTGACCAAGTACCTTGGGTGTCCGTTTGGGAACATATCAGTGACCTGCAAAGTACCTGTTGATCAGGATAGTTGTGACATAACATGACATAACCAATTGGCACAGGATACAGACAAGTATTGTGTAAACAATGCGGGTTTGGTTTGGGGATTGAGGGAGAATCACCTGGATAGAATTCTGAGATTTTTCTATATGGTATTCGTGATGCAAACATCAACAATTGTTGGGATATTGTTGGGATATGTTGGGATATACTGTAATCAGGTGGATAGCAAACCAGGTGGATATTTGTAATGTCCAAGAAGGGACCATGGGATTGATGGAGTTTTTTTGGGGCGCACACTATTGTAGACTCATCCAGCTGTCCTCCGATTCATTCGACTAACACTTGTATTTTTGGGGGATTTACATTCAACCGAAATAACCCCAACCTTTTGGAGGGTTGACACACTTTCATTGACCAGTGGCATCTCGCATGAGGTATGTCACAAAGCCAGAGTACACCGTGGAGGCAGTCGGCAACCAGAGTAAGGCTGGAAAGCAGCGGCTTGTTCCAGGACCGGTTACTGTACTTTTTTATTTGGTGGCTCTGTTGCAGGTCCAGTAGCTTCTTGGATAATTGTTGGTCATATCATGGTCATATCGGTCATCCCAATTGGTCATGGTTTGAAGCCTCGTTGAATCCAATGGTTGATCATCATTTTTTTTCAAAAAAAGTGTTGGTGATCCACCCCAAGAAATATGGTAATGAGAAAAAACAAACAAACCCCATTTCTAGATGCTTTTAGTAAAACCCCCGTTTTTTTCGGGCATTGCAAGGCAGCTAAGAGCTTGTGCATGTGGACCTACGCCATGGACACCTACAGTAAGGCCTTGCTGCGTAGCAACAAGAGACGACGGGATTTTACCAAACATATGGGAAGAAATGGAATGTAAGTTACTAGACCAAGTAGGTTTGAGAAAGGATTATGAAATGGTTGGTGAAGGACAGGACTTTGCGAAGTGTGGTTTCAAAGTTTCGGATGGGTTTTTCATTTCTAAAATTACTGTGGTAAAGTGTATGAATCCTCGTCAAAGCATCAGAAATGGGCATATGCCAACGTTGAAGAACCCAGGAATCCATCACATAGTCTATCTAAAATTGGTTCGTTTCAGGATGAGGAGATTCTAGGTGGTATTTATCACCAATTTTTGTGGAGCAAGGAATTGTGATCCAAAGTTCCTCATCAACCAGGATTTCAGGTGCGCAAGCAGCGTTTTCAGGTGGCGAAAGAGGTGGAGCCAAAGAAGCAAAAGGTGGGGGCTGCTGGGGCCACCTTGAAGCACAGGATGCAATCCTCAGCATCGGAAAACTGCCCCAAAGGTGGCCAAACTGGCCAAGTGCTTATGAATGTGTTGTTTCTAAAATTATTCACTATATAACTATATATTTGTTTCTGGGTCAGTTGGTCACTTTTTTTTGGCTTACTGAGATTTGTGTACCAGTTGAGATGGTTGTTAGGTTGCCGAGCTGAACGAGAAGTTGGCCAAAGCCAATGCAGAGTTGCAGGCCGATGGGTGGAGTTGTGGGCAATGGGATGAAGGCAACACTGAGGATCTCATGGAGACAAGACCAACAATATCCACTTGGGCTTATCTGAAAATGGAAAACACGCCCCAGTTATGGCCATTTCCTCCATCAAAAATGATGGTTTTCGCAGTGGCTATAGGTGGGTACTATCCTTGAGCCATGGATCTTGCCATGGGAGCCACCAGTGAGGCTAAACAAGACAATCTCAGGGAGGTGGAATCGCAAGTGGCAGCCCTTCAAAAGCTGCTCGGCGGCATGCAGCACTGGGTCACTTTCTGGTGCTTTCGATGATGTTTCGACGATGTCCAACCCCGGATTGATAAACCTCGGACTAGAATCTGGGGGTTCGCCTCCCAGTGATCATGTGCTGCCGAAATGGTACCGCCCTAAATGATCAACGCAGGAGTGTCATTGAGATTTATCAATCTGGGGTTGAAGAGTTGAGGATACTTTTCACTTCCAACAAGTTTCCAAGATAATTCCGACCTGACCAGCAGATTTTGGCAAACTTTGGGCTGGCTCAAGCACCGACCAACACCGGAGAATCGGTATATTCACCATGCAAGAGTTCAAGGAGTTCAGTGCGTTCATACCATAGGCCTGATGATTTTCCAGATTTGTGCAACATGTCAGGTTTGATGCGGTAAATACCCCTACTGTTGATGGTCATGTCATGTCACACCTTTGTTGGTCACCTTAGCCCGAAGATGTCCGCCATGCCCAAACTGTGGGATTCATATCCAGTTTCAATTCCTGGGAGCCACCTTGTTCCATAGCCAGGCTTAGCGCGGTAGAATCCCCCAAGTGAAAATGGAAAAATCGTCAGTTTTGGGGGTGCCTCCTGCTTCATGGCAGCTTCTGTTGGCATAGAATTTTGCTAACAGGACTGTTTCTTAGAGCATTCAGTTGAAGTCCATTTGAAACATCCTTCGGTCCCGAAAATGCGGCATTCATTTCATTCACATTTATCAGGTCGGTAATTAAAGCGTCACATATGCGGCACATCACAGACAGCGCTAGAAGTTTCACCCAAGACGCTATGACAGCTATGGCAGCTATGCCAGGTCCCAGTACCGGGGTCCAGCCCGAGGGTACCACTGGAGCCGAGTTTTCTTCCCCTGAGATGCTTTCTGAAATTCGATGCCGCAACTTTTTTTTCAGGTTGCCAAGTATGTAAAGTTTCTGTAAAGAGTGGTTCCACTGTGGTGCCATCACTTCTGATGAGTTAAGGTGCAACGAACTCCAACTATGTTTTGAATCGTTTTGAGATACTTGTCTGAGACTTTTGAGGCAAAATTTATTTCTTGGCTAATCCCCCAATCAGCTCAGGATTGTTGCCGACTTCAAACAACTCCGGGATCTCGCCGCCCAGAATCCTGCCGCGTTTGCTAATTTGCAAGTCGAAGAGGCAGCCGAGTTGTGGGAAGATGCAGCTCAAATCCGGAAGATTGCGAATCACATCCTGTCACTGCTGGGTGTTACCCCAGAGGAAGACGCAGAAATGGAGGACAGGCAAAACGTGTGGGATGGGTGGCGCCTAGGGCCTAGAGTTCGTAGACACAAAAGAAAGTTAAGGGGAATCGAAGTCTACAGTCTACACATGTCTACACTATTGTACACTCTATGAGCTATCATTAGTAATTAATGATAATCCATTCCTTGTTCCATTCCAGAAAAGTTCGAAATCGGCTTGGCCAGCATCTTTGAAGGACTACGAGCTGCAGATTGACGATCCTAACAATCCCTTGAGCGCGTTCGCAGCAGTGTGGAACTGTTCCCGGGACATGGAGAAGCCAGATGCGCATCAGAAGTGGCGATCAGCTTGTGGACAGATAGTTTCTGCCATTAGGAAAGCTGAGGAGCTGCTACAGCCATTGCTGCGGGTAGAAGCGTTCCCTGCGGAGTCCGATGTGTTCACACATCCTACTGCCCCATCGCATCTGCAGGCCCCACTAGAGGGTAGTGTGACAGCAGAGACATGGAGCAAGACAGAAGAGACACGCGCACAAGGAGGCGCAGAGGCTTCACAACTTCCTGATGTCATTGCGGGGGGAGAGATCGAAGCCAAAATGCAGGCCATTGAGCACATACTGCTCGAGTTGCAGAATTTGTACGACAGGGATCACCCTGTCATTGCTGCGACACTGCATGCACTAGGCAATTTGAGTCGGCAGGCTGGAGATCTCAAGCAAGCCAAACAGTACTTTGATGAGTCCTTGAGAATGGAGCGCTCTTTGCACGGGGACAGGGATCACCCTGACATTGCTTCGACACTGCATGCACTAGGCAATTTGAGTCAGCAGGCTGGAGATCTCACTCAAGCCAAACAGTACTTTGATGAGTCCTTGCGAATGAAACGCTCTTTGCACGGGGACAGGAATCACCCTGGCATTGGTGCAACACTGCATGCACTAGGCAATTTGAGTCAGAAGGCTGGAGATCTCAAGCAAGCCAAACAGTACTTTGATGAGTCCTTGAGAATGGAGCGCTCTTTGCATGGGGACAGGGATCACCCTGACATTGCTTCGACACTGCATGCACTAGGCAATTTGAGTCAGCAGGCTGGAGATCTCACTCAAGCCAAACAGTACTTTGATGAGTCCTTGAGAATGGAGCGCTCTTTGCACGGGGACAGGGATCACCCTGACATTGCTGCAATACTGCATGCACTAGGCAATTTGAGTCAGCAGGCTGGAGATCTCAAGCAAGCCAAACAGTACTTTGATGAGTCCTTGCGAATGAACCGCTCTTTGCACGGGGACAGGGATCACCCTGACATTGCTGCGACATTGCATGTGCTAGGCAATTTGAGTCAGCAGGCTGGAGATCTCAATCAAGCCAAACAGTACTTTGATGAGTCCTTGCGAATGGAGCGCTCTTTGCACGGGGACAGGGATCACCCTGGCATTGCTGCAATACTGCATGCACTAGGCAATTTGAGTCAGCAGGCTGGAGATCTCAAGCAAGCCAAACAGTACTTCGATGAGTCCTTGAGAATGGAGCGCTCTTTGCACGGGGACAGGGATCACCCTGACATTGCTGCAATACTGCATGCACTAGGCAATTTGAGTCAGCAGGCTGGAGATCTCAAGCAAGCCAAACAGTACTTTGATGAGTCCTTGCGAATGAACCGCTCTTTGCACGGGGACAGGGATCACCCTGACATTGCTGCGACACTGCATGCACTAGGCAATTTGAGTCAGCAGGCTGGAGATCTCAATCAAGCCAAACAGTACTTTGATGAGTCCTTGCGAATGGAGCGCTCTTTGCACGCAGACAGGGATCACCCTGACATTGCTGCAATACTGCATGCACTAGGCAATTTGAGTCAGCAGGCTGGAGATATCAAGCAAGCCAAGCAGTACTTTGATGAGTCCTTGCGAATGAACCGCTCCTTGCACGCAGACAGGGATCACCCTGACATTGCTGCGACACTGCATGCACTAGGCAATTTGAGTCAGCAGGCTGGAGATCTCAAGCAAGCCAAACAGTACTTTGATGAGGCCTTGCGAATGAACCGCTCTTTGCATGCAGACAGGGATCTCCCTGGCATTGCTGCAATACTTCAAAAACTAGGCATTTTGAGTGCGCAGGCTGGAGATCTGAAGCAAGCCAAACAATACTTTGATGAGTCCTTGAGAATGGAGCGCTCTTTGCATGAGGACAGGGATCACCCTGGCATTGCTGCGACACTGCATGCACTAGGCATTTTGAGTCGGCAGGCTGGAGATATTAAGCAAGCCAAACAGTACTTTGATGAGTCCTTGCGAATGAACCGCTCTTTGCACGCAGACAGGGATCACCCTGACATTGCTGCGACACTGCGTGCACTAGGCAATTTGAGTCAGCAGGCTGGAGATCTCAATCAAGCCAAACAGTACTTTGATCAGTCCTTGCGAATGGAGCGCTCTTTGCACGCAGACAGGGATCACCCTGACATTGCTGCGACACTGCATGCACTAGGCAATTTGAGTCAGCAGGCTGGAGATCTCAAGCAAGCCAAGCAGTACTTTGATGAGTCCTTGCGAATGAACCGCTCCTTGCACGGGGACATGGATCACCCTGGCATTGCTGCGACACTGCATGCACTAGGCATTTTGAGTCGGCAGGCTGGAGATCTCAAGCAAGCCAAACAGTACTTTGATGAGGCCTTGCGAATGAACCGCTCTTTGCATGCAGACAGGGATCACCCTGACATTGCTTCGACACTGCATGCACTAGGCAATTTGAGTCGGCAGGCTGGAGATATCAAGCAAGCCAAGCAGTACTTTGATGAGTCCTTGCGAATGAACCGCTCTTTGCACGGGGACAGGGATCACCCTGACATTGCTGCGACACTGCATGCACTAGGCAATTTGAGTCAGCAGGCTGGAGATCTCAAGCAAGCCAAACAGTACTTTGATGAGTCCTTGAGAATGGAGCGCTCTTTGCACGGGGACAGGGATCACCCTGACATTGCTGCGACACTGCATGCACTAGGCAATTTGAGTCAGCAGGCTGGAGATCTCAAGCAAGCCAAGCAGTACTTTGATGAGTCCTTGCGAATGAACCGCTCTTTGCACGGGGACAGGGATCACCCTGACATTGCTGCGACACTGCATGCACTAGGCAATTTGAGTCAGCAGGCTGGAGATCTCAAGCAAGCCAAACAGTACTTTGATGAGTCCTTGCGAATGACCGCTCTTTGCACGGGACAGGGATCACCCTGGCATTGCTGCGACACTGCATGCACTAGGCAATTTGAGTCAGCAGGCTGGAGATCTCAAGCAAGCCAAACAGTACTTTGATGAGTCCTTGAGAATGGAGCGCTCTTTGCACGGGGACAGGGATCACCCTGACATTGCTGCAATACTGCATGCACTAGGCAATTTGAGTCAGCAGGCTGGAGATCTCAAGCAAGCCAAACAGTACTTTGATGAGTCCTTGCGAATGAACCGCTCTTTGCACGGGGACAGGGATCACCCTGACATTGCTGCGACACTGGATGTGCTAGGTGCTTTGAGTCGGCAGGCTGGAGATCTCAATCAAGCCAAACAGTACTTTGACGAGTCTTTGAGAATGTAGCCCTCTTTGCACGGGGACAGGGATCTCCCTGGCATTGCTTCGACACTGCATGCACTAGGCAGTTTGAGTCAGCAGGCTGGAGATCTCAAGCAAGCCAAACAGTACTTTGATGAGTCCTTGCGAATGAAACGCTCCCTGCAGGGTGAGGGATCACCCTGAGATTTCTGCGACAGAGGTTCAAGATCTGAAGCAAGCCAAGTCGTAGTTTGGGACGTATGAATCCCGGAATTCAACATGTTTAAGTTTAAGCGGTGGGTGAGTCGCCCAAGACCGACATGCGTCTGCTTTTGTACAAGCTTTGATAACCAACCAGGACTTGACCATGCAAAATTGGCTGGGCATACCTGGTTTGCCAGTGTTCAGCGGTCTCGTAGGATAAGGGCAGATATGGACGTGTGTTTTTGCTGCAGGCGAAAGGTCGCCAAAGCGCGGCGTAAGGGCAGTTTTGGGGAACCATAATTTTGAACAACCCCCATGTACTTGCATTGAACATTCTTGAACACGTACATGGTATTGCGTGGAGTACCACCTGTTATGGTGACAGCCATTATCAATAGAGCGCTTTCCAGGTTTCACAATGGAATTGCTAGTCCATGGTGAGGCAGTATGCCAAACAAGCTTTCTGCAAGAGTTCTGAGCGAGACCAGTGTAGCAAATCCCTCCAGATCCAGACGCGCCAGCCCAGAATTATGAAACATCGAGCTGCAAGCCTTTTCCAATTTGTGAACAGCGGTAGAACCTATGATTCCGTTCAGGTCTTTCTAGTGATTCTAATGTTTGGCTGTGCAAAAAACCCTGGGTTTCCAACTTTTGTTCTTGAATATCTTTGCAGACTCAGGAAGTTGAACGACACCATCTCGGAGAAGGCTCCTCGGTCAGAGTGATATCAAGTGCGGACGTCAACGGTACCAATCCTAGCGGGTTGGAGATAACATACGCGGATCTCACCAGCAACAAACAATAGCAAACATGCCAACCTGGAGTTTGGTGATTTCAATGGGGGAAAATATCAAGACCAAACCTGGAGTGTTGGATATAAAATTGCAGTAAATTGCAATGTCACTCGACTGGTTGGGATAGAATGGACACGCTTTTCAGGATCTGGCACTCCACATCAGATATTCATGGTCGATTCATGATGCGTGGGCCATGGTGGGCCTTTTGCTCCAATGACGGTTGGAGCCCTTGGTCCCTTGGTCATTTCATCCTGGCGTCCAAGCGAATCCCCCAGGACCGCTTGGTTGCAGAGTCCCAGTTGACCAAGGAGCATCTGAAGCGAAGTCTCTATTTTTGGATTTTTTGGATGGTTCAACACAGGGTCATCAGCGGTCATCAGTATGGGGGATGACGGGGGATGAACATGGATGAACATCCATAGCTAGCAAACTACTATAGCTGTTTTGGTGTGAAAACGTGTAAAAATCAAGGTTCTCCCCGACTTGCCAGCTGGTCGCGTACGGGAGAAGCCGGCCAGTTCCCTCTCTCAAGCGTGGATCATACAATACAGATGTGCGTGTGCAGTATATGACCATATATGGACACATAGTTGGGACTGAATATGCTTGATTCTCTTCAAGATTAGCAAAATATTTGACTTAGTGCCTTAGTGCATCTTGAATAGATATTTGATTAGTTGCATGATCCGCGCATTCTCAATGCCAAGTTCAAACCAGGGTGCTGTCGCATATGTTTCTTTTCTGCGTTAGGAGCGACTGGCCCGCGCCGACATCTTGACAGTTGGGCTGAAGGATGAAGGAATCCGATGGTCTGAAGCCAAGGGGTACCCCTGAGGAGGTAATACTGTGATCTGGGTGGTGGTTTGGAACATTTTTTATTTTTCCATATATTGGGCATAATACTCATAATACTCCCAACTGACGAACTCATATTTTTCAGAGGAGTTGAAAACACCAACCAGATGATGCTTCAGTGTGAAAACACATAAAGTATGGATTTTGAGCCCAACAATGGGATTTCGAGCCTAGAAAAATCTAGAGATGGTCTTTCCTTATTGGGAGTTCCACGGAGACTTTGCAGGATGCTTGAAACCCAACAAAACCTCGGTCACGGCACTTTGAACATCAAGACAAGGCGTGAACGGACAGCAAAATGATCCCGAACGCCAAGATTAGCTATTTTTGACACTACATTCCCAACCTATCAAAACATGCATATTATAATATTATTATAATATATATATATATATTATAATATTATTGATATTATATTATATTATATTATAATATATGCTATAATATATATATATACACATTTTCAGCCTGCATTGTTGGAATATGATGGACGTAGCAATTTGATCTTCGGATTCAACCTCGCAGAACTTGAGGCGCGAGACGGTGTCCACGATTCGACAAGATATCATCAATCTCACTGGCGATGTCACGAGCTCAGGTTTGTTTGAAAACGGGAAGAGGTGATATATCCACATCTAGAAACCCAAGAAATCTGTGGTAGGAGACTCAAATATCTTTGACAAATTATTGATATCAGATAGGACATTCCCCGAATTTATGGAAATTAAATGGAGGATAATGATGGACTAGTTGTGAATTTTGGGGTATAAGATGGTATACCATGACCAAGTACTAGAGTCGGTGAAAACCAATGCGCAGCTGGCAATCACGTGCAGCTGTTCGAGGTCTTTTTGTCTGCAGCGTCGATCTCCTACTATGGGTGCGCCCGGGAGTTTGGGGATTCCATGTATATAGCTGGCTGAAACACTGTGGTGCCAGGCCCTTTACCGGCACCTATCGCAACGACATTGTTGATGCCTGGCTCAAGGACACTTGACTGGCCTTGGGATGACATGGCATGACATGGCGAATGTGGGATTCAGCCAATGCCATAAATAAACAATAATAAACATACCATATATGGGGATGGCTTTTTACCAACCATTTACAGTCACATTGAGGGATGGTTTATGACATGTGGAGGAACTTGCGGACCTGCTGGTTTCCAGCAAATTCTGAACATGCCGAGAAGCACTTTGTAAGCATTGCAAGCAGTATACGCTCATCATGCTCATCATATCCCAGTGATTGCTGCTGGCAGACTCCTGGAGATGTGAGCTAATGACCTCCAGATATTTTCCCAGGTTTACCCCTGGATGATGAAACATGTCTGGCAGGGAAATCCCCATTTTCTGATGCGGAAGATACTCAAATATACTCAAGAAGTGGTTTTATTGTACCGGTACCCACTGCTATTCTAGAAAAGATCAAGTATATATACAGTATATACATTATGGAGTATGTAAAGTGCCCACCTCATGCTACATAGTAATAGTAATTGTTGGAACATGTTCCACTGTGAGCTTTGACGGGTTTGTTTGAACATTGGGTGCCCAATTTTACTCCATGGTCAATCACCATTTTTCACCCTTAAAATGGCCATTGATGATCCTGTTCCATCCCGTTCCATCCTGGTCCCGCAGGAGCTAAAGAATTTGAGCATCCCCAGCGGAGATACCTTTGACCTCAGGGAGGCGACTCGACTGGCACCAGGACTCGCCCCCCCCCTCATTCTTTTATAAATTCATCATTGGGATGATTTAAGGGAAAACCTGCAGGAAACCATGGGTTTTCCAGGGTTTTCCCATTAACCGTGAGGGTTTCCCTGTAAATGTTCCTTACACCAAGGCATTCTTGTTGACCAGTTTGAAGGGGGACACTGCAGGGGTGAACATGGATTCCTGGTACCCAAATTTTTGAGGGGCATCTATTTACATGTTGATGGTTTGATATTCAAGGCACAACAGTCAAATATTTAGACTGAAATTTGGTATAGTAGCTCCGCTTTTAGGAGTGAGATATTGCAAGAAAATGCAAGAAGGGGCCCTCAAACAATAGGTTTCTGTGGGTTAGAGACTAGCATGATAAGGTCATGGTTGATACATCTAGAGTTGGATGGGTCAAACTATACAAATGTCTTTTAACTCGGGGCCCCTTCTTTTAACTCGGGGCCCCTTCTTTTAACTCGGGGCCCCAACTTCTAGAGTTGGAGGGGTGACGCTATACCAATTTCTTTTAACTCGGGGGCCGTGATTTATTTTTGGTAACCCATCATTTGTTAAGATCTTTCCAACATCAGGTTGGACTTGGCTTTTTGCACGTGATACATCCAGATGCGGACCAAACATTGAGCGCTACTCAGAGGATGATCGACAAACAGATCTATAATAATAATCATAATAAAAAAATAATGATAAATATACATGTATATATATACAGTATATGATATGGATTCATTATTTATCATCCGCTAGCTTATTTGTCCAGAAGTCGAATAGGGATTTCTTTTTTTCATGGCTCTTCCTTGGCGACGAATGCAGCCAGGTGATGGGAAATCCCGTTGAGATCAGAGAATGGAACCTCCAAGGTCTTCCAGCAGATGTTTGGGGCACCAAGTTCGGTCAAGTCAAGGCGGTAGCATGGGCCCCAATTGGTTGATGATAACCAATATCAATTGGGGAATATCACAATCAATGAATGGGGGAATCCCGTTCTCAACCAAGGTTTTGAACACTGCTCAATTGAGAATATCCACCAACCGAGTAGCAAACCATCCATATTGGAGGGTTGATAACTTTGACCATCTTTGACCCATACCCAAGTTGAAGAGCTGCCTTCTTGCTGCTAAAAGGTTGATGTGACATTTTAGGCCTGCATTGACATGATCATTCCAGTTCACATCCATTCATATCCATATTGTTTGCTATGAATGTCCCAAAAGTATCCAATAGCCACAATCCCAACCATTGTTTTCCTCCTCTGCTGTCATTCCTTTTTGCGGATGAACCCCTCTACCCTGGACGCACAACATCCGCGACTCCGATCGTATCCGACCCCCAAGGCTGTGTCCATCAACAACGGTGTCATGGTGATGCGCGGGAAGCGATGGCCCTTGATGATTGACCCGCAGTCGCAGGCGTGGCGTGGGTTGACAGCAACCATTCAATGATTTCAATGGGTTGGGCTGCATGATTATCTATGTACTGAGTACAGGCCGTGAATTTATGTAATGGAACTTGAACCATGACTTTGAATGGGGTCCTACGGGATGGTAGTTAGATTTACTACTGAATATGATTAAACTGTTGGGTCACATTGGGAAGATTTAGGGGGTATATGTACTATGTATTAAGCATATCCATTAAGAAAAATGTTCATTGAGTAAAAGGATATACTTGTACTATGTTCATTTTCCGGATCTTGATCCAGTTGAGCCAACAATTTGACTTTTGATCCACACCCATGTGATGCCGTTAAGAGTGGAGACGCTGCTGTCCGACGTCGAGACAGTGCCTTGTGTTAGATCTTCCGCAGGGCAACAAGTGGATCAAGAAGAAGGAGGGCAAGGACCAACTGCGATGCCAGTGCAAAGACCCTAGGGTAAACATAACTTCTGGTGTGATGAAAACTGGTTCCCCTAACTGGTTCCCAGCAGTTATGATTCTGATGCAGTTGACTTTAATCTAATTTGGAAAGCCATATGGTTCCCATAATGGAGGGCTTTCCACATTTTTCCTGTTGGTTTATAGGAGGGTCTCACAACAGACGTGGATATTGAGGTAAACCAACTAATGAACCATTCACGAGAATAAGTATATTCTGGGCTTTACCTGATGAAAGGACTCAAACATCGCCCAGACATCAGGATTTCCGGTCAGAGGAAGCTGCCAAAGCTTGACTTCAGGACCTAAAGACCTTGAAGATGACGAATCCCAAGATGCTTTTGATCCTGGAAGGCCTGGAATCGGGAACAACAAGAGTTGTGTTTGACTGTGGAGATGTCACAATGGGATCTCCAAATCTCTGACTCTGTCCCAAGATCAAATAATTTAACAGTTTGTAGTTTGTTGCTATCGAACATGGTGACTGTGGGATTGGGAATAAATATCCATGAATTCCAGTTTTTTTTGGAGTACCATTTGGATGGGTTTTGACTCAGTTCCACAAGTATAGCAGCCAGACCAGTCAAGACCTCCATGCAGATCCATGCCACTGGTGCATAGCCGCAGGTTGCATTCGCACCGGGGCTCCCATGCTGATGGAGGACAGTGGATGCCATGCCATAGTAGAAGGTGTTGGTGAAGCCCAAACAAATCGGGAGATTATGAACCGGAACATGTCAATATCAGTATCCACCAGGAAAGTCTTGCTTTGAGTGTCACATAGGAAAGTCATTTCACTTCTAATACTTGGAAGTTGATCTCTCAACCTCAGCACTCAGCACTGCTTGAAACTCAATTCCAGTCCTGGAAAGGCATGGTTCAATCTTAGAGACCCTTGGTTTTTCCTCGGTTTTCCCATGTGTTTCGTAGGTTTTCCCATGTTTTTCGTCGGTTTTCCCATGTTTTTCGTAGGTTTTCCCATGTGTTTCGTAGCTTTTCCCGTGGTTTTCCGTCGCGTTTTCCGGTCGTCCTTGTGGGTTTTAGGACATTGAAGAGACCTTGGACCCAGCCTTGGAACCGGTGCTGCTGAAGGCACAAAAAGGGCGATCTGGGGACCCAGAGGATCCCAGAGAGCTGGATAACTGGGGGTGCCCCCATGACTTAGGAAACCAACACATATAAACATGATATATATATATATTATATTATATATATATATTATCATATAAATATCTATAGCACTCCTATAGATGTATTTGTTCATATTTCTTCTATCTCAGATATATATTGAGCTCCTGGTTGGTGGTTTCGTATCTATCTATATATATATATATTATGATATATCTATAAACTATAGATACTATAGATGTATTTTTTCTATCTCATATATTATCGTATACTGTATATTGAGCTCCTGGTTGGTGGTTTCGTTCTATCTATATATCTATCTATTATCTATCTATCTCTATATCTATATATATATATATATTATAATATGTATATATATAATATATATAATATATATATAATATATATATATATATATATGTGACTGTCTATCCCAGCTGGGATGATGATCCCCAAGACCTTTTTTCTCGTTGTTGTTTTTTTGGTGGTACTATTGACGATCCATTCTTGGGCTATTTGGATTTTTGAGCCGTTGAAGGGGACAAATTCTTGGATGGTTATAAAGAACACCAATTTTGCGGGTTTTAGCACCACCCTCCGGTGGTCAAACGTGGCGATTGGACATCCCCTATATTTTTTTTTTGCGGGAAAATCATCTACAAATTGGAGGATTTTCCATTGACATGTTTGACTACGAGTCATCATGAGGATATGATGGGCACCAGCAAATCATCAAATGTAGACATCTCAAATTCCCAGCAGTTGACAATGAACGGTCCATTTCTCAGAAAGTCGATGAAGATCCAATGAACTTAGGGGTTGATGGTCTATTTCACTAAGAAACTTCAATGGGATTTTGGGGGATTAGAGCCAATGACGGCGTGCTGGCCGTCAAACGTTGGAGTATACCCCCAGTCCCTGGGGGATTTTGTCATCAATCCATTCTGGGAACAGATTCCCTGGGATGGATGATCATCACCCATTCATGCCATGCCATTTGACCATGTGTCACACATGGCAACCATTGTGGTTGACTTTCGGGCTGGTTCAGGCAGTGTATGAAGACAACAATCGATTGCAGATCAAGCTGGGAGACAGTGAGGCATGGTGATGGCAAATCTTCGCAGATGGGATGTGATTTCATGTTTCCTCCCAACATCCGGAAAAAAACAAACAAACACACTGAAGGTACACCATGGTCCAATGCTACACCATTTGAACAAACAATGAAGTGTGGTCCTTGCAGAGTAGATGTGGAGAAGGCGCTTCTGCAGACTTTGTGAATCCCTGTGGTTCAAGGACTTGCGGGGTGCCCATCATTTAGTGCCTTGTAAGATAATCCAATGACTGTTTCGTTTCTGGCAGAGACCTCCAAGCAAAGACTTCCCCGTGATGCTGGTTTTGCCAATGCTGCGCTTCAGGTGGATTACGACAAGAACTTCCTCTTCTACATGACAACAAAGATGCCCAATCCACACTACTTCCCAGAAGTTTGCATCAAGGCGAAACGGTAAAAATCGTTGCCTTTCGGTTGCTGAAGGGAGAAGTAGCAGTGACCATTTGCTTCGGCGGGAAGAAGAATGTTTGCCTTGGAACCTAGCTTCACCAGAGGATCAAAGTCTTACTGACATGTCAGTGATCTGAAATTCCACAGGTGACGGTCATCAACTTCACCGTCACGTTCGAGGGCTTGGAAGAGCAATTGCTGAATGAGGTTGGCTGCATCGTTGGGTAAGGCCGAAATACTCCAAACCGTCTCAAACCGTCTCTCCACAATTCTCCACATTCCAATGTGCAGGGCTGTGAATAGCTGTAGGAATAGGGTGGAGATCCACACACAACCATTGGAGCCTGTCGACATAGTTTCGCGTAGGGAAGCTGAACCGTCCCCAAGGGAATTGGATGATGGTCCCCGATGACTTTCAACTTTCAACATATTTCAACATGGAATTCAGTGGAACCCACCAGATTCTTGTGAATAAATCAATCCCATTCCCCCAATATTAACCCTTCCCACCAAAATAAACATGCTTTAGTTGATCAAGTAATCCCATCCCCCTATATATTGACATCATGTGGACCATCCAGTGACCATCCACTGCATGGCGCTGGGAAGGTGGTTTCCAAAGAAATCCCAGCAACTTTGCAGAGGAGGGTCGCGGAGCTCAGCTGGTTGGTTTTATGGGGGCGAGCTGAACAATTTTAACAAACATCACAAACTTCCCAATAGAAAACCATGGGTCGGATATAAACCATTCCAAAATAATGAATCTATATATAAGTTTATGGCATTGAATCCCACAGAAATTTTGCAGTTTTCAAAGATTACTTCCAGTTCCAGACCGGCCCAGGTTGAGCTGATGCTGCAGCTGGCAGATGATAAGAGACTCGGCAGCTGCGTTCGATACAACTGTTGGGTTGATTCCAGGGAGGATTCTACCCGGTTATACCATGAAACTCTGGGGATATGAGTCGATATAACTCAGAAAATGATGATTCGTTGATGATTAGAGGGTTGTACTACCCAATACATTGGCATTGTCACTATCCACTGGGAATCTCTATTAACCAACCACTATGACTACCATTGGAACGACATGTATCGGATTTTGCGTGATTTCACTCAACTATTGGGGATTTGAACATCAAAAAATGGCAGGGCTGGCTATGTTTGATAAACGATGGTTGGTTGATCAGAAACATGTAGTTAGAGGAGCAGCTTCTGGTCAAGAGCTATCCAGGTACAGTCTCCATTCCCCATGACCTTTTTTCTATGGTCACTTTTCCTGTCAGGAAGGTGTTGAAACAGCTGGAAGACAAGATCCTGAAGCTTCTCTCTGAGTCCAGTGGTACCTGGGTTGCACATGTTGCACCTGGCAGGAGCTGGCCCCCTCCGCCAATGGATCACTGGGGGATGGGTTTGCCAAACCCAGCCTTTTTGGTGAAGCTTCCCTGACGCCAGGCAACATTCTCGATGATCAGGTGGGTTTGGGTTGAAGATCGCATGATTTTGAGGATGTCAGATCGGACTCGGATTGAATCATTCCAGTGTTCTGCCATATGTGCTGTCAAAGTGTGGGGGCAGGGATTGCGCCACTTCGATTCAGATTCTCCAGTCTTTTCATAACTATTCATCCCATGTTTGCTTGTGACTCATCCCATAGATCAAATGTCATCCCATTTGCCATGGTCAATTTAATCAATGGTTTTTGATTCAATTCGCATCTATTACTTCACTGTCCAATTTTTCAATGGTTCACTCACCATTCTGCCTACATCATTGTACATTCCCATCTTTGATCCCCAAAAAGCTCAAGAATCAGTTTCAACCATCTTCAGTCCCAGATCATAATATCTTATACTCCAAGAAAATGTGATAATAATATAAAGTTCCCCAGAAAAATTGGAACTATAGTTAATTTTCCAATAAGATCACATAACTATAACTACTATAACTACTATAGTTGTTCCCCATGTTTTTTTGTCCCCCGGGTGTCTGGAAAGCTGGTGCCAGGTGCTCATCAGCACCCTTGGGGAGTCCAAAGAGACCTCCACAGCGGTGAATCAACGAGTGAAGGCCGCCGAAGAAGCCGCGGTGGAGCCCAAAGCCCCAGATGCTGCAGCTGGTTATGACTAACATAGCCATGGTATAGATGGCCCATAGAAATAGATGGTTTACCTGAGTTTACCTATTAAAAATGGTGATTTTCCATGGCTATGTTAAATAACCAGATGGTAATTATACATACATAGTCATATATAGAAACAATATGTACACACCAGACTCAATGATTTTTTTGAGTCCAACATTTTGAATCACCCCGTGTTTATCCAGCGAAATCACGGATTTGATTCAGCAGCAATGGAGATTTTGCCACAGAGGCAACTATTGAAGCAACAACAATCAGGATATACTGGCACCAGCAAGAATTGGAATTCAATCAAAACAAAAAAAAGTCCTGATTAAATTATTTTAAATCCTCATTAATTTATGGCTAATTGACTGGCTAAATTTAATGGAATTTAATGGAACTTAAGAATACTTTAAGGGCCATTGACTTTTCTCAGATTTTCATCGACCATCAAGGATGGTGAGTTGACCCACCAAGAAATGGGTGAAAAAAAACAGATGGAGGCGAAGCAAACCAAACAAGTCCTTGTGACCAATGGCAATGCAAGCAGAAAGAACGAAAGAAAGACAGATAGATAGATAGATACACGACCATTTAAGTCAGGAAAACTACTGTAATGGGCTTCACCTCGGGATGCAAGGAACACATCTTGGGATTGGATCATATTTGATCCAGAAAAATGGGAATTGACCGACAAGAACCCGGACGGAGAAAGGACCAATACCATTTTAGACGGTGATGCACAACCAATGACCCGCCTTTGCTGAGGATTGATGCTGCCTGTAAGCAGTACACAGAGGCTGGCGGTCTCAAAGCCTGAGGTGTGTACAGTGAAAGACAAACACACAGTTTTTTTTTCGTTCTTATGTACAATATGTATATACATAAAATAGTCTACATGATTGATTGTTACATGTTTACATATAAATCTAGGAGTCCTGTGAGTTCTTGCTCAAAATCAATATGGAGATGAACCTTGCTAAACTTGATGTTATCTTCATCAACAGTTGCATATGTTGATTTTGGTAATCTTTGGTTTTTCCCTGATCCAACTCTCTTAGGTCCGTTCATGGCAGGAACACAAATATATTTTAGTCAAATGCTGACTGTGACACAACACATCATCATCCTTCATCCAATTCTAGAGGATACCCACAACCTCTCTAGGCTAAGCCTAAGATGGACACATCCCTCCCTGGCCAGGTGGCAACACGTGGAAGCATCCTCTACTTTGTCATTGCGGATTTGGCCAACATCAATCCCATGTCACCCACCATGTTTGCCATGACACAGCGACATGCAAAAAGAGCACACAGCTTCACGCAGCTTCACGCAGCTTCACGCAGCCAGAGACAACAGACCAAGACCCACATAAAACAAACAACAATCTTCAAGACATGGTGTGCTGTCTTGACTTCCTTGCTAATTGCAACAATAGTGACCCAACGGTTTTTCCCTATGGCAGGTACCAGTTCAGCTTGTTCTACTTCGTGCGGCTTTTCAAGACATGCATGGACAAAGCGGCCAAGAGTGCGGCACCTCAGATTGTCATATGGCGAACTGGCCCAAAGCTACCTTGGTTTTCCGACCAAAAAACCGCTAGCACATGAAAAAAACACATCCCAGCAACATATGGGTATGTCTGAAAATGGGGTATACCCCCAATTATAGCCATTTAGTAGGGATAATGATCATTAACCATTGGGTCATTGGCTACACTATTTTCAGACAAACCCATATGGCAGTTTAATGATGTTCATTGGTTTTGATCCATCCCCACAACTCATTAAATCGACTTGTGGAGAGACCTCCGAACGCGAACCCTCCGAACGGCCAGGTGATGACATCGACATCCGCATGACCAACTTGGGCAACCAGATCTTGAACGGCATCTTTCAGAACGTTTGCAGAGGCCACACCACGCATAGCCACGCCCTTCATCCCTTTCTGCTTTTTTTTTTGTGGATCTGCCTGGAGATCAGAAATGGGGAGTTCACCTGCAAAAAGTTGGGATTGAACCCCCGAGATCCCCAAGGGATTGAACCCATCAGCTGGCAGGCTTGTTTGAGGACAACAAACTGACCTGCAGCTTCCTCATCGCTACTGCCCTGCAACGTCATGCTGGGGAGATCAGCCCCACTGAATGGTCTTTGCTTCTCAGGACGGCTGCGGTTTGGAGACGGAATCGAACCCAAGCTGCCACTTTTTAGTACTTTTTACTCATTCTTACTCTTTAAGCTTTAAACTTTAAACTGTTAAAAGTCAGGAGATCACTCCGTTTTATCATCTCACTTGATATGCTTCTTTGCATGCGTAATTAGAAATTTGTCAAACACACCAAGAATGGTGCACGGTGCACCTCTGACTCTGTCGTTGGCCAGGGGTGTTGGATTGCTGGACATGAGTGCGCGGCCTGCCAATCCAGATACCGACTTCTTCACTGAAAAGATGTGGGATTTCGCGCCTTGGCCTGGGGCAAGAGGTGACGGGATCCCCAAATCATCCAAGCTTTAGATGGACTTTCTATTGAAACTAAGGGGCTTATGGGTCTTATATATCTTATGGCATCCCCTGTTGGGAAACTTCCAGTTGCCGGATTTTCTTTGGCCTCCAAGCGAAGATGTGAAAGCACTGGGGAAGTTGGGGAATACCGTCTACGCTTGATTCTGGACAGAACATGTTGTGTTGAACACTCTAAACACTTTGCATGATCCCAGCCTGCGTCGCATCAAAACTTGGACTAACTCGTGATACGGCAATCATGTTCATCACTTTCATCCAAATCATGTCATAATTTATTATATATATATTTTACTACACACACACACACACGCAGTTATGTTTGATGGATGTTGTTTGATTCTATCTACAGTAAATCAATGTTGGATATTACTTGATTACATCTAAAATCAGCTGAAATCAGCTAAAGTCAGCTATAATATTCTTTCACCAGTTGCTTTTCCTGCACACAAAATCACGAATCACCGAATCGCCGGAAAGGTGTATGCCATCCAGATGTATTCGGCAGATCGCTGCCCGGATTTGTGCCAAGAGATTGCCGAGAACTTGGAGGATTGGAAAGATTGGGCAAGGGCCTCAGGACATCTCAGGACGCCAGGACTGGTGAATCTGAGGTGACTTTTCGAGCGATCTGAGAGTGTCTGAAAGTAGGTTCATAATGTTTCATATATATAAATGGTTTGAATATGTTTAATAGATATATATAATATATATATATACTTGTATACTGTATATATTAATACACGATTAAGCAGTAGATTTAGAGACACGCTTTTCAGAATCCATCTGAAGAGAGGATTTCGTGTTTTTGAAGGAGGGGTCTTTTGGGGAGGGAGAGTGCATCACCAGCGACCGAATCGTGGACCTCGTTCTGTCCAATGGGTAACGTTGCTAAGGTTCAGCACGAGATGCCACACTTGCAGCCCATGCCCAACAATTACGAGGAGATCTTGTGGGATGGACGGTTTCAAACAGATGCATGCAGAACCGGATAGTTTTACGCAAGCTGCTTCATGACCGCCGTGAGTGTTTTTGGTCTCTTGTTCAGCAGCTGTGACATTGACATCAGAAATTGCAATGCACTCACAGGAGAGGAGCCAGCTTCATTACTTCCATTACTTGCTGCTATTGAAGGCAGGATTGCCGAATATTGCCGAAATTTGGCAGTTGAGAACAGCTCTTGCGTCGAACTCACAGTACAAAACAGGCTTTTCTGATTGTTGGGACACTCTGTTGAACATCTGTAGGAAATGAGAAAGGAGGCTCATTGAGTTGCAAACCACTCCCTTGCAGTTTGCTGTTCTTGACACTTAGCTCCCTTCCAACAGCCTGCTGAAATGAATTTAAGACCAGCAGTTGATGGTTCATGATGGTTCCTAGGATTCCAAAATTTTCGGATCCATGGGATTTCGTGGTATTTCACCATTTATTTCATGGTGTTTCAGTGTCTCATGCTATCCCCCTGTGGGAGTCCCGTCTGTTGATCCAGGGCTTGGCGCAAGAGAAGCTGTTGGTGGCCATCCAAGAGCACACTCGGAGGCGATCGATCTGGGTGGATCCTGGAGGTTGAATGGAACAAACAAATGGTGGCTTCATGGTGGTTTGATAGTGACTCAATGGGGATTAATGGTGGCTCAATGGGGATTAATGGTGGCTTAATGGGGATTTTGCTGGTGGTTTGGAACCATGGAATTTGATGACTTTCCATATATTTGGGAATAATCATCCCAACTGACTGGCTTTCATATTTTTCAGAGGGGTTGAAAATGGTTGAAACAACCAACCAGAAGTTTTCTCACCATGACAATGCTAAGATGCGACCACATCACCAGTTGAACGGTCCGTTCCAGCTGTGCCGAAAAATTCTGCTGGTGAGGTGCCTGGGTGAGGACTTCATAATCTTTCCCACCGCGACAGTGACTTGGATGCAGCAGATGTCATGTGACCTGGCTGGGGTTTCTGGTTTTCTGAACAGATGCCTCACAGATGTTCCAAACAAGGGCTCAGTAGCTTGGGAATTGTAGGTAACATATAGATTTTGCTCGCAGTTTCTGTTTTTTGCACATCTGCAGTATGCGTTTTGCTGTTTCTGCTATATGCTGCTAGAGCCTCTGAGGTGGCGGAACTTTATGCAGATTCCACCCGCAGCACGCCAATTGTTTCTGGGCGCAAGATTGGCTGGCTGGTCGGTGAGTGGCTGCCACCCCTGAGCAGATGTTGCTGTATCAAGCTGCTAGCTGTATCAAAAATGCTGCTGGTGGTGGTTTCAACATGTTTCAACATGTTTCAAAATATAGACCATGTTTGAAGATCTTACAGCCATGAAATGATGGGAGCTGAATGAGTATGTGCCATGGTCAAAAGGTGGGTAAAATAATACTATATAATACCCATATTGGGGGAGGGTCATCAATCCATTAATAGGGATCTCTCTATATACCCTCCCCACACACACACACACCCAGCACAAGGATTCCAATGATGGAATGGATGACCATAAACCGTATTAACCCATTGCAAGTTGACCATGGCATATGAAAGTCAGTGGGGTCATGCTCACTACGTGACATGTCAGGGTCATGCTCACTACGTGACATGTCACCACTTGCTTGTATGAAAGGCCTCGCAATCATTTGGGTTCACAAGGGCCCTTGAAGCCAATCACGGCTTGGCGAAACGGAGAAATAGAGTGGAGTGATTTGGTGTTGTGGTGAGGGATTAATAACCCCTATACAACTGACGGTATTCGCTGCCGTAATTTCATGGTAGCGGAGCAGGAGATCTGTGACCTGCTTCCGCGCTCGACCTCGCGGTCTTTGTGAGGACATTTTGTCCTATCCTGGAAACTGAGGCCTTTCGGCCAATCTGGTGGCCACCAACATGGATGGTGGCAAAGACGCACTGAGGGATGTTTCATTTGATGGAAAACCCTCAGGGTACCGTGACTTTCGTCGCAAGACATTGCTGGCGATCGCTGGGTTGGAGGACAAGCATGCACACCTAGCAGGTCCCCGACTCCTTTCGCGACTGAGTGGTGAAGCCTGGCGTGCCACTGAGCACCTTAACATTTCTCAGTTGAGATCGCCTGATGGTTTCATGGTTGTGATCAAAGCACTTGATGAGCATTATAAATTCCTGCCTGAGACAGAGTTACATGAGAGCATAGATGAGTTTCTTTTCGCACTGAAACGTCGACAAGGTGAAGGAGCCACTGCCTTTGCAAGTAGGTTTAGAACTCAGCTTGCCAGAGTTGAAACACTGATCAGCCAGGAACGTGAAATGACTCGTTCCAAGCGCCGTCGCACAACTGAAAAGCCTGGAGACATCCCACCCGTGGATGAGCTGTATGAGTCCGAGTTGGAAGAAACTGCATCGGAAGGAGCAGGAACCGAACATCCTGCTGAACCTGCCAGACCCGAAGCTGAGCCGACCAGTGGCACAGCTGATGCATCCGAAGCTGCTCCACCTGCAGCTGAGCCTGGCCAGCCGGCCAGAGGCCCTGGAACTGCATCCGTCACCAGTTCAAATAGGTCTCGCAAGAAACAGCATAGCTCTTATGGCTCTTATGAGAAAGACTGGACAAAGGCCCAGGCCAAAATGCAGCAGATGCTTGGAACCTTGGAGATGGGGCATGTCAAGCCCAAACCAATATTTCCTCAATCTGTCCTTGGCCATTTGTTCATGCGTAAGTATGGTCTTTCCCGAGAGCAACGTGCCCAAGTAGTTCGCTCGACCAATGGATCCTCCAGGTTCATCGATGTTGAACGAATCTTGAGAGCATCGGACTTGGAAGAAAGCCACAAGTCCGAAGACCGTAGACCTCAACGTCCGAGTCGTCGGGAAGCCTATGCAGTTCAAGAACATGTCCATGCAGTAGAACAAAGTGATTCTTCCAGCCTTGCAGCCGTAGATACTGATGATTCCATGTCCAATGACGACGTCATGGCCGTCGACCAAATGGATTCCAGTGAAGAAGAGTTTCAAAATGAATTGCAAGAAGTTTATGAGTTGCAAAGGAAGTCAAAAGAGAAGTTCCGTAAGTCATTCAAGACTTACAAAGATACGAAGAAGAGAGTCAAAGAACTGAAGAGGAGCAGACAGCCATACTATCCTGTAGTCGCCTTGACACAGCCTCAGGATCAGAGTCAGCCCTCGCAGTCTTCTCAGAACCAAGCACCTTTGCAAAAGTCCAACTTCAAGTATGACAAGAAATCATCGAGCAAGCCTTATGTCAAGGGTAAGAAAGATGGCGGCCGTCCTTCCAAGAAGGAAGAAGCAAACATGACCGAGTCTGTGCTGGTCAGTTCATTTGCATACATGGTAGAAGCCTCTCCAAGTTTTGCAACTGCAGCCAACACATGGACCTCCGAAGAAGTTTTGCTTGCAAGTATTCCTGAAGGTCATGCAATTTTGGATACGGGTTGCACAACGTCAGTCATAGGAAGTGACACAGCAGCCAAGTTTCAGGAGTTCTTGAGACGCCGCAACTTGCCTCAGCCTGCAGAATGTGATTTGCCTCCGGTTGAACTAAAAGGGTTTCAAGGTGGTAAGGTCGAAACGACCACTGGACTTCGTTGGCATGTCAAGCTGGGATCTTTGTGGGGGTCAGTCACTACGTACGTTGTGCCTGGTCAGACACCATTTCTGTTGTCGCGCAGAGTCCTGGAAGGTATGAAGGCCAAACTTGACCTCGGCCAAAAGTCCATTACAAGTGAGCACCATGGTATGTTCAATGTGCCGTTACGGCAAGCTGCCAATGGTCACTTCTTGATGCCGCTGTACGAGATTCCCAATGATTTCCATGTAGAAGAATCACAGCTTGCAGAATCGATGATTCGTGCTGACGCCCAGCCATGTCAGCCTGAGTATGAGCCCAATGATGCAGAAGCTGCCGAAACTCCAACGCCATCCGAGCCTTTGCAGAGCCCTGGCCCATCCGAGGACCAGTGTGTAGTTGAAATCAAAAGGGATAAGGGTAAGCCCACCAAAAATGGTAAGATAACTACAGGGGATAGGCGTAGAGCATTCCAGCACATAGCAAAGAACACAAAGAATGGAATTGTAGATGTCCAGAAGTTTCAAGAAGAATTCAAAATCATCTATGGAAATTCAGGTTTAGAGGTTTCACATGCCATGATAGCATATAAGCCTAAGCTTGAGAGAGTTCCCACGGAACTTGCAGACGGTGAAATCCAGCAATCCATATTGACCTTGACCAGAGAAGGTGAGTTTTCTGTATCTCCTTGGTCAATCCGCCCTGCAGGATCCACCAGATGCCGTGTCCCACATGTGAGCATAGCCATGTTTGCATATCGCCCCGTGACATCCGAGATGTCAGCACAGCCAAAAGCCACCCGGTCAGCCGACCGTAATGCTGAGCCATGTTGCTATTGTTGTAATGAAGTTGAACATGATCACGGGACTCATGATAATGGGGACAATGGGAAAGATGATTTAGAAATGTTGTATGAAGAAATGGACTGGTTGGACATCAACACTGAACCAATTCCAAAGGAAACACAGGAAATGTTGCTTGCTTCCATGACGTCTTTACGTCGCACACAAGCTCAGTTGGTCATGACCAGAGTTCATGAGGAGCCTGAAGCGGTTCGTCGCGAGCTCAGTGAATGGTTAGGCCCACAAAGCACAGCCTTGGACCAAAACGTCCAATTCCTGGAAGTTTTCACAGGTAAAGCACCTCTTGCAAAACGGGTTGAAGAGAAACTTCAAGTGCCAAGCATTCGAATCGGTTTAGAATATGGTCATAACCTTGATCAACTCAAAGACCGTAGGATGCTTATGACCCTTATTGCATATGTCAGGCCACGTCATGTCTGGTTTTCATTTCCTTGTGGATGTTGGGGACCATGGAGCCGTTTTAACATGTCAAAAGGAGGTTCTTGCCGTGAAAAGATTGTTGCTCAGAGGGCGAAAGCCCGACGACACCTGCATGCGGTCACCGAAGCCTGGGCACTCCAAACAGCCCTTGGAGGACACTGTCATTGTGAAAACCCCTTAACCAGTGAAGCTTGGGGAGAACTTTGTCTAGGAGAGAAGTATATGACATTCGTGTTGACCAATGTGCCTTGGGTCTTCGTTGTCCAAAAACTCGGTTGCCAGTCCTCAAGCCGACCCGACTGGTCACCTCTCAGCGTAGTTTTGCCGAAGGCATGCAGCAGTATCGATGTGATCACCGCCATCAACATGGACATCTGGAGGGTAAGTATAAGGGGAGAAACCTGTCTAGCATAGCTGAAACTTACCCCACAAAATTCTGCAATGTTGTGTCCGAACTGATTGTCCAAGATGTCCAGCAGAACGACATGCCTCCAGCCAGCACTCAAGAGTATGTCTATGCGTTGGACGACGATGAGCTTGCAGAAGATATGCCAGTTGAAGCACCAGCCGGTGACGCACAGAAGCAACAAGTTGAGAAAACAGCACGAGCAAAACAAATTGTGATGAAACTTCACATCAACACTGGACATGCATCACCGGAGCAGATGATGCGCCTGGCAAATCGTTGTCATTCATCAGACACTGTCAAAGATGCCATCCGCCATTTTAAATGTTCTGTTTGTGAAGAACTTAAGTTGCCTACTTTGAGACGCAGTGCCACGATGCCTCATGCAGACCAGCCAAACCAAATAGTTGGGGTAGACTATGTCCAAGTAGAACTTAAAAGGGATGAAGAAAATGGGGATATGGTAGAACGTAAGTTTAATGTCTTGACCTGCGTGTGTCTAGGAACTGACTTTTGCCAGCAGATTGTCGTGCCAGGATTCGGCCAGGACAATCTCTCCAAAGCGTTTCATGCAGTTTGGACCCGTCCGTATGGTGCACCTAAGACAGTTTACATGGACCCTCAACAAACCAATTTGTCAAAGGACTTTCAAGCTTATTTGCGCCATTATGGAATCAACCTATTGCATTGTGCCGCCGACAGCCATTGGCAGATTGGCCGTGTAGAGATTGCCAACCGTGTCTTGAGAGACATGGCACGTAGAACTTGGAGGACAACCAGCCGTCCTGTTGAAGAAGTGATTGAAGCATGTTCCAGCGTAAGAAACCAACTGCTGAGAAAATCAGGATTCAGCCCTGCCCAATGGTTCTTAGGACAAGACACACGTCATGCCGGTTGGTTGATAGATGTCGAGGCTCAGGAAAACCCTGCAGTACAGTCTCAGATCATCACCGATCCATCCTTTCAAGCCAAAATGCACCTTCGTGAGGATGCAGCCAGAGCCTTCCTTGAGGCTCATGCTAAGGATGTTTGGCGTAGAGCCATTGCAAGTCGCAACAGGCCATTACGAGGTCCATACATGGTTGGTCAGTTAGTGTACATGTTCCGTAGGAGGGGCAAAGGTCAACTGACAACACGTAATGGTTTCTGGAATGGTCCTGGTAGGGTAATCGGTGTCGAAAGTTCCACAGGACACCATGTACCAAGAATAGTATGGGTTTCATGGAATGGATTTATCTACAAGTGTTCACCTGAAGGATTACGTCCAGTTCCAGAAGATGAAAGTGAATTCCGTCGTCTTGCCAAACAATTGTCAGAAGGTAGGTTGCATCCGGAAGCCGAAGCTGCAGAGCAGAACTTGCGTGAAAAAGCTGGCCAGTTTCATGACCTGACGCAAGAACTACCACCTGATGATAATGACTTTGAACTAGAAGATGATGTACAGGAAGAGCCTGATGATGATGACATGGGAGGGGATGACAATAACGATGATGATGATAACCCCCCTAGACGGAAATCCACCAAACGTCCTAACTTGGAGGGCGATGATGGGCTCCCTGCCCCCCGAAAAATCCGTGTTCGTTTCAACCGATCCCCAGAGTATTGGCAGAAACGTAGTAGAGGGATGCCACCATTAGGTCCAATCCAAGAGGGCGATGAACCCACTGTCTTGACACAAATTCCTGAAGAGCCACCGGCTCACCGCAGAAAACTAAATGATGGGCAACCCGCTGAAGATGAACACCCATATGAGCCAACAACCCCAGCTCATTCACCTAGAAATGAAGTAGATGAATCAATGGAACCCCAAGAACAGCCATCCTCAGTAGCTGTTGAGCCGTCAGAAGTGCCTGAAGCTGCAGCATCAACAGCAGATGCACCGCCAGCCGAAGCTGCAGAGCCTTCAGCTCCCAGCCTTCCTCCGCATGAGGTGCCAGTACCAAATGATGATGAAGACCTTCTGGTCTCTGGTAAAAAGGTGGAACAGGTTCTTGAGGTATCCCTGGATGTGTTTGCAACAGATGTGTGTGACGATTCCCATTTCCTATGGGGAGTACTTGATGAGTGTTTCATGGCAACCCCTGCAGCAGCCAAACAACGCAGGGTAGAAGTAAATTTCCGGAAGTTGAATGACCATGACAAAAAGTTGTTTGAAAAAGCCATGCAAAAGGAGTGGAACTCATGGGTAGAAAACAAGGTCACCACTATTTGTAAATCCAAGGGAATCCCAATTGATAGAATAATAAAAGCTAGGTGGGTGTTGGTATAGAAAAAGTCTTCAGATCCCGATGAAAAGCAGCAAGCCCCGAAGGCTAGGCTAGTTTTGGTGGGTTGGCAGGATCCAGAGTTGGGTCGAATTGCCACGGATAGCCCCACGCTCCGAAAGGAATCCAAAAGTTTAGTACTTTCTCTGTGCGCAGCCATGCGCTGGAAGTTGTGGGGAGCCGACATCAAAACGGCGTTCTTGTCGGGTGATCCTTCGAATAGGGAAATCTACTTTCGTCCCCCACCTGAGATTAGACAATGGATGAAAGTTGATGAAGGGGATCTCATGAAATTGGAAAAAGCAGCATATGGGTTAGCAGAAGCACCCCGAGCATGGTTCTTACGATTAACCCGAGAAATGAATGCTGTAGGACTTTCCCAATCCAAACTAGATCCATGTCTTTTTGTTTTAAGGAAAAAGGGAAAACTGTGTGGGATTTGTGGAATACATGTTGACGATATTCTAGGAGGAGGAACAAAAGAGATGGATGAAGTTCTTTCCCAACTCAAAAGCAAGTTGCCATTTGGGGATTATCGCACTTTCACAATCCGATACACGGGGGTAGAAATCCGACAGAACCCATCGAACTATAGCATAGAAGTTGGCCAGGAGTCCTATATAGAAGGGTTGAACCAGGTAGCAACTAAGCCACTGGGTAGTGCTGGCACCGCGCTGTCCAATCCAAGCCTTTTGAGGCAGTGCGCAGGACAGTTAGCCTGGGTAGCAAATTCAACTCGGCCAGATCAGGCGTTCCTGTCGTCTTACTTGCAGGGCATGCAGGACAAAGGAACCGTGTCCCATGTGCAGCTTTACAACAAGGCAGTCCGTGAGATGAAGGAAAATAAGATTTGCCTCAAATTCCCTAGTGATGTTCCCATCAAAGACTGGCGCATCATGGCCATAAGTGATGCTGGTTGGGGTACTAGAGGAAACGGTGAGTCTCAAGGTGGATACTTGTTGTGCCTGGTAGCCAGTCCCATGCTTCAGCAGAAGCCTGCACGATGTTGGATCGTTGATTGGTCGTCAAAGAAATTGCGCCGTGCAGTTCGTTCATCAGTAGCAGCAGAAACTCTAGCAGGACAGAATGGTCTGGATGCCATAGAGATGTTCCAAGCACTAATGGCTGAAACAATAGATGGAATATCCCCAAAGGAGTTTCGTAATCTCAAGCCTCAACATCCAGCTGCACTTGTAGTGGATTCAAAAGGGTTTTACGATGCTGTCACAAGAAGTTGCTGCAGTCAATCCATTTCAGTTGAACGTAGGCTTCAAATTGATTATGCCATTGCTAAGGAAACTATGGAGAATCAAAACATAATAGCCTTTTGGATCAACAACTTGAGAATGGCCGCAGATGTGCTTACCAAACTCAAAGCAGACAATCGTCCCCTCTTTGATTTACTCAAAAACTGGATGTACCATATCAAACCATGCACCGAGTCAGGCAGAAAAGAGAAGGCAAAAGGGAACCCTGGCATTTTGCCAACACAATAGCTACTGCAATCCAAGAGAGCCTCGCCAGTCGTTAGCATCCACCATGCATGTATAGTGTATAATAACCATGGGGAAATCGATAGGTCTGGGCCCTAATAACCTTGTGAATATGGCTGATAACCTTAAGGGTAATTTTCCAAGTTTTTGCAAGCCAGTTGTACAGTGCCGCCTGTTTTTGCAGCGTCTCTTCATGAGTGCAGCTTTTTGGAAATTCAGTCAGACTTCGACTCCGCCGATCTTAGCTGATTTGTAGCCTAGATGTCCGGCCGCATGTCGAAGCTTTCGAAGACCGATTCCACCGGCCCTTTGTCTGAGGTGGAAGTCAGCCGTTGTGCCGAACTGGTTCATCGAGCCATCGTGCATGAGCAGGGATGGCGCCTTGTTCAAGCGGTTGGCCGCCACATTCATGGCCGTGGCACCGAGGTTCATGTCCAGGACTTGCTTGACAAAGTCCAACAAGGCATGAGTGATGCCTCGAAGCGCCGTCTGGATACCGATTCAGAGTGGGAGGCCCTGACAGAGCAATGTGGAACGGAGCCCCGTGATGAGGATCCGAGCCTTGACTTCGCAGAGGGCTACAAGTCACCCCTGCAGAAGCCGTGCGCTTCTGGTGCTCCTATGGCGTCATACGCACCCGCTGGAGGTCAGGTGGTCATTCCCCTGCCGCCCGGTGTGCAAAATGTGAATGAGTGGGGCCGCACGATTATCAAGATGAAGAAATACAGTGACGAGAACATCACCTATGATGAGCTCATCTACCGTGCGACCAACTGCACAGAGACAGCCCGCTACATTCAGTGGATCCGATCCAATTACACGCCTGCCAATGAAGACATTGAGAAGTGCAAGAAGACCCAAGCGGTTGATTTTGCTTTGTACCTGAAGAAGATCAAGTGGCAGCGTCAGGAAACCTCGGAATTCACTCGATGCCTGAAGTGAAGCGTTGAGACAAGGAAGCATGAATGATGGCTGAAATGATTTTCTCAGCCTGAGGGCGTATGAAAGTCAGTGGGGTCATGCTCACTACGTGACATGTCAGGGTCATGCTCACTACGTGACATGTCACCACTTGCTTGTATGAAAGGCCTCGCAATCATTTGGGTTCACAAGGGCCCTTGAAGCCAATCACGGCTTGGCGAGACGGAGAAATAGAGTGGAGTGATTTGGTGTTGTGGTGAGGGATTAATAACCCCTATACAACTGACGGTATTCGCTGCCGTAATTTCAGTCATCAATCCATTAATAGGGATCTCTCTATATACCCTCCCCACACACACACACACCCAGCACAAGGATTCCAATGATGGGATGGATGACCATAAACCGTATTAACCCATTGCAAGTTGACCATGGCACATTTTTTTCGAACACGACTTTTTTTTTGGGCGCTTGAGCGCCACCAAGTAGCTTCAAAGATACTCCTGGTGCTCAGGTGTTCGTGCTCTCAACAGGTGCAGACCCAACTTCCATGTCTTGCACTGAGGAGAGCGAGACGGCCGACATTTTGGGGTTGATCATTTGATGATTCGCCATGTTGTGAACAGAATTTACATATGGAAGTATTACTGCAAGCAAACAATATATATATATATTTATTATAATTATCATTATACAGTATAATACATAAATATACAATCGGTGCGCACAGATATGCACTGCTGCCTTGGAATTTCTGGAAGTGTTTTTCAGTTCAAAAGTTGAATGCTGTCTCGGATCTCCAGTTTTTGAATCACCAGCCGTAGCTGATCCAAGGCTGTTGCGCTTTGCTCAAGAGGTGGATATGGTTTGGCACCTAGTGATCCAGTAGTTCTCCATTGCCTTTCCACAGACACTACGCTGGAGAAAGAGGATTTGCTGTCCTCAAAATTGATCAGTTTCGTTCTGAAACCCACACCCCTTTGCAACAGGGCCTGTTGTGTTGCATTGTATTAGGGATGAAGAGTAACCAGCAAGTTGAAAAAAAGAGCTTGCCTAAACAATTGGAGGAACAGCCTCTGGTAATTTAACATAGCTATGGAAAATCAACATTTTAATAGGTAATTCATCTATAAATGATCCATTTTCCATAGCTATGTTAGTTTACTGGAGGGTATCCAAGGAGCCAAACTTGGATCACATCGATACCAGGCTTCTACCATGGGTGTGATCTCTCTGGGACAAGGACAAGGACCCAAGGTACAGGGCCTATTGGAAGGAACTGGAACAGCAAGCACCCGCAAAGAAGGAAGTTTGAGGGTTTGGGCATTGCTTGGGAGATTTGGAGAATCATCGAGTTTAATATGCAGATTTTGCAAGTGTAGTGATTTATGTCATTTGATGCACAGTTTGATGTCCTCATTCCTTCTATTTTCATTTCTCTTGATTTCAGTGCCTCACTCTGTGGCAAGTCTGTTGCGGTGGCCGGTGATGCTATCACTTGGTATTGCCTAGAAGTTTAGCCCTTGTCAAAGTTTGAGGCTTTCGAAGCTATGGATTCGGCAGCAGACCATCCAATATTTGCACATGTTACTACTTAGAACATCTTAGAACTAGAACCATCCGCCCCCATTTTCCGTTGGTTTATCCAGATGTTTGCTGGTACCCCTCCAACCACATATGTAGCCAATGGATAGTTGCCGAGGCCAAGACAATGGTTGTTGAAGCCAGGAAGAAGGGCACCTGGGTCCTTCTCCAGAACTGTCACCTGTACAAGATGCTCAGCAGAAGTCAGTTGCTGCGGGTTAAGCATCTGGGAGGGGGAATTCGAAGTCAACCAATAGAAATCGGAGACAGTAGAATGACAAGATTTTTCATTGGTTGGTGGTTTCAAATACTTGAAAGTTTTGTCCACCCTGTCAAGATTACCGAAACACGTCTGTGTGAACACCATTTTCGGTCTGTTTGACTTGAACATGGATCGTTTCCAATTGCTACAGTATTACGACCTAGGATCAGTCCTGTCGAAATTCCAGCAGGAAGGATTCTTTGATGTTCATAAAGATGCCACCTTGATGATGGGTGTCCTCTGGATACTGATGCATGCTTTTTGAATGGTATGAATACTTTCCGCTACTCTGAGTACCCTGGAAAGCAGAGTGTCTGTGTCATCACATGTTGCCTTATGTTGCTCTCTTTAAAATTCTTTATCTCCCTATCCCACAGGACACATCAGGACACTATCTCAGACTCGCAGAAATCATCCAGAAATCATCCAGAAATCATCCAGAAATCATCCAGAAATCATCCAGAAATCATCCAGAAATCATCCAGAAATCATCCAGAAATCATCCAGAAATCATCCAGAAATCATCCAGAAATCATCCAGACATATTGAACTACTTGGCCCATTAGATCCCAGATCAAGATCCCTTTTTGATCCCAATCTGAATCAGCTTTTGAACCCAGGACCTTCATGCCGGAACTAGAGAAGATGTGCGAGGAATTGGAAGAGTCAGATTCTCAGCCGGATCCAGTTTGACATGAAGTAGGTGAGCTCTTATTATACCAAAGGCGGCCATTTGGTGCATTGTTTGAACATGTTCGAATTGAATAGAATCATAATCGTTTCCAGTTGAGTCTTATATCTTTGGACATGTTTGGCGGTTATTTTTATGTATTTCTATGTTATTTTATGGTTCTACTATGTTCTACTATTCCACATGATAATAGAATCATGGATTATGTTATATTTTATGTAGAATCATGGATGTGTTGGGTGGTTATATTATTTAATATTATGATTCTACATGATTCTACTAATTCCCCAGCCTTTGATCACCTGGCCGATGCTTGCTGGGTCCCAGGCCTTCCATGACCCACAAGGATTTCCGGCTCTTCCTCACCAGCATGCCGCCGCCTTGGAAAATCGTTCTACCTAACTTAACAAAAGGCATCCACGTGTGGGACATGATTATCGAAAATCCATGAAAATTCTTGAAAATCCATTGTTGTCTATGTTAATGCTCCATGTTTCATCATGGTTCATATTCATAGTTCATCATGGTTCAGATTGTACTTAACGTTTGAACGCCTAGCACGACATGGGACATGTTACGGAAAGCCGATGTCAGGCCCGCAGCGTACTTCCCAGTGCCAGTGCTGCAGAACGGCATCAAGCTGACGACCGAACCGCCCAAGGGCTTGCGGGCCAATGTCATTCGCAGCTTCCTGCCCATGTCTGATGAACAGGCTGGCACCCGGCATTTGGTTGTGGCTGAAATGTTTGGCATCACCCGAAAGTTTCCGGTCTTGTGGAAGCTTGATGATCAGCGATGTTGGGGTACATTGTATGTATGTATCCTATTTTTATATAGACAAACCCATCTGTTACGGGGGGAGGCAGACCTGACACGATACCCAAGATTTTCAGACAAATCCACATAGCCTCCGGGAATGACATATGGCTGGATAATCCTCCATGTGGATGTTTTTTTCTCCCAGCGAACTAAACCTCCATTGAGTTCAGGGATTTTCCATGGCCAGAGGGTACATCTACCAGCATGGTGGAAGATAGAGCCTCCGGCCAGTTGAACGACAGCGCGAAACCCAAAGAGTGGCGACGCCTGCAGTTTGGTGCGGGACCCCAGGGGTCGGTCGACCCGCGCTGTTTGAAGATGGAAACGACGACATGTTGGGGGGGCTGACTACCATGTTTTGGGGGGAAAAACACGGATTTTGTGGGAACAATATAGGGATTTTATATATGTCTTTATGGAATATATAACCAATAATATTTGATTTGGGTGTGTTTGAAAATGAGGGTTTGACTGCCTTGTACAATCTGGGGTTCTCTCTGCATGTGTGGACTGTTGGAAGTTTGTCCAGCAATTCCTTTTTTAGCATGGAGTAGTTTTGCTGCCTTTTCCAGTTCTGTATAGAGATACCATAGGGTAATGAACCCAGAGGTAGCTATACCAGCTATGGCTGCATTTATGGCTGTTTCAATATGGAAAATGATGATTCAGCATGGGGTCCTGTATCCATTTGTATCTTTCACGCAAGGCGACATTCAGTATGAAAAATGGTGGTTTACTAAACAGCCAAAAAAAAACCTTTGTGACTTAAGTTGATTTAAGCATCAAACATTGGGTGAATTGAACTTGAAAAGGGGACAGGCTCCAGAAATGATGCTGGATGATTTTATGGTGATGCCTCCATTTGTGCTAAATGGACAGCAAGGCGGATCATTATGATAAACTATTTGGGAATCCCTAGCAACCGAAGGGGGGAAAGAGATGGTAGCTGCTTACAGGTTCTGCCATGAAAGATGTGTGATCAGTTCTTTCCATGTTGTCAGATTTGCTGCGTAAAGCTGCTTGTTTCTTATCACCTTTGTGAAAAATCGGTGGTGACTCCGAGGGACCAGGAAGTTTCTCGTGGATGCCACGATTTGAGGCTTGAAGTTCTTCCATGCAGTGATCCAGGCCCGTGGCTGGCGCCACCAGGGGCCAATTCGCTGTGGTGGACATGGAACTAGGGGTACCTGGCGTACCTTGGTGCGTCATGGGGATTTTGCCCCAATGCACAGTCTAAGAGTGACAATTATGGTTCACCAGTGGATGGCACGGCACAACCGGTTCACCTATTTTCAGACAGGCGCATGTGTTGCTTGAAACATGCATTCCGGTGTGTACCGATCCGTTACTGGCAGCAGGAAAGACGGAAGTTTGGTCCCCTCGGATGGAACATCAGCCGCTTGGCGCTGCGATGGTCCAATGGCCGGGTAGGTTCAAAGGTGGCAAGACCTTGCCCTTGAACGCCTTGAAGGCAGGAAGTTATCATTTGAGCAAACCCTGAAGAAATGTATAGATTCTTTGCACATACATGCATGTACTGTATAATACTGTATATACGTATGCATGAATGATATCTGTATATATAATATATATATATATATAATAGATATATATATAATATATATATATATATTATATATATAATATATAATATATATATGCACATATACAGATATACATGGAATATCCCACAGTTTTGAGATAATAGCGGCAGCACTTGAGGATACGAGTTCAATGACTCGGACCTGGAAACGTCCACCACCATCACTCACAACATGTTGGACTCTCGGCCGCAAGTCACCTTACAGTAACTGCGCCAAGTCTCTCATCGCCGCAAAAGGGGGATGTTTGGCCCCATTCTGGATAGGATTTACCCTCTGGATCCTCTGGTAAACTAACATAACTATGGAAAATCACCATGTTTAATGGGAAATTCCACTATAAACGGCCCATTTTCAATAGCTATGTTAAATTACCAGAGGGTATCCCATCCCCCATGGTGAATGGTCCCAGTCAGATGTGATATCTGTGCTTAAAACACCCCTGTTTCCACCTAGGAACTGGATGGAGCCATCCCTTGGGACACATTGCTGTTCGTGATTGGCCACATCAACTATGGCGGCCGCGTGACGGATGACAATGACAGGTCAGCTGGGAGTTTTTCTGAGTGGTTTGTAAGGGATGATGGTGAGAAGTGGCCGGACATTTCTATGCCAATGGATTAGGAGTATATATATATAATATATACTGGGTTCTTGTTGGATTGGATGTGTGTATTGTTTTCTTTATTGTCAAGTGATAGGGAATTCATGAAGCAACCAGTAGAATCGAACCAAGACCCAACCACTCTTGGAAGCTGCTGAGGTCGCTTTATCATGCCTTTCTGTTGCTTTTGCAGTTCAAAGTTTGGTGTCCCTGGAACATCTTCGACAGGAAATGCCTCTTGGCCATCTTGGAGAAGTATGTCACACCCAAAATCCTGGAAACCGACTACAGATTCTCCGAGAGTGGCACCTACAGGCACACTGGGGAGACAAAAAAAGGGGTTTCGGGTCCTAGCTTCGTCGCCAGAAGTTGAGTCTCAAGTTTTACATTGAGGACCCCCAACATGCGCCCGTCTCATCGTCTCATCGCAGGTGTCCTGACAACTCAGACGTGGCAGACGTGGAGCAGTTCCGAAAATTTGCTGTTGCCTCAGTGAAAAGTTAGGTCCATGGAGAGGGCGAACTGCTGGCGTTCTTTGTAGTTTGCTTCAGATTGATTAGATGCAGGACATCACAAAGAGTTTTCTTGTTGGTTTTGTGATGTTTTGTCATGATAAACCGCCCAAAACCACCTGCAAAATCACCACAAATGGGGAAGATATTATATGTGAAGATCATCCCCAAATGGTAGTTGTTGACGGCATTGAAGTCATCCCTTCATCCTGGATGCCAAGGTTGCGAGTTTCCCTCTGGCCGAAATGCCAGAGGTGGCCATGGCGATGCAATCAGCTTTTTTATGCTTTTTTGATATAGCCTCAGATAGCCTCAGCAAACATTTACCATCCCCACCAATTAACATAGACCCTGCAAAATAGAGGAGTTGAAGACAACTTGACTATAACGAATGGGTGATTCTCAAGGCTTGTGAAAAAGATGGATGGTTTAATCTTTTGAACTTTTGACATCTTAGGACTGGAGATACTTCTACGGATAGTTTGCAAAGCAAAGAGGAAAAACCCCGCCTTGAATGCGTCCTGGAAGCCGGAAGGTCTTTGGAATGCACGACAATGCGAACATCAGTTTCATGAGTCCGGGCACTAAATGGTTACCCAAGAGCTGGATGGATTATTTCATGGAAATTCCTATGAAAATGGATGATTTAGGGGTACTGTACCATCATTTTCGGGAAACCACCAAATTTGACCAATAGCATCCAATAGCAACAGCAGAGACGAGACGACTGGTGGTATCAGATTCCCAAAACAGTACCCCCATGTCTAGTCGCCGTACCAATTGATACCCATTACAATGATACATACAGTATGTATATACACAGTGTATGATACAAGACAGACATATGTCACATATGTAATATCAATATTTATCAATATTTATCAATAGTATTGTCCATAAACATATTACAGGGAAATCACATATGTATCATCAATAGTATTGTCCATTAGTAACATCATAAACATGAAAAATCATTCGAACATGTATAACTTATATAATAGTATTGTCCATAGTATTGTCCATAGTATTGTCCATAGTATTGTCCATAGTATTGTCCATAGTATTGTCCATAGTATTGTCCATAGTATTGTCCATTAATCAATAGTATCATATAACATCATATTTATAACGTCCTATTGAAAATCTATAGATTTAATATATCATATATCAATTAATAATCTATTATAATGGACCTATAGTATCATATGGAACTTAATGGTTCCCTTATAATGGACCTATAACGATGGTTCCCTTCCCATCCCGGAACTCGCGTTTCGCCTCGCGATTTTTTTCGATTCGACGGATTCCTGAAAGGTCAAGAAGCCGAGAAGGTCCTGAGTGTGGTGCTCTCGATTCAGCCGCGTGAGGCGGGAGGTTTCTAGCTTAAAATGGGGCTACCCAATAGAATCCAATAGCTGGATGGGAAAAATACATGTTTCTAATAGCTGTGGGATATATTGAGAGATATAGCTCTGGATATATTATGATATATTGCACATGCAGTATTTAAATGCAGTATTTAAACACGTGCATGACCCTTTTTAAGCGGAGGTATACATGAGACAGTAGCAAACAAGCGCTTTTGAGTATTGGAAGGTTTTCAATTTTTTTCATTATTTTCGTGTATTGAAATTATTCATTTCGTGTATTGAACACCTGGTGTTTGCTTTAAAGCATGAATCAGTTGGCTGCTCTTGCATTCAAAAATTGCGTGCATATGGCGGTGAATATGAGGTGCGACCTGATACTGTGAATATGTACTGTATATATATAATTATATATACGTATATATACACATATGTATATTCATATTCATACACATATTAATACACATATAATACACATCTTGGCAACCATATGAACAACCAAACTGCTGCTACCACTTTCTTTCTGGCACACCTCTCAGGCGGGTGGCAGTGGCGGCAAGAGCTCGGAGGAGATGGTCTTGGAATTGTCGGCGGACCAGGAGTCGGGTCTTCCCAGCGGATCAACAGCCCATGGCCAGGGCCTACGTTAGTCCGGGGGAGGCTTCATATGTCAACATGGCAAGCTCCGTAGGTTTACCGGAACAGTTTTGTTCTCCCAGCTTTCTGTGGTTTTAAGCATTTTCCAGGTTTCATTGTCAAGGGTTGGAATACGGTTGGAACATGTTTGGTTTTGGAGTTTTTGAACATCGCTTTCGAGTATCTGTTGATGTTGAAGATTATATCACATCACATCCCCAATAGTTAGGTGGATGATGTGAACAATTAGGATATTGACATACATTTACCATGCTAGAAATCCTATATGTATAGATGATTTTCCCACATTCTCCCATAATGTTCCCCATAGTTTTCCCATAATTTGTGCCATTTAATGTTCTTATATTTTCCTATGGTTTTCCCATAATGTTCTTATATTTTCCCATGGTTTTCGCATATCTTCCGATAATTTCCCATACTTTTCCCGCATTTTCCCATGGTTTTCCCACCAAGACCTCCATTTTTGGGGAGTTCCCAGCCGCCACGACTAGACGCCAGGTCCCGTTTGCCCGACAAGCTGATCACGGACAACGCCCACGCGGACAGCTTCGCCATGAGCGAGGACCTGGTGAACCTGGGTTGAAGGGAACATCTTCACTGGTTTTCCCATGGGTTTTTCCCATGGGTTTTTCCGATGGTTTTCCCTTCCATGATTTTTCTGATTTTTTGAGGTTTCAACATGTTTCAACTGTGAAAAAAATCCTTCAAAGAATCCTAAACCACTTCATTTTGAGGCCTTTGGGATCATCGGATCTTATAGATGATATATTTCTCTCATATTCTCAGATGTCTATCATTTTTCGATCATTGATATTTCCGTGATGTTCTAGATGATATTGTCCTTATTTGTCCTTCATATTTTCAGAGTTCATCTAGATTTCTATCCTTTTTCCCTTCCAGACCTCTGCAGGAGACAGGCCTAATGACCTCACTGGGCACCTGCCTCTCACAGGCGAAATCCATGGCGTTTTGGGACATCCTGGAGGTTTTTTTCTGGGATCAGATCGAACTACATGGGAGATTGTCCATAGAGTTTCCATGTTTGAATACGGAAGGTCATGTCTTTTTTGAGTTTTTCAGAGCCCAGTTTACCTTGTAAATTTGTCGATGAATCACATTGTACGTGATCGTTTTATCACCTTTTCGGACATGTGCGATGTCGGATCGGAAACCCGCGCATCAAACTGAACGCCAGTTTTTTGTGTTTGATTCACTGAAGAATCCGTGAAGATTCCAGATTCTCCCAGCCATGTTTCATAAACCTTCTCTTTCACTTTCAGTGGCACGAGAAAGAGACTCCAACACTTTTGATGACCGTTGATGCCCAATGTTCATCTAAAACCGGAGGTGAACCACCATTTTTGATGGTTAGATTAGATCATGTTAGATCCCCATCTTGGATGGTGAACCCCAGCTTGGTGCAGTCCCCATCGCACAGGAGATGTCTCGCTTTAATCGTTTGCTGAGCCAAATGACGATGACGCTGAAGCAGCTCCAAAAGGCCTTCCGCCCACCCCAATGATACTAAACATGGTCACGGTTATATGTGATTTTATCTCCAGCGTCCACCAGGGTTTCTGGAGGGGTGTTTCGTATGGGGGGAAGGGATATTTTTATCATAAATAAACAAATGAATATATATATATATATATTTATATGTATATATAATAAGTTATATAACTATTCAACAACATGAAGAAATATATGGTATTGTTTCTATTGATGGGACATCCATTGGATATTGCTAACGGAATATGATATATATATATTGTGATTTGTACACTCATGTCTGACCTTGATGTGACCTTTCAGTTGGATATGCATGTGATGTTCCTGCCGCGTCCACTCGCGACTCAAGCTCCTGTGGCGGGAGGGTAGAGGCAATTTGGTCGTTGGACGACCTCTGAGCTGTGAGCCATTTGTTCCTGGGGAAAAGGTGCTGCGGACTTTAATCTGTTGGACGGGGATCCATTTCAACCTTTGAGTTTTGATCTACTTTGGTGGTTGGACCACCCACTCTGCTTTCAGGGAATTGCAGTTGGCTACCAGTGTGTTTTCACACTGGTAGCGGAGCTTGAAGCTCCAGCTACCGACTTTGTCAGTCTGGATTTTTTGTAGCTGCAAGAGCGGGATCCAGGGTTCCGATTTTTGTGCATGCCGCCATCAATGCAGACTGCGATTGAGACTCCAGTTCCTGGAGAAGAGACAATGATGAATGTGACACCTCAGTTGCCATGGTCCAGTATTCCCAAGTTCACTCCTGGGACGACCAATGTCCAGGAGTACACCCAGAAACTGAAATTCCTAGCTGCAATGTGGCCTAGTGAGTACCTGAGTCAGCTCGCTCCCCGAGCAGCCTTGCTTGTTGAAGGCACGGCTTTTCGGAAGGTGTCGCGCCTTGACCCTAGCAAGCTCCGCGTGAATGATCAGACTGGTGTGGCCTTACTGGTGAATGCGATTGGGGGATCATGGGGTGCTACTGAGTTGGAGGAAAGATATGAATACTTTGAAAAGGCTTTGTATGGAACTGTTCAGCGATCGGATGAGACGCACGATTCATATCTGTCTCGAATGGAAGCCAATTTCATTGAGTTGCTGAGCCGTGAAACCAAGTTAGAAGAAGTTCAAGCCTATGTCCTTCTCCGTCAGTCCTTGTTGAGCCCAGATGACAAAAAGAAGATCCTCCTTGAACACTCAGGTGAACTGAAGTATGAGCCTGTGGTGAAGTCGTTTCGACTCTTGGGCAGTAAGTTCTTTTGCGAGCTTCAAGGTGGACGTTCGACAGGAAAGACCAAGGTGTACGATGTCAATGTGGCCGAATTGGCCGATTCCGAATGTGCTCGCTCTTCCGAGGAAATGCCAGCGGAAAGAGCCTTTGTTGCAATGATGGATGATCAGGAACCAGAACTTGATGCCGAGTTCATGGAAGTGATGCTTGCGTCAGAAGACCATGACGCTCTTGTTGTCAATGCGTTTGAACAGGAGTTGGAAGATTTCCTCCAGGATGTGCCCGATATGCATGACGCCATGGTGTCCTACATCGAGGCCAAATCGAAGCTCCTGGAGAAGCGTCGAAGTCGTGGATTCTGGCCTGTGAAGTTCAGTGGAAAAGATGGGCGACCGGCCTTCAAAGGCAAAGGCCGCGGCAAGGGCAAGAAGCAACGGGATCAATTGCTTGCCCGAATTGCTCGCTCAACTTGCCGGATCTGTCATCAAAAGGGCCATTGGAAGGCTGAGTGCCCCAACCGTGAGAAGAATACGGATGGGAGCCAGACAGCTTCGGCCAACATTGCAGAAGCCTCACATGCCGCTGCGGTGCAGGAAGTTCACTCAGAGCCTGAGTCCGCTCCTTCTGACGTTGCTGACACGCCGTCCAGTTTTCCGGTTTGTTTCAGTAAGTTTTGTGAGGACCCAACATGTGACGTTGCCGATGCATTCGTTGTCCAAGCCCTGACAAGTGAATCCCTTAAGACTGCACTTAGCCAACGTATGAAAACATTTTTGGGAAATAAGTTCCAGCCGAAAGACACCAATGTCCAGCATCCGCCCAGGTTTGCCATGACCGTGAAACAGCCCTGCTTCAAATGGAATGCCAAAGGATCTGAACTGCCGGAGCCACTCCCAGAAATGTGTCATGTTGCCTCGGCATGTGACAAACCATGTCACGCCATTTTGGACACCGGAGCAAGCCGATGTGTGATTGGTGAGAAAAAATGGCAACAGTTGGCCAGCCGTCTTCCAAGTGATTTGCAGAATAAGATCCGAAAGTATCCAAGCAAAGTAAAATTCAGGTTTGGTAACAATCAAACTCTTCAGAGTGAATATCAAGTTCAGCTGCCGTTGCAAGGTCCTCCATTATCCAAGAAACGTTTTTGGCTGACCATCGAAGTTTTGCCCGGAGGAACACCATTTTTGTTCAGCAAACGTGCATTCAAACAATTGGGGGGCATTCTGAACACCACCAATGATACGTGTTACCTTCAGAGACTTGAACGAGAAATTGCATTGGATTTGAATCCCACTGAACTGTACTTGCTTGATGTCTTGCAACTTTGCCAGCTTGCCAGTTCCAGTTTTTTTTATGTTTCCACCCTCCAAGAATCATGTGTTTGTTTGTGATCGATCAAGGGGAGGTGATCGGTCAAGTGGGTCACATGATCGTGAAAACCCCGTCGAGAACATTGCCCTCACCATGGCACAGCCAGCCTCAAGCAAGTCAAGCCTGAAAGACCGTGACACCCCGCCGTGTGTGACCTGTCATGCCGCCTGTGCAGATGATGTCGTCTCTCAAGACCGTTGCAGAAGCAGTGATCAGTCTCCTAACGATGCTGCTGCAGTTCTTGATCCACCAGTTGGAAGTGATGCCCGACGATGCCGAGAGTCCTCCCGAGATGATGGGAGTGATGGAGGGCATGGTTCAGGAACTCCAGAACCAAAGGGCCATACTGCAAGGTCTGATGACCACGTCCCGAGATGTCCAAAAGAAGGGCGCCCGAAGTTCAACTGGCGATTCAACCAGTGCCGGCGCCTCACCAATGGAGCCCGCACCACCAAGCCTTCCTATTCAGAGCCTATCGATGCCAAGTGTCCCGAACCAAGTGTCTGTGAACTCCCAACGAGTTGCTCAAGCTCTTCAACGCCCTTCGCTGGCTTTAGCAAACGAGCAGACAGCAGTCACTGGACGAGTGACAAACTGGCAGCTGATCGAGGAGATGGAAGAAGAAGTGGTGCTCGATCTCGAGGGTCGCAATCTGATGGGCCCCAATCTGAGCTCAGCCAATGTTCTGGGCAGCACGGGAGCGCTTGGCCCAATGATTCCACGGGCATCCGCGCAGATGACAGTCGGAGACTGGTCACAATGCAGAGTGACATGGGGCAAGAAACACAAAGGCAAGACGTATCACCAGGTTCTGACCTTGGATCCATCGTACTACCAATGGGCCGTTGCTCGTTTTCAAAGTCTCACTCCCGAGCAGCAAGATTTCGTTCGATACTGCCAGGTACAGATGGATCTCGATCGTCGCAACTAGGATCGGAAACAAAACTTGATGTTGAGATGTCTTCGTATCATGCTGCCGTTGATGACACTCGGAAATGGTTGAAACATAGTTCTTCACCCAGTTTGTTCAATACCACCGTGAAAGAGTCGTTTGGAAAAGTTTCCAAGATCCTGGAAGAAGCCTTTGTATCTCCTTCTTGGAGTGTGCCTCGAAAGCCCTGCGTGTTGCTGGAGGTTTATACTGAGGAGCACAGCCCACTGACAGAGGCCTTGCGAAGTCGAGGCCATTTTGCTTTAAGATTCACTCGCCGTGATGGAGACTTGTCAACAGTGGATGGACGTAGAAAGCTATGGAAACTGATTGATCAATATCAACCCCTCAACACTTGGGTGGCTCCTGAATGTGGTCCATGGAGTGGATGGAATAAACTCAATCAGTTCAAAAGTGTTGCCATGTTTGACAAGATTCAAAATCTCCAGGCGAAGGAATTGCAACATGTGGAGCTTTGTTCTGAGTTGTGCCGCTTTCAGGTTAAGCGGAGCCGGCAGTTCCATCTTGAGCAACCCAATGGATCGTCCATGCCACAGCTGGCCAGCTTTGAACCGATCCATGCCATGACTGAAAGGGCCAGTTTTGATATGTGCATGTTTGGTTTAAAACATCCGGTATCCCTGAAATTCTTGCGCAAATCAAGCCAAGTGTTTTCCACTGATCCAGTCATGATCAACCGATTGAATCTAGCCAGATGTGACCATACCCATGTGCACCAGCCAATTGAGGGAAGCGTTCTGGTCCATGGCCAGCGCATGCCACTGACACGTTTTTGTGCCTCCTACTGCAAAGGGTTTGCCTCCAAAATTTCCTCATGGATGATGAAGTCAATGGATCAAGCGTATGTTGGTGAACATGAAGACATGCCCCCTGCCAAACGTTTTCGATTTTCCAGTCCTCCACATAAACGCTTCAAAACCAATCCAGATGAAGACAATGACCAATCCATGCCAAATATTCCCGAACCGATTGACCTTGATCCTGAAGACCAACCTATGGAACCAGTAGCTGAAGCAACCAGTACACCTGCGGAGTGTCCTGCAAACCTTCCGAAGCCACAGTCTGAAAGACTGGAGCAAAGGAGAGCACAATTTCCAGCGAGAAAGGCTTCCGATGTCCAAAGTCCGAACTTTCCGACATCAATGCCTCAACATGTTACGCCACCGGAGTCCGAACCCTGGAAAGAAGTTTTCCGCACAATGGAAAGCCTGGCCCCACGTGTTGGCAATTTGCAAGTTACTGCTTCCCACGCCGTTGTACAGCAGGTTCAACAATTGGTGCCACAAATGCATGTTCATGTCATTTTTGTGTGTAGAGGCACGGAGAGGTTTCAACTTCCCCTCCAACTAATGGACCGCCAACGCAACACCATGAGACACACAATATGCATGCATCGAGCCACCGGAGAAATCCATGATTTAGGATGCGAGGAATGGATCAACTTGAAGAGACAGCAAAGAATAAGAAATGCTATTCCCTGCAAAATCATGATAACCAGTTTCGGTAGCCCTGTTGAACATGATGAGCCCAATGAACATATGAGTGCACCACCTGAGAGACCTGCAGTTCCTAGTGTTGCGAAAGTATATGCCGGGGCGCCCTGTCCTGACAATCCCAATGAGGCTGCGAGCCGTGTTCCGAAGATCAGCCAACACGAAGTATGTGAAGGATGGGCTCCGCCGCCAATTGCCATGCATGGCCCCAAATACCGTGAACTTAGCTCAGCTGAAAAGGCCGATCTGAAGAAACTTCATGTAAATTTGGGCCATCCCGATCCGAACGTGTTGGCTGAGCATCTGAAAGCTCAGAAGGCAGCTGACCACGTGGTTGCCGCTGCCAAAGAGTTTGTTTGTGATGCTTGCGTAGAGTCCGTGGGTCGAAAACACCAACGTCCGGCCAAACTACATGATGCCAGAGACTTCAATGATTTGATGGGAATGGACGGGTTTTATTGGTCAGGTACTCGAGGTTTCAGAGTCCATGTTTTTCACTGCATTGATGAAGCATCCCTCTTTCACCTTGGCCGTAGATGTGAAACCCGTAATCCAGACCGAGTCATCGAAACTTGGACGGAATTTTGGTCATCATGGGCTGGGGACCCTCTTCAAATGTACACTGATCCGGCCGGAGAATTCATATCCCAGGAATGGAAAAACATGATGCGAGATCACTCCATTCAACCACTGATTTCTACTGAAGCTTGGCAACGTGGTAGGATAGAAAGACATGGCCAGATCATCAAGAGAATGCTCACCCGGTTTGACCTGGACCGACCCATTGAGACCGTTCAAGAGTTTGACCGCGTGCTGTTAGCCTGCTTTCAAGCCAAGAACTCATTGACTCGGCAACAGGGATTCTCACCTGAACAAATAGTCCTTGGAAAATCCAAAAGACTTCCAGCCAGCTTGACCTCGGATGATGATGCTGTTTCGCATTCCCTTGCTGCCAGCGATGAGCCTGAAAGTGAGGCCTTCCGTCGAAACTTGGAGAATAGAACCATTGCCCGAAAAGCTTTCTTGATCACTGATAATGACAATGCCATTCGTAGAGCCCTGTTACGTAGGTCTTGTCCCATGAGAGGTCCTTACGAACCTGGTCAATTGGTGATGTATTGGATCAAGAAACATCGAGCAAGTCGCCAAGAATCCGGAAGATGGCACGGACCTGCTCGCGTGGTCCTGCAGGAAAGCCCCTCAGCTGTCTGGCTGTCCCATGCAGACCGACTCTTTAAGTGTGCTCCAGAAAGTCTTCGACCAGCCTCGCTGCGAGAATGGAACGTCGTGCATGGCTCTCAATCGTCTTGGGTTCCAGAGTTGCCACCAGTGAATGATGAAATCCGAGCTCCTACATCCCCAATGACCGACATGGAGTATGAGCCCAGTTTAGCACCTGAACCCGCAGTCTCTGTCAATCGAAGTCCATCCATTACACCTCACTCATCACTTCAACCCGAAAGTGAACATTTCCCGGAGTTTGTCAATAAGCCTGAAAATAACGATGATAACCTTCCCAATGATAACCCTCCTGAACTTGACAATACCAATGCCATTGACTTAGACGATCCCGAGACTGTAGAGCCTTCCTTGACTGAAAACACCATGCCAATTTTGACCTGCAGTGTAGTTGAAGAATCTGACCAGGCCTTGTACGACTGGACCCAACTAGTCTCAACTCAGGAAACCTGTGATGTTTTGCTAGCCGAAGATGGAATGCAAATGCTTGAAGAACCTCTTGAGTGCAATGATCAACAGTGTTTTGCCCTTGCCATCGACCTGAGTGAGAGCGATCTCCAACGGTGGTCTCAGTCTGACAAGCCTGAAGAAATGACCTATCTAGCCAGTGTAGGCAAGCGTGCCCGAGCAGAAGTCAGTGTAAAGAACTTGACATATGAAGAAAGACTTCTGTTTGAAAAGGCAAAGGATGCTGAGCTGAATTGTTGGATCCAAACGAATGCCTTGAAACCCATACTCCGAAGAAAACTGAACCCCGAACAGATTCTCAAAAGTCGATGGATATTAACCTGGAAAAATATTGACGAAGAAGATTCAACAAAAGCCCAAAGAAAAGCCAAGGCCAGACTCGTTGTCCTTGGGTTCCAGGATCCCAAACTTTGTGAAGTAGCCAGAGACAGTCCCACTCTGACCCGAGAGGGCCGTCACACCGTGTTGCAAACCATTGCTTCACACAACTGGGTTCTTTCTTCGTTTGATATCAAGACTGCATTCTTGAGGGGACAATCCGACAAAACAAATCCTTTAGCCATGGAACCACCTGCGGAACTGAGAAAGAAACTCAATTTGTCAGATGACCAAGTTTGTTCTTTGTTAGGTAACGCATATGGGAGAGTTGATGCACCTTTGCTGTTTTACAAAGAATTGACAAAACAATTGAGTAAACTCCAGTTCACTCGACATCCTCTTGAGCCATGTATATACTTGCTGGAAACTAATGAGGGCGACAATCGTAAGCTGCATGGAGTATTGGGCACTCACGTGGACGACGGAATCTGCGGTGGAGACCAATTTTTTCATAAACAGCTCGAACGACTCAAGCAAGTTTTACCTTTCGGTTCGTTCAAACAACAGAAGTTCGTTTTCACGGGCATTCACCTTGAACAATTACCGGACTTTAGCATCATGGCTTCACAGGAGGAGTATGTGAAGAATATTCAAGCTATCGATATTGGAAGAATCCGACGTCAGACACCTGAGTCAACAGTAACTGAACCTGAGTTAAATAAGCTTCGAGGTCTTATTGGAAGTTTACAGTACGCTGTTACTCACACTCGTCCTGACATGGCCGCCAAGCTCGGTGAAGTCCAAATTCAAATAGCCAAAGCCACGGTACAAACCATGATGCTGGCGAACAAGGTTCTTAGAGAAGCACAGGAAAACTGTCATGTAAAGATATGTTTCCGAAGCATTCCAACAGAAAAAGTAACCCATGTTAGCTTCGGAGATGCTTCCTTTGCAAGTGCCAAGCAGTTATCCTCGTTTCAAGGAACTCTGATCTGTGCGACAACGGAAGCCTTGGATAAGAACCAGAAAGCACCTATCAGCCCTTTAACATGGATCTCTAAGAAAATCGCCCGTGTGGTACGCTCTACTTTGTCAGCAGAAGCCTTCTCTATGTCAAATTCAGTTGACCGGTTGGGATGGATGCGGCTCTTATGGGGTACCATTAACATTCCAAATTTCAACTGGAGAGATGCAAAGCAAGGTTTTTCAAGTTTACCAAAAGCCATTATTGTGACTGATTGCAAAAGCCTATTCGATCTTGTCAGCCGGACAGCAATGCCATCTTGTGAAGAATTTCGAACAACTTTAGAAGTACTGCTCATTCGCGAAAGATGTAACGAACACTGTTCTTTTAGATGGATTCCTACTTCTCTTCAAGTGGCCGATGCGTTGACAAAGGCGATGGACCCAATTTTGCTTCGTCAGGTTTTGGCATCAGGTAGTTTTCAACTATATGATGAAACTGAAACGCTGGAAAGAAATGCACACCGAAAACGTGCAGTTCAGTGGTTCAAAGATCTGCAAGGAGATATGGCAACTTCGGTGTCACATCAACAGAATTTTAAGTGAGTGTGATTTGTACACTCATGTCTGACCTTGATGTGACCTTTCAGTTGGATATGCATGTGATGTTCCTGCCGCGTCCACTCGCGACTCAAGCTCCTGTGGCGGGAGGGTAGAGGCAATTTGGTCGTTGGACGACCTCTGAGCTGTGAGCCATTTGTTCCTGGGGAAAAGGTGCTGCGGACTTTAATCTGTTGGACGGGGATCCATTTCAACCTTTGAGTTTTGATCTACTTTGGTGGTTGGACCACCCACTCTGCTTTCAGGGAATTGCAGTTGGCTACCAGTGTGTTTTCACATATATATATATAGTTCTAATGGAATGTTAGATTGATATCCAATTAGTTAGAAATCATATAGATATCGTCATTAGTTAGATATCATACTAGTTCGTAATTTCATTTTACTATACAATGGGATTTTTTCAATGGGAATGCGCGTGTTTACTGATTCTTATCGGCCAGGCGGTCAAGGGCATCATTGTTCGAAGCTAAGGAAAACCCATGGGGAAAGCCGTGCGGAAAATGATCTGCCAATGGTGGGCAAACACCACATCGAACTGTAAATGTTCACCATGGTGGGCTACTATAAATTGGAGGCTACAATTGGATCCAATGGCTGATTTTGCAGAGCTAGAATCACCAGGGCAAAAAGATACCAGGCAGCAGCAGCTATTGACCAATGATTTACTATGATTTACTATACGTCCTTTTCTGTTTTTAAAGCCACCAAGGTGTTTTGAAAATCTACACCCCAAGGTCATGACAGGCGAGTTGGATGATATGTTCAATGCCGAGCTGAAGAACCTGGTTCCTGGCATTTGGACCAAAGATGGCATCGGCTATCCCTGCCTGAAACCGCTGAACTCCTGGTTCGAGGACATGGAGATGATCTTGGATGCAGTTTTGGCTGAAGCTGGATAAGATCATTGGGATAATTGATAATAATTGATAATAATTGATGAGAATAGATGATAATTGTATGATAATTGATGATCATTGATGACTGATAATAATTGATAATAACTGATGATCATTGATGATCATTGATAATAATTGGTGACCATTGATGATAATTGATGATAATCGATGATAATTAATGATAATTGATAATAATTGATGATAATTGATGATAATTGATGATAATTGATGATTGATGATAATAATTGATAATAATTGATCATTGATGATAATTGATAATCATTGATGATAATTGATGATCATTGATAATAATTGATAATAATTGATGATAATTGATGATAATTGATAATTGATAATTGATAATTGATGCTAATTGATGATGATTGATGATAATTGATGATAATTGATAATTGATGATAATTGATGATGATTGATGATAATTGATGATAATTGATGATCATTGATAATAATTGATAATAATTCATCAGTGATGATAATTGATGATAAATGATAATAGATGATAATAGATGATAATTGATGATAATTGATGCTAATTGATGATCATTGATAATAATTGATAATACTTCATCATTGATTATAGTTGATGATAATTGATGATAATTGATGATAAATGATAATTGATGATAATTGATTAATTGATGATAATTGATGATAATTGATGATAAATGATAATTGATAATTGATGCTAATTGATGATGATTGATGATAATTGATGATAATTGATAATTGATGCTAATTGATGATGATTGATGATAATAGATGATAATAGATGATAATAGATAATTGATGATAATTGATGCTAATTGATGATGATTGATGATAATTGATAATAATTCATCATTGATGATAGTTGATGATAATTGATGATAAATGATAATTGATGATAATTGATGATAATTGATGATGATTGATGATAATTGATGATGATTGATGATAATTGATGCTAATTGATGATGATTGATGATAATTGATAATAATTCATCATTGATGATAGTTGATGATAATTGATGATAAATGATAATTGATGATAATTGATGATAACTGATGATGATTGATGATAATTATCAGGGCAATCAACAGATGTGAAAGTTCCAAGTGTTTTTTTCCTCTTTGAGATCAATTCAGATTTCTCCACAGCTGAGTTTTTGACATCCCTGAAGGACATGATTTTGCGCTTCGCATTTTTCAGAGATTGGATCGAAGGTGGTATCCCGATCGCCTATTGGATCTCATCTTTCTATTTCCCACAGGCCGAAAACTGGCGAAAACAGGTGGTGACTCTGTGGGATTGCTTGTGTATGTGTAAGTGTATTTGATGGATGTGAATGGAATTGCGAACATGACAAACTTCATTTGCATCTCTTGACAAACTGGCTGTTTAAATGTTCGGAGATCCGACCACAAGTCCTTACTACTGGGCACTTTGTGCCTGCATGTGCCTGCACTTTCCTTTTATAAGTGGCGTAACATTGACATTCACTTTGCCTCTGTGTTGAACCCCTCCGGGCAGATGCATTTAAAACCAGATGCAATAATCACCAGTCGTTCAGGACTTTGTAAGATCGCGTTTTGTGGCGTCTTGTCGCAGTGCTGAGATGTGCCCAGCGCCGTGCAGGGCTTCTTGACCTCAGTACTGCAAGGCTACTCCCGAAAGAACCTGATTCCGGTGGATCAGTCATGTGCTTAGCGCAGAGACATGCAGAGACGTTGAGTGTCGGGACGCACAGGTTCACAGGATTTCACGGGTAAAGTTCTTGGGTAGGGAAATTGGTTGCTTGAATAGATTAATGGTTTCGAAGCGATACCCTGTCTTGACAGCATATTTGAAGGACTGGTCCAAATTTTAGCAAATGCGAGCACAATCATAGAATCAAACAGTAACCGTGCCAAATGATGTCCAGAAATTTCATGTTTCAAGCAATCTCTTCATCCCATGTAGACAACTTAGGCTGTCTTTTGAATTCGTGATGCAGGAGCCGAGATCATGCAAGCAGGACATATGTGCTCTGAATATCTCAGTTCGTTCCGCGTCAGGACACCGCAGATCCCCAGGCATTGCAAGGAGCACCTGAGGAAGGTATCTATATCCATGGACTTTTCATGGACACTTGGCAGCTGCGTTGCCATCGTTTTTATATATCCATGGCATCCATTCGCTGAATGAAGTTTTGAGGTGAAATCCAAATTTTGATGAGGTAACCCAATCATTGCACGGTTGGATAACTCCAAATTTCCATGGTCAAAAAATCGAGGTTAGACATGGAAAACAACACTGTCTTTACAACAAAACATGGCGCTGTCTCGGTTTCTGGTTCTAGAAAACAACATATATTTACATATGTGTAGAATTGTGTAGATCAACCTTGGATGCGAACTATAGTATACTATAGTCCTTTAATATACATTGCTGATTATTATGGTAAAATTATAGTACGACAACCAGCATGACACCCATGGCACTCAGGATGGTGCGGCGTGGAGCTTCGATGACATGGCCATTGACGATCAGGCCAGGTGGTCAGGTTTGTGGCAGGCTGCGGTTGTCAACTGTTTACCGAAACGCTTGGAATGGTTGGAGATGAAGGAATGGTTGGAATGGGGGTAGCCCATGTTCATTTCATGGAAAATCCTATGAACATGGATGGTTTGGGGGTACAAGACCTCAAGATATAATGCAATATAATGCAATATAATGCAACAAGATGATATTGAGGTCAATATCAGGAAATGGGGGACAGCATCCAAACTCGCTTCCAAGTTGGGTGGAGATTGCAACGATTGCGAATTGAAGTCTCATGATCCTTTCTCCTGCCAGATCCAGCTAACATGCCAATGGTAAACTCATTTCCAAGAAAAAATAACAATCTACCAGGACCATTGCTTTGAGTCGAGCGAAACCACTGAACTTTGCAGCACAGAGTTCGGTTTTCCCTCTGCTCAGGAGTTTGGCACCATGTTTGTGACCACTCCGATCATCAACTTCATTCCTTGGCAGGAGCGGCAAACGGGGGCCGGCGGAGTGTTCACTGGGGATGCTTGGATGTTTGGATGTTCATCCCCTCAAAAACTGGTGCAAATCTAATAGGTTTGATAGGTCTTCACCTATCCCCAAATGAATCCAAAATCATTGTGTGAACCAGCTGCTGGTTTCAGGCATCAGCTTGACTCTTGGAGTTTCGCGTGGATTTGCTGAAGATTATTGTTCGCCATTTTCCGAACGATCGCCAGGATAAGAAGGCGAATCCCGACAAGCAACTTGGACGCCATGGATCATGATTCGATCATGATCCCACAGAGCCTTAGATTTATGATGCGAAAAGGACACTGGCGCAGGATTTAAAGATTTTAAAGTGAAAATGAGCAGGCTTGAGTTCCATGGTCAATTTCGGCCGATCGGACATAAATCAAGCCTATAGTGAGAGCACCGCCTCAGGTATCGGTGCCCAATCTACAAGACCTCGGTTCGTGCGGGCACGCTTTCTACCACTGGCCATTCGACCAACTTCGTCTTGGCGATCGAGGCCACGAATGGCTCCAAGCTGCGTGCGGAAGACTAGACACTGCTGGGCATGTCGTACAACATTCTTTGGATGGAAGAAATCCTGCACCAGTTGGTAGATGGTTTATCCGATTATAATCCCAATATTTCGAGTGTTTCATAGTAATAGTTACCAACTGGTGCAGGATTTCCTCTATCCACAGTATGATCCAACTTGTAGCAACATTGGATATCCAGCCTCGATACTTAGGGCAGGTTCTTTTGTTGGAGTTGCCATCATCCATCCAGGTATGCAATATGATGTACCCGTATGGGCAAACATTAGGTATCTGCATGTCGGACTCAAAGTTGTAATGTGTGGACTGTTCATGTTGTAATATGTGGGTTTTTCAAGTTTGTCAAGTGCGGCTGCGCCCCAAAATTCCAGCCCCGTTCAAGTTCATCAAAGTTTTCAGGTTTCAGATAGAATTCCAGCATGGAATACCTTGCGAAAAAAAAAAAAAACAACCAATAAAACCTCGCAACGGAAAGTCCCCATGTCTATCTGAGTCTATCTGATGATTTTCCATTGAAACCCGGATGTTCCACGGTATTTTCCCCATGGGATCGGTCACAATTCCCAACCCAAGCCGCGGGCATCGATCCGGCCATCGATCCGGGTAGGTTGAGACATTGATGGATCCATCGTATTGGACACTGAAAGGAGCTGCCATGTTAACAATGCTGAATGATTGAGGCAGGTGGGGCCCGGGGATGCCTGGGGCACCTTAGCACCTTGCCATCTTTTTCTGGGTCTAAGTTGGGAGTTGGGAATATGAAAATTGAAATCATATGAAACTGGGAGCTGTGTTGTTGTTTTTGTTTGGGAAGATTGGGAAGCCGGGAAAGGACCGATGAAACAAAGACCTGAATTGCGATTCTTTGATGAATTGTCAATAGTTTTGAAGTGTCAACTCGCTGCTTAGGGAAGATGTGCAATGTGACCTTTGAGATACCACATCAGACTATTGAAAACTGTTTGAGAGCTGGGTCATGTTTGCAAGAGGTCTATTGAGCAGGACCTAAGAGCCTAAGAGTAGCGCAAGGTGCCGTTTGCTTGCATGTTCTGGATCAGTTTGATGCAACAATGGCCAATCCCTTCTTTCTCTTTGCCAGGAATTTCAAAGTCCACAAAAAGTGAAGAGGCCTCAAAGAAAATAGGTCCGATGATATCAGGAACATTTGAAGTGCTTGCAGCACTGGTCTTGCCAAGAGTCAGAAATGATCAGTTACGACATGGTCACCACAATGTCCCTCTCAGTGATCAGCCGTTTGTGTTTCCGAGTGGACAAGATTCGTTGGGAAGATGTTGCCGGTGCAAAAAAGAGCAGTTCAAATGTTTCTGCTCCTGTCTCACTGACAATGACAAGCTTGGTCAAAGCACATGGATTGCAGATCGAGCTGGACAAGTGCATCATGTAATATTTGATTACAGGCAAGCAATGACAAAGAGATACGATTTGTTTGATCTTTCAGTGTTCAGTCAGATATCAGGTGTTGTTGAGAATCGGAGTTAAACAGAAATCCAGACTTCATACACTTTCCAGTGGAATGTCGTTGGAGAATCATCAATTCTCTCAATGGTGATACATGCAAGCAGCGCAGCATCATGAGAGTGGAGGGGATGTCTCTTTTTCATTACGATTCTCAGAGCGGTTGGAATGAGTCAATCAATTTTGACCAAGATACTTGACCACCACGGTTGGAGAAAAGACAGCTTTGTGGTGAGTCTTTGTAAATGAACACGTCGACCACCTATAATTCTGCCTGCACAAAATGAAGATCCTTGCTTCTGAATCAACCGGTATAGTATTGAAGAAATGATGCAATATAGGCATTCGCAGAAGTCATCCTCGAAATGTGTTCTCTGGTTGAAATGCATGTGCAGAAACAAGGATTTTGCACATGTGACTCACTCACAAACCATAGACCTTGACAATTTGAGATGTCTATAGCCATTGATCCTTCCAAGTTGGAACCTCGAGGTGCTTTGAATGTGTTTCCGCATTTGATTGGCAATCAGCATATCTGTCTATCCATCATATATCTACCCAGCATTGAAACATATTGAAACACTAACGCCTTTTGCGAGTGAATCCTTTGCTATCAACATGTTGAAGTTTCACTCCCAGTTTGACGTGCCGGGTCCGGCACACGTGGTGCATGTTTTTGGGATCTTGCGATATGCTGCAGCTCCCATGGGTTCGAACATTTGGGATTATTTGAGCAGTGACCAAAAGTCCTCGAGTCATTAACGGTACGTGAGGATTCAAAGTAATACACATTTGGAGATCATCTTCAATTTTGGATACTGGTGGTGAAATTACATGAAATTCCCATTTGAAGCCCATGTTTGTTATATCAGGCTTTGGAAGGTTTGCGTGTCAGCGAATTCGTCGCGCTACTTCAGTAGCAGCCCTGCGACGCCTTGGAGCGCACAGAGTGCGGTGTCTGGGCAGTTCGGAGGACGTGCCGTCAGAAGTTTTCAGAAAAGAGGCGCAGGTGAGCACAGGATGGTTGTCAATGGAGCAATGAGATTCATTGACTATATCCCTCCGGTAATCAAACATGGCAATTGAAAATCCTCAAATTTATAGATTTATAGATGATTTCCCCATTGAAACCTGCATTTGTAGCGTATTTTCCATTGCCACGTTTGATTACCAGAGAGTGCCTGTTTCATCCTCCACCGAGTGGGGAGGACTATGTCTCGAGTAGCAGTACTCAGTAGTAGATCAGAGGCAACAGGCTTTTAGTCTTGTGAGACTCTTTCACAACCGCAGCACCTGCGATTTCAAGAGCAGAAACTCTGGTGAAATGAACAGCATGTCAGGTATGAACCTGGAATAACCCTCAAATGTGACATTCTGAATAGATGATAATAGATGTTCCACTTTGCCTTCTTTCACCGACTTGCTTCTTGAAACTGAGCGGAGATGCAATTATTTCAGAATATGAAGCCTTCTTTTTCCACGGTTGAGTACAGAGAACAATCTTCACTTCACTTACCGGATAGATCATTGACCGATTCCATCGATGTACATAGACCAGGGCTCCCAAAGTTGAGCTTCAATGCCCTTGCGCCAGTCCGGCATGTTGCGCGGAAGTGAAGTTGTATCTCCAGCGACGTGCGGCAATGGTAATTTTTCGACATTTCATCACAGTGTTTTATTGTTATCCTATGGTAAACATAGAAAAAACTATGGAAAATCACCATTTTAAACGGGAAAATCCACTATTTCTATGGTCATTTGCAATAGCTATGTTAGTTTACCAGAGGGTACATGTTTGGAGTAGGTCTATCATTGATATATCATGTTCTATCATGACTTATCCTGTGCAGCTACTGGAAGATTCTGACAGGCCACTTGGAAACATCATGAGACTTCCAATAGCTTGCGTGGGTTGCAGCACAAATGAGCTGGATATAGCTCAACCAACGGAAAGTCTCGTAAGCGACCTTCGGGCCCACGAATCAGCTGACAAAAACGCCTTAAATGACGATAAATCTTGGGAAAACCATGAAACATGGCCTTTGAAGATGAACATTGATTCTTCCAGATGTTCTCACTAGTACCTCCTATTTTGTTTAATTAATCCATTTAATCATTTTGGGTAACTACCCATCTTGGCTTGCATCCCGATTGCTCAATTTCTCGGTCCTGGCGGCCAGGAGTTGGCTTGTTTCATTGTATGGGCCTGGCTGGCAAGCTGAACTGGCTGTTGGCGGGGGACTCTGTGGCACAAGTTGCTGAGGTGTGGATTCAAAAATGCTCAATGCGTGGCTATTCTCATGGGGAAGGTGAGGTTTTAAGCCACAGCTGTTGTATACATGGAGCCATGTGCATGGTTATCTTATGTTATCTTCAAATTCATCAAAGAATCCACCAGAAACATCCAGAAACTGGCAAATCTACCGGGGTCGTGATCTTCACCTGAGGTGAGGCACATACCGCAAGCACCCAGATCGGTGATCTTCTTCCCTGGGGACCGGGGGACCGGGCTAGCCACCAAAATGTTGGGCATTGGCTCCCAAGACGATCAACAACTATCAAAACATGAGCAGCAATCCACCATTGGCAAGGGATTTGGGTCTCATGATGCTGGGAGTTTCCAAAAAACAGTTCACTATGTTCACTCTTGAGTCAGTTCGTTGCAGGATATTTCGGATTTTGCATCAAAGTATGCACCCTACAGCTACTCCTTGGAGGCTTCATGGGTCAGTATCTAGACGTTCCTGTGTCCAGATGCCATCCATGCAGTGCGGTTGTTTCTGAAATTTTTTGTCGGTTCCATCAGATTTGAAACATTTTTTGTGATGGACTGGGACTGAAAATCATCAATCCCATGGAAAATCATGGAAAATTCCACTGCCCAAGTGATGGTCTTTGTCTTGGAAAATCATGGAAAATCAAACTTGGGGAATTTGTCTCCACAGCTGCCAGGGTCTGCTGTGGGTTCTGTGCTCCAAGTTCCCGGAGGACAATGTGATTTTGGTGTGGCCCTTGGCAAACGGTCCGAGATTTTGGTGGCAAAGTACCTCCATGTCAGTTTCTAGTGCTTTGTGGTTTTGCCTACATTAAAGGTTTATTGGTTTGTTGGTTTGGTTTGGTTTTGTGTTATTTTGTTTGGGTTCGTTATTTGTTTGTTTGGTTGTTTGTTTGGTTGTTTGTTTGGTTGTTTGTTTGTTTGTGTTTGCTTATGGTTCGTTCTTTCTGGCTTTGTCGTTGTTGCTGGTTTGTGTTGCTGTTCATGTTGTTGCTGCTATCATATTTTTTGGCTGGGAACCTTATCAAGCCACAGCATGATCATAGACACATTCCTTGTCCTTCCTTCATTTGAGTGCCAATACCAAGGTGAAACCTCGGATGATGAGGGATCACTTTTCCATTTATGTCAACTTCATGCAGGTCAGATCCGTGCTGTTTTTCATCTCGGAGGGATTTCATCCCCGGGGAGCTTCGATTTGGAGGATCGAATGTGCTCCTTTCCCCCGGTATTAATGACGACTCCTTCATATGGGACCCAAAAGAAAGGCCATAGATCCACCAGATGGGTTCGTAGGATCATTTTTCAAAGTGTCTGACAGGTTGACAGCATGGGAAATCCCAGATACTTGGCGGAGACCAACAGCGAGGCTCCGCCAAAGCTCTGGTCAGCAAAGGGGCCGTTTTTTTTCACAGGAACTTTGCAGTGAATGGGTTGGTTTCGGGGAAAATCTTCACCGGAAACATCCAGAAACATCCGGAAACCATTTTTTTTTTCTATCAAACATGGTGGTTTCCTGCAGATGTTCCATGATTTTCCCTTTTTTCCAAGCCCTGGTTTCAGGCCTCAGCAGATCCCCCGGAGGCGTTCCGCGTTGAGAAAGTCAGAGTGTCAAATGATTTCAGATGACCATAAAATCAACCCATTTTATGGCAATCTGGAATCTATGGATCTAAAATGGTTGGAGTATGTTGGAGTCTATAGATGGCAGCCCCCACAAATGTGGATCGTGGTTGACCAGTTGACCACGGTTGACGCTTCTTCCAGGCTGTGGCCGTCGATCATCTTCAACTCTTGTGGCCCTTGCCTGCGTTTGGGACTGCATCACTCCATAAAAGACAACTACATGTGGTAAACCCTGGCTGCCATAAACCTACCCTGACTGTGGGATGGTTTATGGCATTGGGCTTACCAGATTATTTGAAATCTGAGCTGTTTCACTGTTTGCCTGAGCAAAGATGAGCAGGGTCCCACAGCAAAAGATGAAGCTTCAAAGGGTCCATATGCGCACCGCACGAAAAATGTGGATATGGAACCTTGGCTGTCAATACGCCCCCCCCAAGTTCGAAGTTGGTTTATTTTCACCCATTCAACTGTAGATTTTGCCGTGGTCCACATAGATCCAAGAATCCTCATGTTTGGCGATTCCCCATTTCGACTTCTGAAAAATCCCCATCTTTGGAAAACTTTGCCCATTCCCTCCATGGGTCCAAAGTATTCAACGGGCCAGGTTAGCATCTCTCTCCAAAGAATTGGGCGAGGCGTGGTTGGGGATGGAGAAGTATCGCAAGATGAAGGGTGTAGGCGCTCAAAGTGGGGTCTTGGTCTATATTTTGTATAGTATAAGGCCCTTTTGTATAGTATACATAGTAAGTGTCATCAAACATGGGCACTTTTCAATAAATAATAGGTATTTTAATGCTTGCCATGATTGATTACCGGAGGGTATATAACCTGTAGATACCTGTAGACATACATAGAAAAAGACACAGAGAGAGAGGAAGAAACAAAGTGTTAAAGTATAGATTATATCTGTGACATTGACACTCATGGATGGATGGAAAGAGCCCAAGTTCAATGGGAGTCCATCAAGGTGATCTGTTCAAGATTCACGCAAGTATCCGCAGGAAACCACCCAAATTTGATAGAAATCTCATGGGTTCCCCTAGATCTTTTAACAGAAATTCCATGTGGTAATCAAAGATAGCAATGGAAAATCCAGTCAAAATTTAGGGGTTTTCCAGGATTTGCCCCAAAGAAAACCTCCATTTATAGGTCGATTTCCCCCAGCTGTGAGGAGCTGCCATCGCCTTTGCTTCTGCTGGGTTTTAGCAAGGGTGGAGCAGTAGGGAACCTCAGCGACAGGGCGCTTTTTTTAGATGAGTGAATGAAGATCAATGATGAATCAAAAAGGGAAGGATTATATATGTTGGGTGATTTTTTTTTTTTAAGTCTCAAAATTCTGAGACTCCAATTTTGGACGTGCCTTCACAAACCATGGGGGAAATTGACCCGAGGATCCTGGTTTTCAATCGTACCAGCTGATATCTGGAGACATTTTTTCCATTCCTCCAGTCCAGTCCATCAAATCCCCAGTATCAGTCCCATATATTTTGAAGCGCTGATTGTTTGATGAGCTCCACTTTTTCTGTGTCTGAGATCAATCTCCTTGAAGCCAGGTGCTCAATGCGCTGATGCGAGAAGCCAAGGTGCTTCGGCGAAACGTCAAAGGCTGTGACTGGAAGCTACGTTTTCTGTTCAAAAGTTTGACAATGTTGGACAAATTAATGTTGGGTTAGAAAGGGGAATCATCCCCAACTGGCCGAACTATTGAGGTCAGCCAATGGCTATATTTTATCCAAATTAATGGTGGTTCCTCACCAGGTGGTGGTGTAACCATGTCTCGGTTCCTCACGGTTCTTGCAATCCAAGCCTGGAAAAAAGTGTTTCTTGTGAACCAGCCTTATATACTTGTAAAGCCTGATGCAAAACACACCTGAGCGCATGACATGGTGATCAAGTCTTGGACTTGTTTCAGCCCGATAGTTTCAGGATACCCTTAGACAAAAACCCACTAGTTGTACTATAGATAATAATTGATCTTGGGATTGGGGTATCATATCTAATCATATCTATGTTAGTTTTCTGACATGCCCAGATGTGGGGAACACCCAAAGCAACCTGTCGGCCGGTCTCGAGGCTACTCTTTGGTCTCGGGTGCAAGCAGTCTGTTGGCAGCATTGGAAATCCTCACAACCATCCCCAGGTTTGTGGCATATAAGGGGAATAATCATATGCCAACAGTATATATGGAATATTCCATTATATCCATTATATATGTTTGGTTATATATATCATGTTTATTCCATTAATATAATGTTGATTTAATGGCATAATTATAACCAACATACTTAGGCTATCTGAGGCTTACTGTGCCCTTTGGTTTCATCAAACGTGGCTGGGAAATCCTCGAACTCAATGGAAGTCATCGGAAATAGTCTATAATCTACAATATATTAAGAAACAATTGGGTGAAACTCATCATACAAGAAAGCGCAGTGAAACTTCGAACTGTAGGGAACGCCTCGTTGCTTGAAGCATTCAAACAGCATGCGGTAGCCAAACGCCCAGGGATGGTTCCGCAGGGAACGGTTTTGTTTTGGATGTTGGATTTTTGTTGGCTTTAAAACGTCTCCGGAAGTTCTCTTAAATCGTCCTTGGGGAAAAATAAGGGCTCAACCTTGAATTGAATCACCTTGAATCTACCCTCTGGTAAACTAACATAGCTATGGAAAATCACCATTTTTAATGGGAAAATCCACTATTTCTATGGCCATTTTCAATAGCTACGTTAGTCATTACCAGAGGGTATCAAGTCTATCAAGGGATACAACCTGAACACTGTGCCATCCCTCGTTGTTTCGCCTAATGCAGGTGCATTTCATCGACACGGGGCTGAATGTGCCTGGTGTCTTTGTGGTGCAGGCACCTGACATCGAAGAATTCTAAGTGACACACCGCGGTGTCCGTTGCAAAATTTGAAGCCATTGAAAAGGATCTTCTGCCCCCATATATATAATATAATTATTGGATATAAATATTGGAAATGGTATATTAATAATTATGATATATAATTCCATTGAAAAATGATTATATAATTATTGGAAATTGTGAAGTGAGATGGAGTGAGCACAGAGACATACGAAGGTGTTTGGGTGCCAAGAAGTTGTACCTTTTGAGAAGTGCGGAAACTTCCTGTAGCAATTCACAAAAGACGGCCTTCCTTCTCCAAAGAATTTCTTGGGGTGTCTCCAAAGCCTTAAGATCCCATTTTGACAAGGATGTTTTCTGTACTGAAAGAGACAGTCACATGTTTTCTCCAAGCTCAAATTGACAAGCCCTAAACTTGGAGATACAGTACCTGCAATCAGTCACATGGGTTTGCAGTAAAATCCTACGTCTATGGTTCGATGATTTCGCTATATAAAACATACGTATAAGACCTCCATGTTGATCGGGGATTTCCCAGCCAGTTGTGGTTCCGGTCCAGGGCCTACAGGAGCTCAAAGAGGTTGTGCCTTGGAGTTGCAGTGGCATAGCTGAGACATCTGCGACCAACTCATGGGTAAAAAGCTATGGATTTCCCGTGGTTTTCGGAGTCGGGGATGAAGATCCATAAGAGCCAGCCAGGTGGATCTATTGATTGATTGGATGTTCACCAGTCACAAGTCACATCGCACCAGGTGCCAGAGAACTTTGAGATTTGGCTACATTGTACTCCTCGTCAACTTGAGGACGGCGAAGTATCGACCCTATAAATCCATCTATGGCACTATCTCCGGCGAGAAAAATCTCATACGAAGTGCCATGTTTGATTTATAGCGTTTCTCCATCTATTTTCTCTAGTTTCTATGGATTTCCAAGTCTTCCAAGTGCCATGTTTGATTGCCGGAGGGTACGCCAAAATCCTCCGAAATCATCATGGTTTTATCCACATCCAGAATCTTTGGGGCACCGCCGTTGAGCTACTGAGATTCCTGGTAAACTAGGAAGATAAAATATGACATACATGGGGATGTACCCACCAATGTAGCTATTATTGTATAATTACATCATATTACATACATATACAATCATATCATATACATATATACACATGCATTTGCATTTATATTTGTATAATATATACGTACCCCTTATAACCCCCATCCCCATGGCGGGTGTATTTGGATGGGCGCTGTCAAAAACACGTTGCCATCCTTAGAAAATCTCCGCAGACGAGGATCCCGGAAGACCTTTTGTGGCAAAGGAACATGACGAATTTCAGGAACGCTGCAAGGCTGGGCCGACCCCTCCGGGAAGGTGACGGAAGGGACATCCCTGACATCCCCATGGCAGAAAATCATCGATTTCTGGGGGATTTTCCAGCCATGTTTGATGAAACCGAGTAGATGATCTTTGACAATGATTGACCCATTTTTGAGGGGATGAACAAGAATAGAAGCTGATATAAGCTGATGAAATGGACATGTTCGTTGCTTTGAGACCAATTTATCATCCTGCAAAAACCCTCTGGTTTTATCAAACTTGGACAATTACCTGCAAAAATGGATGATTTTCCCAGCTGTACACCTCCATGTTTATAGCGGATGTTCCATGGATTAGCCCATCTTTCGCATGGATTTTCCCATGGATTTCCCCATGCGCCCGAGTCCTTGGGCTTCGTGGTGCATCGAAGGTCGGATAGTCGGATAGTCGGATATGGACGGGGAATCAGGCGGGAAGGTCTTTTGGATAAGCTGATAAGCCATCAAAAAATATGGCCATTTATAGTGAGTTTTCCTATTAAAAATGGTGATTTTCCATAGTTATGTTAGTTGACCAGAGGGTAAATCATACATACCCTCTGGTAAGCCAACATAGCTATTGAAAATGCCCATAGAAATAGTTGATTTACCCAGCTAAATAGCATGGTGATTTTCCATCGTTATGTTAGTTACCAGAAGGATCCAGAGGGTACAAAATACAAAAGATGTGGTAGAAGGATCGAACATGTGGATAATCTAAATGTGGATTAATATCATACAATGATCATATATGTCATACAATGATGTGGATTATGATATCAAATGATATATATATATATATAACTCCAAATATATCATATGATGATAAATAAATGCTGTGGACAGACACATCCAATGAAGGATATTTCGATATCCTGGCGAGTTTCGGGAATGGGTGAAAACCAAAAAAGGTGCCAGGGGTTGATCCATAGCCAGAGGTCTCGCTTGGAGAAGTGTCCGCCCTTGGATAAGCACCACTCAGTTTAGCATATGTTTGTCATGTCGTAATAGTTGTGAACTATCTTTCACAGTATGTTGATTTATGTTGACTTTTAAACTGTGAACTTGTTTGCTTTTCTGTAATTGTATTCATTCTGATCTTCTTCATTCTGTCTTCAACTTTCATCTCCGAGTATGTTTTGTGGCTTCTTGCCTGAATTCCCACATTCACAGTTGCCTTCATATTACTGTATTTCTTTTTTGCCTTGTTTGGTGTCATCTTTGTAGCCGAATCCACCGATATCTCATTGAAATCGTGGTGATTGTTGATCGATTTCCTGGGATAATGCGATCAGGAATAGGTGGCAAAATACCCTGATACTGACTTGATGGAATTGACATTGTCTCTTACTTCACGATGATTACCGTTGCTAGCCGCATGAATTATAGCCTCTTGGTCTTGGCCTGACTGCTGATAGCTTGATGCATTGTTGAGGGTTTTAGATTCTATCGTACTAGCAACGCCGAAGAAGATCGGAAAAAAGTACTTGATCAATCTTTGATCAATCTTTGATCAATCTTTGATCAATCTTTGATCAATCTTTATCACTATTTTTTATTCTGGGAATTTCTGAGTTCTTCTAGTAGGATATTCAATTCCATCGCAACAAAGATCCAGGTTGTACGGTGAAGGCCTGCCGGTTAGCAAGATCCTCAGACCCATCGCAGCGCATGGCTTTTTTTGACGGTTTTTGAATGGTCAACTCAGCATAATATGTACAGGTGTAGTTCAATTCTATTGCTAGTAAATTGGAATATATGAATATATATATATATATGTGTGTGTTCTATGCTTGAAAATGATGTCACACACTGGTTAGATCACTGGTGAGGGTGTTGCCGCTGTTGGCCTCCGCCAGAGGTTTAGAGATGCATTTCGATGCGATCAGATGCTTTGAGACAAGCCAAGATGACAAGGCTGTGCAAGTTCGAAAGATGAATGCGTCTAGATGCCAAGATGTGCCAAGGTGAAATTCAAACTCGAGATCCATGTAAATCGTATGTACGGATCCATGTCCCTGTTCTAAATTCTGAACAGTGGTGGCTGGTATTTTCAGAGCAACTTGTTGCACCAAAGCTTTTGGCCAGTGGCATGCCAAAAACCCACCAGTTGAGCATTTCAATGTTGAATATGATGTTTCACGATGTTTCAACATGCTTCATGCTTCTGGCCATGTTTTCATCAGAATTTCATCAGAATTTCATCAGAATTTCATCAGAATTTCATCAGAATTTCATCAGAATTTCATCAGAATTTCATCAGAATCTATGTCGAAATGACCTGGATTTTTCTAGGAAATCATCTATAAATCCATGGGACATCGCCATGTTTTATAATGGTAATCCAAGGCATGGGCCATGTTTTACACAACAGCCGACAGGATTCGGGCCCCCGGCATTGCGGTTTCTTCCGCTCCTGGCAAGAGATCGCTGCTTGGTGGATGAAGTGATCCGCTAGAAATGGTGCAGGGCGTGGAAATGATATGTGTGTATAATATATATTTAGAATACATTGTATGATATGTAATTACTGTGATTTACTGTGTACAATTATATATATATACTATATTTGAATTGCATCTATCATATGAGGGTGTCTATTTTGCGAGTCACCTGTGTCTCGCTGGACATGGGGTACCTTCCCGCATCCATCCAGCCCGCGCAGAGGCTAAGGGGTAACACTTGTCTGCAACCACTTGTCTACACAGATCATCACAGACAGAGAGTTTGAGACAGAAAGAGAGATTTATTTCTTTGCTGGTATTCAACCAACTGTAGTCCCCTCTTGGATCCTTCTGGGTTTGTGTTGCAAACATGTTCTGGGACTTCCCATTTCCAGGCTGATGCGGAAGGTTGACATCGAAGAAAAAGTCGCGACAGCTGGCGTAGACTTCAATCCTTGGCATCCGATGCTATAGTTTGCTTGTTGATCTTGGCTATCTAGAAATATGCACAAGCTTGAAATGCTTCGCGCAGATACAAGATGGCTGATTTGTTTTTGTCTTTGTGCAAGTATGAGAGATTCTATGAGCAGCCCCAGATTGCAAGTCAGCTTATGTATTTTTGGCATGCCTGAGCAGTCGCTGTCTGATGTCTGAGGTGAAAACAACGGACAAAGAGTGAAATCGAACCTCATGTTCATCTCGGCAGTTGACTAAAAATCATACTGTAGAAGCTCTTCCCATTTTGGGATATCAGTGGTATAAAAGCGGTACACAACGATATCTACTGTATATATATGTATACATATATATATATACACATATTATATATATATATATTATACATATATATATTATACATATATATATTATACATATATATATATTATACATATATATATTATACATATATACATATATTATACATATATATATATATTATACATATATATATATGTATAATTATAATTATATATCTATGTATATATATATATATGTCGAATTATGGTTCATATAATTCGTATATTATGGTTGTATGAGATACCACTGCCAAATATGTTAATTTAAGAAATTGTTTCAGAGGTTGGGCAAATGATTGCGCATCTTGAGCCGACTTTTTGGCCCAAGATGATGCGAAACAAATTGCAAAGAGGAAAACACGTTCCCCTGCTCATCAATTGATTGTATCCTTGTATTTTCAGGCGTGGCAGGAGTTATCAGGTCCTCCGAAAAAGGGAGACATAGCAGCTGCAAATAAGAGCAGTGAGTGTTGTTTTGCTTTTTTCTTCGTTTTGATGTTTAAATCAAACAAGAAGAACATGTGATTTTGCTCCTGTCCACGTTCCTTCAGTTTTTGAAATGAACAATGATGTTGGACTCCATATATGAGGCGGACTTTAGACACTTCAGCAAGTCTCAAGCGGCCATTTCTTCACGTTTTCTAATTCAATGGTGCACCCCCTTGATGGCGATGGTGCCTGGAATGTTGGTTGCTAAGCAGCTTCATGTTTGCAAAGTCTCAGGATCTCTCAGGATAAACATGGATGGACAACTTGCTGGTCATATCTGAAAGATTTGTTGAGCTTTTTGGTGCTCATCTTCTAGAACATTTGGCAGATGGCAAAGTATTTGAGTGAGAAATTCCATGTACATTAATTCCATTTATAGTACTATAATTCCATTAAATGCCAAATAACTCCCAGTTAACAGCTATAAGTGTTTCAGTATGATGACCTTCAAAAGGGGAGAGTTCCGCCGACCCGGACCCTTCGCCAAGGTGGCTTCACCAAGTGATATGGCCACGGAAGGCCGAAGAAAATGATGTTTCGATGGGTTGAAATCACCATGCTACGATTGTGATTGTTGTTGTTGTTGTTTGTTGTTTGTTGTTTGTTGTTTGTTGTTTGTTGTTTGTTGTTTGTTGTTTGTTGTTGTTGTTGTTGTTGTTGTTGGTGTTGTTGTTGGTGTTGTTGTTGGTGTTGGTGTTGGTGTTGGTGTTGTTGTTGTTGTTGTTGTTTTCAACTGATGGTTGATAGATGTTAGAATATCGTTTTTCTTTCATCCGATCGTTGATTTCTTTCCAACTGATGCTAGTTGTTTCTTCCACTGATGGATTTGTTCGTTGATTTTTGTTAAAACCTGATGATCGATAGTTCACTGCGCTACCTACTGGCGCAGTTTCGACTTTCGAGCTTCAGGGAGAGGCCGTGGGCAGGTTGTGGGTCTATGGTGGTGGCCACCTGGAAAATGAGACAGTTTGGTGATTTTTTGGCACTTGGAAAGTCATGACAGCTGGAAAAGGGATCTACAGGTTAGCACAGGTCAGAAATCCCAGCGAGTTGAGGTTGATCATGTTTTATCCAAATCTTTTGACTGGTGAAATCCCAATTGTTGTTTGTTCATGTTTGTTCAATACCAATCTTTCTACCAGTCACTAGCTTTGTGCTAGTTGACTTGCCATCTTTGATGGTAAAGATTGTGATAGCACCCCCCCATCTTAGAGCCCATCTTAGATGCCGAAAAGGAGCTGGTCCCACCGAGAAAATCATGGTAAATGCTTGGCTGTTTATATCCTGTGGGGTCGGATTACCTTTTATAACTATCGTTAACTATCGTTAAGTACTTGACCAGATGTTCATCCATGTTCATCCGGTTTTTTCGAAGAAATCCCAGTGACTCCAGGGTAGGTAGGTAAACCAACATCGATTCATAGATGTGGAACACATTGGAAAATCAAATCCCAGTGACTCCAGGGTAAACCAAGATAGATGTGGAAAACCCATGGCTTTCTTAGGAAAAGGATCCACAAATGGAGGTTTTTATCAGAAATCCAACCCTTGTTTTGTCCAAGGCTAGCAGTCTCGGCCTGGGCGTGCAGCCCATGGCTGGCATAGGGCCGGGGACCTAGTGTGGGCAATTTGGGGACTGTCCACATAGGAGATGTGGGATATAGTATGTGTATTATACATATAATATAACAATTTATGTATATATAATATTATATGTATAATACTATGTATAGTGATATAATGTTATAATTAATTATATAATATCATATATGTAATATTATATATATACAATATCAGATATCTAATATTATATATAATATTATATAATATGGGAGTTTCCTAAAATGGTGGTACCCCCAAATCATCCAAAATCAGACCAGTTTAATATTGAAACATACGAAACCCGTGGTCTTGGGATCCCTCATTTTAAGAAACCTCCCTATATACAATAATATATAGCTACTATCACATTATCACATTGCATAACGCCATTGTGGTTATATATCCTTAATATACAGCTGTCCAAGAAACGAGCCGATGCCGAAAAGTAACACACAATTCATCACCCTGGAAGGATAAATGACTGTGAGTTGCATTTTTTGGAGGGATTGTTTCATATATACCAACTTACTGTATTTTTTGGGGGAGACTTTGGATGGTACTAATCCATCTTTTGCCACTTTGATGAGGGTATTTGTTGACCTAGCCTAGCCAGCTGAAAAGGTGGTTTTGCGTAGGATGTGAAAGTTGATGATCGATGATCTGATGTGATCAAAACTCGCGATTAACATTGATGAACTCACCCATTTTCAATGCTGCGAAAATGATGAAGCGGAAGATTTGTCACACTGGAGATTGAGAAGATTGCGGAACATGGAACCTTTACGTAGTTCTTGAGATTTCCAGTCCACCGGGTGATTTTCATGTTCCACTTGGAAGCACCGTGCGAGGCTGAAAGGAGGATTCCTGTACATTCGAGTGCTCGAGGTGTGGCTTCTTTTTCAGGGGTTGATGTGGACGCCATCTTTGATCAACATGGGTAAATCCAAATGATGTCAATCTGCGGAAGGGAAAATCATGATAAACCATGATTTTTTTGGAGTGTCCCATGGTGTTTCCGCAGATTTTCAGAGAAATCCACATGTTTGTGAGATGTGGCAGTCCATGATCTCAGCAACAGGTCATGAAATTCAGGAATTTGCAAGGGATTCATTCTATATGAATTTTTCTGACATGGCCTTCTTGAACTTTCAGAATTTGCCAAAAAAATCCCCAACCTTGGATGGGTCGTAGAAAATCCTTTCGTTTTATCGTTTTTGCTGTGAAAATCATCATACCAAAGGATGAATTCTTGGACCCTCGAGGCTGGAAATCTAGGCTTCGATCGCCGCAGCCTGAGTATTGCGCAGACTTGGGGCCCGTGTAGGTATCACAACTATGGTATTGCCTTGGTGAACAGATTATATATATATATATTCATACTTCATCAGTATCCTTAGTATGCCTATATGGGTTGTAAGATGTTGTAAGACTAAATCACTCAGACGAAGGCTAGTTTAGGTGTCACCAGTATAGTAATCTTCGTTTTTTTGCAAGGACTAGAATTCGCTGTTGGCTGAGTCTCCCTATATAGCAAGTTCATGATGACCAACGTGATTCCTTATGGGTAAAGATGCATTTCTATGCTGATGTTCTTTTTGGAGGATTTCACCGAAACATCCCGAAACATCCCTTTTAAGGTGACTCAGAAAGAAAAGGCCGCGCCGCGACCCAGGGATGATCAGTCCGCAAATCCGAAGGGTTTTTGCGGGTCCGCTCAAATGGTGGAAAACCTCAAGAATCTGGTGAGAAAATCACGTTTTTTCCCATATGGCAGGACACTTGACTTCCCCCTATTCTTTGGAGAAATCCAAAGGGGCTACAAGGGCTACAGCCAAAATTTACCGTAATGGAAAGTACTATTCGAGACATCTTGATTTTTTGGAAATTGAGCTGGGGCTTGGAAAACGAAAAAAAACACTCTTCAAAAATTGATGACTTGGAGCTATAGTAGTATACTAAATATTGACCCGCGGCCCATATGAGCAATAAATGATGGTTATGTATTATGGCAGTTTTCTCCAAAAAAATTGGGAGTTGAAGCAACAAGAGTTGGGGCGCGGGTCAACCGTCAATATCAATCTCTGGACGGTTGATGTCAATGGTGTTTCTACGGTCATTGTATGGGTTGTAGCCATCCAATAGCCATCTGGTTGACAATGGTGGACCTTATATTTTTGGAAGGTTTTGATCCCAGGAAAAAGATGTATGCACAATACAATATTATACAATTATATGCAATTATAGTATCATACAGTGTCTATGTATATATATATATATTATACAGACTCACATACACCTGATACCATCTTCGTAGTTCCACTGGTACTGTACCTATTCTAGGTTGCCATACCTGCATGGATGAGTCCTCTCCAGTCTCTCCATGTCTCACCGGCGGCAGTTTGTAGCAGCTGCTTTTGCCTTGGCTGCAGTTCATGCCTTTGCCCTAGTCAGTGACTGACTGTTCATCTCGCTTGCGCACAAAGTACCCTTTCCAGAATCTTGTTGGATAGTATTTTGTTCAGTACATGTAGCAAACATGTGCACAATATGTACAAAGAATAGTTATATATCAGCTATCAGCATTGGATCTGTGAAGGTACATACTGATATAGAACTACTAAGTATATAAACCCTTGATTCTATGTATATTTACACGATTTTACACGTATTTAATCCTTGCTTCTAAGATCTTTAAAGGTCAGCAACGCAACGAAAAACCTGCCGTGACCCCCGGCCGCGATGTCCAAGGTTCAAAGATCAAGGATGGAGCTGTGCAAATTGCGTCCGGCGCACACTTTGGGGGGAACGATGTGTATGCTGTGCAGCTAAGACACACATATATATATATATATATGCAGTATGCATACACAATATATACATAAATAGAGAGCTATGTATATATATATATACATATATATATATATTAATATATATATATATGTATGTAAATACGTATACATATATATATATATACAGACACGTGATGAGCATTTTGTATGTTGGAGAGGAAATTCCATCATCTCCACCTTTGTCAGGTTCTCCTGCCTCAGCCTGGAGCGGTCTGCTCGGACAAAGGCGCCATGGTTAGCCGCTTCGGTGTCATCAAACATGGCGGGCCGCTGGGAAATCTCCAATAAATGGAAGTTTTCATAAGAAAATCATTGCCATGGTTGACTACCAGAGGGTTTTTTTGGGGGGATTCAGATGGAGTTTTGGAGGGATTTCTGGGCAAGTCTTGCTGAAAAGAATAGAACTTGACACTTGTAAGATGCTATGAATAGATGGTTTGATAGGGAAAAGGCCTGCAGTGACACACCAGCCCACTGAATAAATCCTACTATTCAACAGTTGTGGACAGTGACAGTAAAATTTCTGAGCCCCCCAGGACCCTTTCCTTTTCAGTTGTTATCTACCTCCATCGACTGATTTTCCACCAGGCTGCATACATCCAAGACGGGAGAGCTGTCTTCGGAGAGGACCTGGTGGGGTCTTGTCGCAAAAAGATGCAGTTTCTCATTCAGGGTGCAAAAGGACTAAGGAGTTCCCAACTGCGTAAAGCATTGCAAAGCAATAGTAGTTTAAAAAAATAGTGCCCTTGTCTGAAGGTTTCTCCATCCTTTCCCTCCGAAAATTCGCAGAACTTAGTCGGGGTCCAAGTTTTTCTTGGGACAAAGCTGGCGATGGTAAGCCTTGATCAAGTGGGTCCATGTAGGTTGAAATGATTTGAAATGATGAATGGATTTATTGTTGATTTATTGTTGAAAATTTGTTGAATATTCTTTGGCAGTGGAGAAATACTAAGCACTGGATCGATTGTCTGGCGACATCGGCGACATTTTCCTTCGATTTTTGAGTGGTCTTCCCCAACTCGGGGGGATTTGGTCCGTAGTTTGATGGGATGAACCACCATTTTCAACGGATGTTTTATGGCCACAACGGCGCGTATATCCCACTGATTCAGACAACCTCAAATATCATGTGTTGTGTTTGTCATATATATACATATATATATATATCATTCCCTTTGGCATATCCCCCATGTTATTCTTATATATACACATATAATATATAACATACATAGATATTATATTATAATTGATATGATATGATATGATAATAATTATGTAGTAAATATGATGTATATAATATCTTTTTGTATTATATACAATATAGTATATTATCATATAATACATTGACATACCTTGCCATATTACATAAATATATATATATAGTACATGTTTCAAATCCGAACACATTCCATTCAAAAATCAGCCATGAAATCTCCAAAGCCACGGTTCCAGGAGATGTTACTCCGCGCCTTAAATTTCTGCAGCGCAGATCGGTTACAGGTGACCTTGGAGACCAAAGCCACGGTTCTTGAGGCGGGATTTTTTTTTGGAGATATATGACTGGTTGGGGATTAATGGTGGTTTAATGGGGATTTTGCTGGTGGTTTGGAACATGTTTTTTTTTCCATATATTGGGAAGAATAATCCCAAGCGACGAACTCATATTTTTCAGAGGGGTAGGTATACCACCAACCAGTATATTAGATGATATAATATGATTATAGAAAGTTGGGATTTCATTGGGGATATGATTATAGAAAGTTGGTATTAGAGGACCAACATTGAACATGTGAAGAAAATGGTGGTTGAACTATAGAATATATTGGGTATATAGTATATAATGGGGATATACTGGGATTTAATGAGTAAGTATATAGTGGGATGTATAACTTTTATAACCAATAAGTGGACTTCTCATCGCCCGCCCGGTTGTCCCCTCTCAATGCGAGTTTTAATGGGAAAATCATCATCCATGGATTGTGGTTTGTCCAGCAAACCATGTGACTGATGACACAGAAGGGGAACCAGGAAAAAATAACGATGTCGCCAAGAAATCTTGGGATATGGTGGGACCAATGGTGGGATGATGATCTGGATCTAAGAAACAATTTGTTTTGCTTGTCGGGTCCGAGTGAAAATACCCAGCAACTTGCAGATGTTGGTGATTTTGAGTGCTAAAGCGTATAAGCAATGACGCCCATACCCAAAGCCATGGCATGGCGGGAACATACTGACACTGAATAAAACTGGGAGGTGGCCTGCAGATTCAGGTGGCACTGAACAGCAAACAGTATTGATTGGGTTTGCGAAAACACAATCAAGAAGAGGTTTGGAAGATTGGAGAAATGTTCTGTTTTGTTGTCATCAGCAATATCCGCAGAATCCTAGAAATTGTTCAGCATTTTATGACCCTTCTTGAGCTGGATCTGTTCAGTGGAGATCAAACTTTCTCAGACTGGAATGCGGGTCAATCTGGTTTTGTACGGAGCGGGGAATATTCACCATGTCAATTTTAACGCGCAAAATGATGATGAAACATGCGATGTTGGGTGCATTGTCGTACCCTAGTCTCCGACAAACCTATGCCCAAGAACCTTCGACCCATTTCAACCCCCATATTGGGTGTGTTTTTCACGACAAACCATGCAATGTTGGTGGTGCTCGTGTTCGATTTTGAATCAGATTCCATTCACAAACGCAAGCCAAAGGCCTCCATGCCGTTGCGTGCGGGGCTTCCACCATCGTTCTATCCTCAGAGGATGTTTGTTTGCTCATGTGGCAATGTATCAAAATTTTGGACTTTCCAAAGTGAAGTGTTGACAAACTAAAGATCACTGACCGCTTCAAAAATCCATCCACACGTGGTTTATGTATATAATTCTCATAAACAGCTTTCCTGGATGGCTTAAATGATCCCAATCCTCAGCCATAAAAAGCTTCAGCTTTGCTGGACCCTCATCTTGGGATGATTGAACTGGTTGGATGGTGTTGATGTGATCTGTTTGTGGTTACATATTATAGTAATATAGTATAATAGTGTATGACTGATTCTGTATGATATGTATGTATATATATACACATACACATATATATATATATGTATATACACATATACTGAGATATATGTAGATGTAGATACACGGAAATAACACCATGTATAGAAATATAGAGATATAGAGATAGGTGATAAGGTAAGAGAAGATAAGACAAGACAAGACAAGCTAAGACAGACAGGCAGACAGATAGATAGATTAGATAGATAGACATAGGTGTAGATGGAACCATGATCTAGGATCATTGAAAACTCATTTTCCGGCTCATGCTGAGGCTTATGAGCAAAGAGGACTATGGGGCCCTCGATACCCCTCAGTCAAGGGCCATCTGGGGTGGTCTCAAACTGGGGCCCAGTGACTGCCAGTGGCCCAATGTATCCTCCAGGTAAATCAAGGCAGAAATATGGGGAAATTGGTAAATCAAGAAATCATGGGTCATCCAGATCAGGGTCATCCATATCATTTTCTTCTTTCAACTTCCCACTACATCCATATTCTACCCGGATGTTCAGTCGTTGGTCTTATCCCCAGCAGTACAATGTGGGATTCACCTGTCATAGTCACCATCCCCAGATGGCCCAAATGGTGGGCTTATGATCGGGACCACATCCACTGCTGTAACCAACTGCTGGATATGGCCGTTCTGTTGAACAGGATGCAAATATTCACCTTGAGATGACAGCTGGGGCACACCAAGAGACGGGTGGAGATGTCATGACGTCATGAACAATGCTTCGTAAGGGGACTTGCTGGAAAATCTATGACATGTTCTCTATTTCAGGTTAGTGTGTTTTTGATGTGGCATACTGGTACTACTGTATGATTTTCCCTGATTCAATCGGATTAGATGCTGTGAGTCATTCGGAAGATCTCTTCCAATTTTGTGAGGTGATCATCGTAAATTGTTGGGCCCTTTCTTACCAAACAAACTTCCCAGAGTTGAGTGGATATGTGGATTCAATATGATAAGTGCAAGGATTCAAAGCACTTCCCAGAATTCTTCAGCGAACATCGCTAGATGCAACTGGAGCTGGACCTCGTATACCCGCTGAGAATGGGAATCCCCATCAAAAATGGAGGGTTTTATGGGAAAACCATTGGAAAAATCCATGGGAAATATAGGGGACATGTCCTAATACATGGAAGTTTTCATCGGAAAATCATCGAGCTCAATGAATGGGAGATTTTTTCAGCAAACCATGCTTGATGAAACCGGAGGGTAACCGTCTTCACTTGCGTTTGCTAATCACCGAGGAGCGAATTGAAACTCTTATACCTTTCCAGACCTGGTCAGTCTGCATTGTGATGGTATGGAGGGGAATGAAGAGGACATTTCCTGCTTGGAACTTGAGCATCACGGATTTTCACACTCAGGTCCCCCCCAAAAATGGCCGTCAAGTTCCCTGGGGGAAGTGTTGATGAATTCAATGTTCAATTTCCCCATGTTTCAAGCTTAAATGACATCTAACATCATCTAACCATCAAGCAGCAAAGTTTAAGTCTTGTCGAGGCCTGGCCCCCACAGCAACGACTCTACTTTCAAGGTGCGACTGGCTACCCCAAGATCCCAGTCACCATTGCAACGTGCTGGATCTGCCTAAAAGGATGATCACATCATGGGTGAAGTCGCAGGTGAAACTCCGGCGGCAGCATATTTGGATATCGAGCTGCTACAGGCCCTGTGGGTGACTTCAGCAATCAGCAGGGGATATGGGGAAGCCAAAAAAAAATCTGATTAGCATGGGCCTTCTACTACTTATTATGGTATATATGAGGGTTATATACCAAAAGTATCCAAAAGTCATTTACTGGTATTATGGACTGCGTTTGTCAACGGGTCAAAAGGAAGCATTTATGGCCATTGACAAATAGAGAATGATTCAAACCAATTTGAACTACTGTAAACAGTTGGATTTTAGAGTGCTGCCTTGGTTCGTTGAGGATTATGAACAATAAAACCCAATGAATTGAAAAATAATATGTCTCCACAAAAATGACGCGCGAAAATGATCCAAGATAGTGCCATATAGTCATCCCAAACCAAACAGAAAAAGAAGGTTTGTCTACACACATTCCAATGATTGGAATTTCCAATAATCCATAATAATCCATAATAATCCCCCAAAAAAGATCGGATATTATCCAATAATGATCATCCAATCATAGAGATAAAAACATGATAAAACCCAAGAATCTAGGATATTCCAATGATCCCAATAATCTCCTACCGTAGTGCTTGCCGGTTGCCAGCTGCTGGACGGCTCGATGTGCACAGCGATGGGGGCGGCGCCATTGCTGAGTGCTTTGCAACGAAGACAGGACGAGAGCTGCGTGCAAAAATGGGTGGGTGATACTGCGGATGGTTGCACCAGTTGAAAACGGTGTTTCAACCATCCATCATCCCATTATTTATAGATATTTATAGATATTTATAGATATTTATAGATATTTATAGGGTTTCAACATGTTTCAACCATCCTTTTGGTGGTGTAGGATTTCTTCCACCCACCGTATGATGGGTATATGGTGGTGGTTATATATGATTATATATGGTTATATGGGATTTAGTGTGATTTAATAGTTTTCATAGCGGTTTTAATGGGTCTTTTAATAATATATGATGTGAACATCATGAGATATGAGTTGAAAGCGGGCTCAGTAGTTCGATGAAGATCCATGAATCCAGCGATATATGGGCCTGTCAGGGACTCAGCCCCAATAGATAGGGAATCTGATGATCCATCAACTGTTTGGGTACCATAGTTTTAGACAAACCCGAATATGCAAAACAAGCGGTTTCCCGTGGTTTCCCCCAAAATCCTCTTGTTGTTCATGGTTTTTGCCATGAAATTTGCTATTTCGGGGTATCCCTTCTGCCAAATCAATGGATCTTTTTACTGGTGTCGGGATGTCCAGGGACCATCGTGGTTGATACCAGGGTTCATTACGACATACCAATAAGTGACTAGAGTAATCTAGGAGTAAGAGTCGCAATGGAAATCATAGGGGTTACAAAAACCATTCTACTTTCACAACCATTCTAACATTTCGGGAACCTTGTCCTTGAGATGGAAAGATGATGAGTTGTTTTTCGCCTAGTGCAGGAGCAATTGATCCGTGGGTGCGCTGTTTGTTGCTGCTTTGGGCCAGTTGAGAGAAGAAGCTCCAGAAATTGGATTGATAGGAATTGGCCAACAGAACAACAGAATGAGTGGATGGGACATTTTTGATTAGGCCAATAGGTTGATGTTTTTTTTTAAAGAGAATGGGTTGATTGGTTGTTGGTCAATGGGGCATTCTGGATCAAAAAAGATGGCCCAAAGTTGCAATCCATGAAAAATGGAGAATCCAAGTGGCACTCCCGAAAAACAAACAAAGTACTAATAGTTCTTGGCTGGTGAAGTCCCACAAATGCTGAAGCGAAGAGGTATTGTAGTGATAGTCGACCATTCACTTGCGGATACAGGGTAGCCTTTCGAAATCTTTCGAAACCGCCAATCTATGCCAATGAGATTCTCAGAAAATGGTGAGTTTCGGGATGTTTCGGGGATTCCAACCATTTTTGTTGGTGAATCACCATTTACCATCTGGTTATTTAACATAGCCATGGAAAATCACCATGCTATTAATAGGTAAACCATCTATTTCTATGGACCATCTTCCATGGCTATGTTAAATAACCAGAGGGTATATCCATTTTTGGTGTTTTTTCTGGGATTCCAACTATGAACCAATTGACGGACGACGAAGCGCCAGGTACTTGGCCTTCGACTATGTGGAGCGTCTTAGTCTCGAGGATCAGGACCGGCAGATCCGGTGGAAGTGAAAAGCAGATCCGGTGGAAGTGAAAAGCAAGAATGAGACGACCGGCAGGACAAGCCAGTTGTTATATGGCTTATATCAGCTGATATCCCCATATTCCATACTAATACTTATAGATATTTATATAATCTTATATATATATACACGAATATTATGGGTAAATTATAACGACCTCACTGCGGTCATGGTTAATTAGGGAAATCGTCCCAAATGGCCTTAATTCAGGTTAGTGAAATATTATCATACACTATACATATTCCTATATGGGTTCTAAGCTATTCCACAATGGTTAGTGATTGGGATGCATTCCAACAAGCAACTGCGATGACAGTCATCCCCTGCCCAGCCCAGTCGCCCGGTCCTGGTGACCCTGGTGGCGTCTTCAGAGGCCTTAGTGGTGGCGTCTTCCATCAAGCACTTTCCGAATATGTTGCTGCAGTTGCTGGACCAGATCCAACCCTGTCAGGAGGTGGATATCCCATGGAATCCCATGGGTTTATAGGGGCTCCTAAGATTCCTAAGACGAATTTTGGGCCTCAATGTATGCACCAAATTAGTTGTTGTTTTAATAGGGAATCCCAGGGATATGTTTCATGGTTTTGGGATGTTTGGGGGGTCCGGATGTGTTTTAAGTTTAACAAATACCGATGACATGGCAGTTGGGGGTGTAGCCCGAAGAGGATAGGAAAGCGCAGCAAGAAAGAAGCACCAGTCCGCTTCAGACTGAATCTGAGGGCACAAGAAAGCATTGTATCATATATATATATATATACGTATGTATGTATATATATATATGTATATATATATATACATCTCAAACTCCATCAGGAACTGACGACAATTTACCATACAAGATTGTGCCCCATACTTAAGTACCGAATCTAGGGTTTATGGCAGATATCTACATTCTAAACCAACTCGTAACTGCGGGGGCAGCACCTTGTCACACCCTTCCGCCTAACAGGCCTAACATTAAACCGTCCCCCCAAATATATCATAAACCTACGAGTAGTACCTCCCCTAATAAAACCATCTAAAAGCCAATAGTTGGGATGATGATCCAATCTGACTTTCATATTTTTCAGGAGGGTTGAAACAACAATTAGCTATGAGTAGTTTCAGCATGTTTCAGCATGTTTCACCCAGCTTCGATGCGTCTGTCAGCACCTTTTGATGGCCATCAAGTTGGGTGCTGATCAGCTTCTGGAACCCTTGCTCCAGGCGCGTATATTTTGGGACCCGCGTGTTGCGGTGTCATGAAAGGTGGCTGGGTCTACGACAAACTTCAAAGATGGAGGAGTTGAAGAAGTTTAATATGTTTTAATGGGAAAACCATGAGAAAATCATGCAAAAACATTGCAAAAACATGGCAAATCCCCTGTAAATGGAGGTTTGTAGCTGGGGAAATCGTTGAACTATAGCTGGGCTTTCCCTATGTTGATCCACGACCATTTTGGAATGGGGGGATTATATTTTGGATCAACAAAGGGAAATCATTGAACTATAGCTGGGGGATTATATTTTTGTTGGAATTCGGGAGTGACTTCAAAGTTCAAGGTTGGAGGACAATGTTTTGGACGAGAGAACGTGACACAGGCAATGTTTTGCAAGACATGGTAGTTGCATATGCTACGGGCTAGCAAAGGTAAATACAAGCAAACATGGGCTGCTGCGATTCTTGATGTTTCTTGCGTTGCGCCTGATACCATGCTTTGTCTTGAAAATGATAGAACGGCTCGGGATCAGCAGAGCTTTTGGACTTGCAAAAGCAGCCTAGCTCCCACATTGAGGCTGGTGGCATGAGCATGTTGATGCTGTGCACTCAGTGGATGTTTCGGGTGTCAAACCATGTCCCCAAGTACCACGCCCACTGGGAGAATATCCATGCCCTTGGCACAAGGATGTATCCAAGTTGCAAACAAACAAGCAAACACGCCATGAATCGTTGGCAATCACAGTTCCCAAAATGGTCTACTTATGTCTGCTTTATCGAAGCCACGCAGCCAATCCTTGGGTCAGTCACCAAAAATTGGGGCCCCTCACATTGGAGAGTGTCATCTCTCTCCATACTAAGAACGATCAACATATGCGTCTTTATACGAACAACCAGCTTTGATGTTAATGGATGCCGATGCTAAACATGACCAATGTGATGTTGTTTTGGATCTGAATATGAGTTTGTTTGATACTAGTAGGGTATCCCAGTATCCCCATGAATATGGTTGTTTATCAGTGAATCATAATTTGCCACATTTATTCCACGGCAATTTGGGGCATATACACCACTTTCAGACACGCCCGAACATCATATTGAGTTGGTTATCTATTCAATGGTTATTTCAGGAACCTATTCATTGGAGGTACCTACCGTATATAAGGCCTATGACTCCTATGTTTCAGGCCTATTTTTCAGGGAATATCCCCACAAAATATCGCCATATATGGTACAGTATGGAACTAACGTAGCTCCATTTGAGGATCCGGAAGATCTCCCATTGATCTATCCCATCCCATCCAAGTCCTTGTGCCAAGGTGGGACGAAGTCCAGGAGTCCGAGGACAAGGGTGATCCCCCGATGGCAGGAAGCACCCAGACTTTTTCGGATCGTTTTTTTTTGAGATCTTTTGGATCATTTTGGATCAATGAAACTGGATCTTTTTTCGGATATTTTGGGATGAAACAACTGGATTTTGAGATGACTTTCCTGATGACTTGATGTCAATTTTCAGAGAAAATTGGAGTTGACAGCAAAAGACGCATTTTGGGATGCAAGAAATTGAGCGAAATGACCCAATGTTAACATATCTTCATGGTAATTATCCTACTTGCCTTGGGGTCCCATAGTCTGGATCTCCTCTGTCACCCGAGGTCATGGTCATTCGGAGCAAAGGATCTTTACAGTCGTACACCCGACCTGTTTGATGCAAGGCTTCATGGGGATATCAGAAACGTTTTTGAGGGGGCAAGATGTACAGAAGTCTTTCGTTGGAAATAGGTTCCGTTAAAACCCACAAAGCAGGTGCAAAATTCAAGACTTGGGAAAGACAATCACCAAGTGCCGCGTTGAAAAACAAGGGGCAGTGATCAAACGAGGTCAGGGAACGGACAATGAGGTAGGGTTCCCCTCGCCGCTGCAGTGACCTCAAATGCATTCAGTCGCTCCTAGAACCAAAAGTCGATTTTACCGCAAAATTGACAATAATTTACGGATAGAAAGGACATGAAATGACCAATTATGTTACTTCTCAAACACGGTTGACATATGTTGACACAGTCAAGGGAATGTTGGACCTGTTCGGGCTTGAAGTTTTTCAGGCTTTCACTGTTCGTTTCTAGTCTGAGAGGGGCTCCCTTGACTTTTAAATTCAACCTAGGGCATGAACATGAAGATCAACTACTGTATGCTCCAGGCGTGAAAACTTTTACAAAATTCAGAAGAGTTCCAATTCGGGGATGGTTTTAATTAGATGATATTCATTTATGGTAAAGTGGAGGATCCTTTATTGGGTATACCACATTACAATATACCCTCCGGTAATCAGTCTCATGGATGGAAAATCCCTCAGCTATAGTGCGATGAATTTCCCAGCTATAAACCCACATTTTGTATGTGGGTGTCCAATGATTTTCCCAGGTTTTGTGATGATTTCCCCTGATTTCCCCATGGATTTTCTCAGGGATGGCGGCCGCCGGCCCGCCATCAAGCATAATGCAGCTCCATCCGGCAGGAAGCTGCGTATGATCGCCACCCTAACGCGGCACGGATTTTCAGTCACTGGACGGCAATGACTAGTGGCTTCAGCAATTGGCAATGACCAGTGCATGTTGGGCATTGGAAATACCTCTGTTGATGGATTTATAAACTGTAGTGGGTTAACTATGTGAACTGACTTGTTGCGGATTATAACCCTAACTCGCCATAGTGAGCATATTTACTAACCAGCCACTACAATGGGATGGGATAGGGGGTGACAAGGGTTCAGAACTCATGTGGCTGTGGGATAGCCGGGGATAGATCAATTGATGGCCATTTGCGACAGATTTACATGGGAACATATGGGAACATGGATTTCGAGTCCAGGATCATGATATATCATGATATATCATGATAATCCACTGGATGGAATTGATGGAATGGCTTTTGGTTTATATTTAGACAGACCATTTTCGACACATGTCCTGGTCGACATCGAGCACCAGGTGGATGCCCGGTCGCCAGCAGATAGCTGGACACCACTGTTAGCTGTCGCGGGGCTCAGCCGATTCTGGAGATGTTCCATGATTCTGTAAGCATTTGCAAGATCGATGTATGAAAATTGAAGTACTATGTATTATACATGAGTTGTAAATATATTCACATACATATATAATCATATATATATATAATATATATAGCATAATATATATCACATACATATATCACATATATATATATATATTATGTGAATATGTGAAATATGTTCTCTACATAGTAAAAAATAACATTGACATATATCATGGATAGTCTACCGAGGCCGTGGAAAGCGGCTCACGGCGCCTGGTGACGGCCTTGCTGCAGCTGGGAGCGCGCCTGAGCGCTGACCGACACCTAGGCGGGCGCGGGCGCGGTCCACGGAAACCATGGGAAAATGGAGGTGTTTCATGGGAAAACCATGGAAAATCCATGGAAAATATAGGAAAATCCACTAGAAATGGATGTTTTTTAAATGGGAAGAACCGGGGAACAATCATGGGATTAATCATGGGAAAATCTTTACAAAGGGAGGGTTTTCATGGGAGAACCAAACCATGGGAAAACATGGAAAATCACCCATAAGTGGAGCTTTGAATGGGAAAATCATTGAACTAAAAGCGGAATTGTCCAGCAAACCATGTTTGATGAAACCGAAGGGTACAGGGGTTGGTATCCCTTTGGGGGAATTGGTTCGCCTCACCTTCCAAGAATTTGTCAAAAAAACAATCCTTTTGTTGTTGGCTGATGTTTAATTAGGACATTTACCAACCCCGGCGTTGCTATGCTTACCATGTTTATGGGTATACAATGTATATATATTATATAGTACTCCGCAATATCATCCTACTAAAATTGTATAAAATTGTAATAATTTATTATACTACTGGTATCTTTTTTCGGGGTTATATACTATAAAATGATATAACATGTATGATTATTGATGCAGTCATCACCTGGACATAATACTTGGGTAAAATGATCATGGGGTTTGCATACAAGAATATAGTTATTCGTAATTTACTATCATTCTATATGGCTGTTCTTATGGGGATAGTGGAAGCATCCGGAAACTGTCAGAAATTGGTTTGATCTAAATTGATTTATGTTCATTTTCCTTGCAAAGCAGCCATAGATTGGGATATACCCCATTTCCGGACAACCCGATGTCGGGAAAAGCCTCAGGAACAAGATTCTTGGGCTATTTTGAAGATTCCAAGATGTGAGAAGATGTGAGACCAATTTGGTGTTTAAGATGTGATATGTTGTTTTGGTGGTTCAACCAACATCAAAACTGTGGAGGTTTCACACCCCTGCACCTCGCGTGCCAAATGGGGCATTGGCAATTGCTGCCATGTTTGGTCAGTAGCTCAAGAAAGGATGGTGCGGAAGCGCTGGTCATGGCGATAACATGCGATAACTGTTAAACAGTTTGCGAAGTGGAAGAAATCACCATGTTTTATATGTCATCGAACTCAATTGACCATTTTGCATGGCAAACTGATCGTTCATGTCATGGGAGGGTAAGTTCCATTTGACTTCAGAAGACCGGCGGCCAAAATAGGGCGAAGCATCAGTGGGTGGGACAAGGTGCATCCTAACTGGACAAGCGCAAGAATTCCTTGTTACCCTCTGGTAAACGTTTACAAAAAACTATGGAAAATCACCATTTTTCATGGGAAAATCCACTATTTCAATGGTGATGTTCCCATAGTTTTATGTAAACGTTTACCAAAACCTACCACCCCGGATGCAACATTTGGAAGACTTGACATCATGACCAGAGACCAGAGTAGATTGTTGATGATCCTCATGCCAGTAACTACTAGTTATGGTCACTAGTTACACATATACCATCATATACCTGTAGCCTATACCCTCTGGTAATTTAACATAGCTATTGAAAATGGCCATTTATAGTGGATTTTCCCATAAACAAATGGTGATTTTCCATTGCTATGTTAGTTTACCAGAGGGTATAGCCTATATACAATCATTTGCACACGCAGTATGTACACATGTTCAAATTTGTATAATTAGGCGTGATAAAACAGTATTCTGGATAAATTATAACGACCTCACTGCGACTGGATGATGGTTAGGATTGGGGTACCGCAACATAGCCTTATTTCAGATTAATGAATTATTAGATTTTTCCCAAATCACCACTCTTGTATTTATCTATTGACAATCAATATCTATCATAGATATGGCTATGGGTTAGATATCATAGACATATCTATGATAATCTATATCCATGCAGATATATCAGGTATATATCAGATGTATCTATGATAGTCCTTGGATATAACCAATCATTTATCCAGAGGATTGTATTATCCTCTGGTAAACGTTGACATAGCTATGGAAAAAAAAACATGTTTGGTAAATCAACGAACTAAAACTACGGGCCATGGCTTCAATAGCTTCAATATCAAAGGGTTAAATCATAGGCTTAGATCATAGGTGGTCGATCGCCGAGGTCGAGGCCATGCAGAAGCAGCCCGGGTCACAGATGGAAATCCGCGGCTGTTTAGCGACTTTCACGGTGGGGAAATTGCCAATTTTTCCACGGGGTACCCGGTAGAGTTAAACTTAAGAGTCTATGAACAATGGGCCGTTTATGGATGATAAACATGATGTTTTGCCTGTTGAAGATGGTGATATTCCGGTTCGCTATTTTCGTTTACTTGAGGGTCATCATCAATCCATCAAATCCCCATGAACTTTGTCAAGACCAGGGCAGATCTGCCAAGTTTTAAGGAAACACCTAGCAGTTTTGTGCGTGCCACCGTTGTGTAAATTCCTTTGGGCCAACTTCCCATGGCGCGGCTCAACCCGCGGTATCAAAGGTGGCTAGGAGATCCCCATCAAAAAGACCAAAAAGCCATGGTGTCGCTGGGATTCGCTGGGAAACTCATCGAACATCGCCAGGTATGAGAGGGTGGCAGCCTGGGGCCCTTCTCCGCAGCACGATCCCCGGAGTGGTGAATCTTCCGTAGATGTAAACCATATATTAAGACATCCAGAGTAACCCCAAAAAAGATAGAAAAGTAGTTGATCACAATTCTGGGCAGAATCATAAAAATTATATCTACATATATATAATTATAATATATATATATATATGTATTATACAGAATTATACATACAATGTCCTATGATGTTCTATCAATTTGGGTGATGGCTGTACGTATATCCTCTATATGACTTTACAACAGGGGAATATTCCATGTATGGCTGGGTCAGAATATGATTATTGCCCAGCTACCAACTGGGATGCACATCCATGACAACAACTGTGCGAGGTTTAAGATTACTCTTGACCAACTAACAAAATGCTCTTGGTTGACAGTTGTTTCGGGTCATGACTCCCTTGCTGTGTTGTTCTGTGAGGTACATCTCGCTGAACGTGGCAGATGCATACGGGAGGAGCGGGTGTTTGGGTGTCGCTGGCGGCCAAATTGATTTGGGAACCAGGGCACATATCGGAACCGGACGAGCTTGTTTTGGATGAATCACATCCAAAAGGGATGGGCTTTGGCGAGATTCTAAATTTGCAAAGGTGTTTGCAGCGCTATGTCCTCAATTTACAACCACAAAAGCCAGACGGTCCGGACGGAGAGATTTCCTCATTCAAATGCCGGTTGGTTTTCTAAGCTCTATGCCAGTCACATATTCACAGCATGTCACGACTCCAGGACACCTCTGGATATCGCTTTGCTGCGATACTTCTCTAGCCCAGATGATAGGCGGAAAGGGACACAAAAATTTGCCAAGTTGGGACAAGAGGGGCTTCATACTTGTAAGGTCTCATGTCTCCTTCTTTACCCAATGATCTGAAAAGGCAGTGGACACCTTCATCATTTCTACACGATTTACATTGATCAGGCTATACATCTTGGATGATAATGGATAGTATATCATGGATAATAGTGGATGATAATGATACCGAATAATGTTGGATAATCATGAAGAATATAAAACCATCAATATCCTCTTCATATTTGGTGTTGGGCCAAGCCGCAAAGGTCCCCATTTGGTGTTTTCAGATCGTTCGCCTCGTTTGCCTCGCTCTGGCGCGTTACGGTTCGCTTCAGGCCCGGAGACGAAAAGAAGGCGGAGACGGTGGCGGAATGACATAAGAAAAAGACTGACACATGTTGGATTTGAGAACTCTTGGTTTGCTGATAATATTTGAGAATGCAATGCCTTACATCCATTTACATCCTGTATATATATAATTATATATATATACATATTACATAACATATATATATAATATGATATCCTTCAAAAACATCTTTATACATCTTTAGCATATAGAAATCTAAATGTATCATTAACTAATCATGTCGCATTTCTAAGACTTGTTTCAAGCATTGGGATCCAGGGATCCAGGGATCCAGGGATCACAGGCCTTGGATGTTCTCCGGGACTTCCTTCGCGAAAGGCCGGGCCGGGCCCCGCTCCGTTCCATGCAAGTCATGGGGGTGACTTCTGGATGAAGTCATGGGAAAGGCCCTATTGAACAGGAAACCTCCATATCGAAAAACATGGTTATAAGGCCCTATAGAAACCATCATGGTATGTTCAATAAACCATTATTACATCATGGTGTTTTTTCATAAACCATGATTATAACTCATTTTTTATAGGCTTCAATGATTGTGAATCCATAGCCAAGTGATTATGTTATTATTGTACTGTTGTTTGGCTGTTTGGCTGGTGGTTTTCTTTGGTTGTGGTTTCAGCTTTTGGTAGAACTGGGATAATCATCCCCAATGATTTCCGTTTTTTTTCAGATGTGTTGGATTACCCACCCGTTTCTAGTGATAATCCAGACATTTTCCAGGGGCAATCTATGAGTCATTGAGTCAAGGGTTTTCCGGATCATGTCAACTTTGGATTCATAAACCCTGATTAAAGAGGGGGGAACCTGCCCCGAAATAGTGATCAACTCCTAAAATGGGACCCCAAGGACTTTCTATATCTTTATAGTCCATATCTCATTATATCCCCAGTTTATATATATTATATATATATATCAGTTTATCATTGTTTCCCATGATATTCCCCATGTTATTTTCATAGCCCACTAAATCCCGGATTTTCTCCAGGGCACCAGAAGACGGCCTCGTGTGCGGCTGGGAGTTGCCATGCCGACCAGTTTGGGACTTTGGGGCGCTCAAGCTGGGACGATTTGGCAAAATTTCACGGTGATTTCATGTGGGATGATGTGGGTGTGGTTACCCTCTGGTAATTTAACATAGCTATTGAAAATGGCCATAGAAATAGTGAGTTTTCCCATTAAAAATAGTGATTTTCCATAGTTATGTAAACGTTTACCAGAGGGTAACAACAAAAGATACAAAAGGTCCTCCGACCTGCCGAACCTGGCATGATTTTCGAACGGGAGCTGTTTCCTCCAAGCGGACGGTGCCGTGAGAAGCGCTCACTCCTACTGGTAGGACCTAGAAACCCGCCCCGCCCACGGCTGCTAAAGCCTCTTTCGAGCTCAAGGGCAAAAGCTTAAATGGGTATGGATCAATACCTATTAATACCATTTTTAGGGGGATGAACATCCATTTACCAGCTATTTTGATATTCACCAGGGGTACAAGGTTTTGACATACTGCCAAATGGATTTTTGGCCTTCTGGGCCTTCTGGACCTTCAAAACCATCTTTTTCAGCATTTCAGGAGCCAAAAATGAGGCTTGAGGCTGCCGGGCACCTCTCCCTCCCCGACCTCACCTTTTTCCCGTAATTTCAGCAACGTCATGTAATTTAGTGAGGTGAAATAGTGAAAATAAGAATGGTTATATAGATGAATTTATCCAGTGATATCCAGTGATATCCAGTGGATGGCATGGGGTACCTGTTTTTCAGACAAACCCACAGTCGAAAGGTGTGTAGATATGTTCTGACCGCGATACTCCGAAGATCGAACTGCTCGAATCTTTGCTGCGATGTTTTTTCCGGGATAGTTTGACCGCAAGGGGCCGACTTTGCTGTGACTTGGGCTTTGAAATCCTTTGACATTGGCGAAAGGTTGATATTATGATGCATAATATCTAAGAGATTTGAAATGGTTCGATATCATTGCTTATTTTTGGTTTTTGATGTTCCAAATGCAGTTTGGAGCCATCAAAGGAGCCATCAATCAAAGCTCTCCCTCGGCCGAAATTGCCAGATTCCACGTGCTGAACTTCATTGATGCGCCTTCCAAGAAGGCTTTGAGTGGCCATTGCCGTGTTGAGTTGTGTGCAAACTGTTGTTTGCTCCTTGTTGGTTTCCTATATTACTTGAGATTGAGCATCCCATAAAAATCACTGGTATCAACATGTATCAACCTATACATTCAACTGATTTGGTGGGGTGAAGATCCTTATTTTGGGGTGAACCAGGCGTTGAGAGCTCAAATGGAGTGCGAGGGCCGAGGCGCACGGTTTTGCGGCTGTCTCTGGGCCAGCTGCAGTAGCCTCCCAGAAATGGCAATGGCTATGGGAATCTCAACTTTCAATGGGAAACGATATAATGTGAGAAACCCAATGCCATAAAATCTAGCAGTTGGGGATGATGGTTACCATAGTGATTTTTTCGGAGGATGTATGATTACAATGATTCGGTTTACCACACTATGGAGAGTTCTCGAACTAAATGGGTGATTTTCCAGGGTGAAATGAGTGGAGTTTCTGGGTTACCAAAGAACCCCCAAAATCAGCGGGATGAACGTCCCAACATAGACTGTTCTGTTCATGTTTGAGACGGTTTTGACCCGCAAACTCTATTGTCTTTTTCATGTATTTCACTGATGAATAATGGATGATTCCTGGCCTATCATGGGTCTATATGTACAAGTACAATCAAGTACTTGAGTCTGACAATAGAAAATCATAACTTTCAGCACAGTCCAAACTTTTTGGCATTTAGAAAATCCACCAATTGATTTTTCATGCATGTTTAAAAAAACTGTATTAAAAACAAAACATTTCAGTGCTATCCATCCCTCCTTTTAGGCGGTCATCCAAGGTCCTAAGATGACCAGCCAGGCTCACCTAGCCAGTCCCCCATGGACAAGGCATGGCGGAACGAATCTCCGAACCTCACGAATGGTTTGCTGTAGATTTATTGACAATTTAATAAGTGTTCCATGTACATGATTACTACACATTATTATTACATTAAATTACATTATATAACAATATATAATATATATATATAACATGTATATGCACATAATAGATCATGTTATATAATGTTCTATCAATCTTCTTCTTCGTGTGAAATGTATCCTACAATGATCGTTTGGGAGACATCGTTTGAGCCCTGAGGACGAGTCTATGGAGGAGCCGCAGAGCGGAGAAGTTGAAGAGGTGCTTCAGGTGCCCCCTTTGACCGGGGGATCCTGTGAGGATCTCCCCAGTCGAGTCTTATGGATCTGATTTAAGGAACCAAAGCCATTATAAATTTTATTGTATATGATGTATATGATGTATATGATGTATATGATGTATATGATGTATATGATGTATATGATGTATATGATGTACATGATGTATATGATGTATATGATGTATATGATGTATATGTTACTGGGAAAACCAAGAAAGATTGGATTCAATGGAGTAATTAAACGATTTCAGGATTTAGGATAAATTATAAAGGCCATTAAATTGGGTTTGGCTGATCAGACTTTGATCATCTTCGATCCGTCTGAGCACACTGCTTGTTGGGTTTTTTATCTCTTAAATGGGACTGGTGCATAACGCATTGCCTGCCACCCAATACCGGAATGGAACCCCGGAACCATGGAAGCTGGGAGCCTTTCTGCGTAGCAAAACTGGCCAAATATATCTCGCTTGACATGAACTGTGATGGTTTGGCCCCTTTGGATCCCTTAGTTACCCTCCAGTGAACTAACATGGCTATGGAAAATGGCCCATTTAATTCCATTTATAGATGATTTACCTACTAAAAATTGATATCTTCCATAGCTTTTTGTATGTTTACCAGAGGGTACATTCCTGCCACGGCTGCGAGGCAATCCGACTGTTGCTGCAGGCTGGTGCTCAAACCCGATGGTTGCAGGACTTCCTGGAGCCTGGCAATTTGAGGTGCCCAGTTCGGCGACGGAGTTGGGGTTGGGGGTTCCTGATCTTTCCCCAGGACTGGGACTGGTGGTTAATGGTGGTTGCGTTTTTTTGTGAACCGAACTAGGTGATGTTGATGAAGGAAATCTGCTACAATGTCTCGTCATTGTCTGGATTTTGGATCCACTGCAGCTTTGTTTGCAGTTCGGCGGCAATCAAAGCCACCATCAGCAATAGGCGGGGCTTGGCGACGTGCTTGGTCCATGTGCATATTGACTGCAACCATAAAACTATTGAAATACGAGCAGCTTCACTGTATGCGGGCAATTGTGGGCACAGCCGCATCAAAAATTTCAGAAGAAATGAACAAAACTCATTTCGTCTGACTTGTCTCTCCAGCATGATTCCTCGCAACCAGCCCCAAAAAGGCGCCGTGCTCTGCTGTGAGGTCTCTTTCCAAATTCCCTGCGCTGGACGCGGAGCTGGAACATGAAGAGCACTAGTGCTGGGCCATTCAATTTCTGATATAAGAGATGATCAGTAGAAAAAGCACCAACAAACATCCTGGTTTGTAACAGATTGATATTTTGAACCCAAAACTGGTAAGTAATTACTTCAAAAACAGCCCGGTCATGCCCACAATGGAGGATCGTTATACCACCAGTTTACGCTCAAATTGATTGTTCAATTGGCGAGTGTTTATGATTGGGCTTACCAATGGTTACCAATTAATAGAGAATTAAATAGAATTAAGACGGATGGTCCTGGACGCTTACTGGAAGATCTTGAATGGCATAGCTGAGCGCGAATATTTTCAAGCCCAGTGGCTGCCGAAGCTTAGGCGGCTTTGTCCAAGAATTGGGTACCCTAAAAATTAGGGAAAACAACAACAACAACAACACCAACAACACTACTGGTGTCTTCTCATTTACCTGATGCAAAGGCCATGTTGCCATATGTTGCCCATAAAGTCACATGTTGTTTCTGTTTTCGTATAGATGTGGGTGGCACAGGCAAGATTTTAGAATGTGATCACAGTGAAAATTCGGAAGTTGACCACAGGTTATCATCATAGTTTGATGGGCTATCCCAACATCCCATGGTTTATGAAAGAAATGTTGGATTAGTCCATGGTTTTCCCCATGAAATAGCCATGAAACAGCCATGGACTTCAGCTTTGGCAGCGCTGCGTCACTGCGTTACTGTTTTTTCTCATCCCAGTGCAGAGGAGCTTATGTTTTTTTCCGTCTCTGAGAGGATCATAACTAATCCGAACTGACATTTATGTTCTTCGGTCCTGAAACCACCAAGCAATTGGTTTCGGTCATTGCGCTCTGCCCTGAACGGTGTGTCAGTAGGATGGTCAATGACGTAGAGAACGTCTTTGGTCGTGCAAGAATCATGCGGATTTCTTGGTGTGCTGACGTGTCCTTCTACAACGTTCCCATGTTGTTGAGTACCTTGGCACAATTGATTGGAAATGATTGGACACATCCTGTAATAGTCCTGTTGGCCTTGCATTCGAATACGCTTCTTTCCAATGATCTGTATGTATTCTGTATATTCTTCAGAAGTCAACCATTGAATAGCTGACGACTGGCTCAAGCAGCTGGTTCATGGAAGGCCTTTGCAGCAACTCATAGTCAAACGCTTCAAGTTCCGTGAACCATTTGTAGCAGTGCCCTAAACATATCTAAACATCATCACCATAGTCCACGATTTGTATATAACACTTTGCAAGCACCTGCCAAACCGATCCAAAAAGTTTTTCTGTTGTTGGAGTATTGTAGACTCCACGCAGCATACTTGAAGCCAGGAAAGGCCATTTGAGTCAAAGCCATGCCTCTCTGACGCCTGATTTTGTGGTCAGCCCTGCGCTATGGCGTCCCTCAGTGAAATGTGGCCAGAGGCGCAAAGCCATGAGCCATTGATGATCCAGAAGCGAACTTGCTTGTTTCAGTCTGCCGGGCGCATCATCCTGCGTTCTATGCGGAGCATGCTTCTACACCTTTCATCACTGTTGTATCTACCAATTCTATCAATATATATATATATCAATATCTATCAGAATCTATCAGAATCTATCATAGATATGGCTATGGCGTGAATTCATCAAACACCGAAAAAAGCCATGGTTGAGCCACGGGTCCGTTGGTGCCCCCATCGGATCATCCCCAGGTTCGATGTGGTGTGTGGACACCCATAGCGCCTTCTCGGCTGAGACCTGGCTTGGTCTCAAGGTGGGGAGTCCATGGCTTTGAAAATGAAGAACATCTGCAGAAAAATGGAAAACATCTACAGGAAAAGAATGGAAATCCACATTTCCAATAGATTCTAATGTTACAAACCATGGTAAAACATGCTAAATGCTCTAGATTTGCCCTATTTTTTCAATCTGGATCAGTTGGGCCACATTTTCCAGATCTGCGCCGAGCCGCACCTCTGCCGGTCGCCTGTCAGGCTTGCGGATTCTTGTGAGGATGGGTCAAGTTACCAATGAAATTACCATATGACTGGGGGACTAACCATCCATAAATCCCGGCTGTGACTTAGGTGACCTTCCAGATGCTAAGTTTTTGACTCACTTCGCCATATGTTTCTTCGGCCATGTCAACATATAATATGGTATATATATATATACATATTTATATATACAATATATATCTATATAATATATAATTACATGTTACATACACATATATAATTATGTCGGGAGAATGTGTTTGGTCGCCCCAATGCTTTTGCTGATTAGAATGCGCTCAGTGTGTATACAGTTGAACACGACGTTATTAGGGGGTTTGTGAAACGTGCACAACTTCTGTGACACGTGCACAACTTCTGTGAAACGTGCACAACTGCTGGGAAATGTGCACAACTTCTGTGAAACGTGCACAACTGCTGGGAAACGTGCACAACATCTCTGACACGTGCACAACATCTCTGAAACGTGCACAACATCTCTGAAACGTGCACATATAGAATATAGAATACTTGAAAACACTGGGTGAGGGCGGTGAAACACGTTATACCCATATATGTATTTATGTATACATATATATATATAATTATATGTATATATCACCATCATAATGTTGAATCTCAATGTGTTTCCCCTGAGATGATGTGAGCACCCCCAATTCACCGAGGATTTTTCAATTCCACTCTCCAGGTGCTGTTTCCGCGGTTCCATTGGCCCTCATCATCAGGAGATTCCGAGAAACTCTTGAAGTATACCATGTCATGGTCCATTTGAATCCATCTTGATCCATTTTATTGGTGAAAAAAAACAGGTTTGTTGGATATCCACCATGCAGTTTTCTCCAATCTCCAGTTCACTCAGAGGAGCTTCGCTCGGAATGAGCGGAAGAGACGGGCGCATCATGCCATGTTGAAGGCCTGGGCAAAGCTGTCCAAAGTCCACCCCTGTAGAAGTTTCAGAAGGCATCTGAACATAGGGCTGATAAATCATGATGAATTAAAAGATAATCATGATAATCATTAGAAATGTATTTTTTTCCGTTGTTTTCCCTCCAATGTTCAGAGACCGACATGTTTTTCTGTGGTGTGAACCCTCCAGCCTCAAAATTGGGCAATGGATGGTTCAAGCATGTTCAAGCCTGAGTAGCCCAAGAATGCGCAAGTTGAGTGATGAGGTAAACCATGGTAAACCCGATAACAAACCTCCAAATTGAGCGATTTTGTTGGAAAAACACTAAGAAAATGTCCATTTCTGCTGGTAGAATGATCAAAAATCGGGGGTTGATGGTTTTAGGTTCACCGCGTTACCATTCAAGATGGACTGAAAATGAAGATGGGGAAACAGATGTGGATCGCCCCCAAGTGTCAGGCCGTAGACTCGGCTGACCTGGATGTTGAACTGGACATCAAGGCGTTGGAAGATATTCATGAAGCTGAACCTGGCAGTGCCAAGAGCTTTAGGCGGGGCTAAGGGATATGAATCTGACAGTTGAATAGCGGTTAATTATCATGGTCCAATATGGGTTAATAGATGCTAATAGCATGTAATATGTTTGAATATGGTTTACTACGGTTTAGTTTAATACAGTTTAAACTAGTTTAATATGGTTTACTCGTACTGAAAGTGTTATGTGTAGCAAACATATGCAAACATGATATCGAACAGGATGTAAAACACCCATACTGATCTCAAAATGAATATATTCAATACTAAGCCAGAGTTTCAAGGGTGTGTTTAATGTGGGCCGGGGGTGTTAGGGGGATGGGATTTTCAGCCATCGTCAGTTGTAGGAACTGTCCAGGGAAGCCATGGATTCAGAGTCAGACTCCAATTGAAGAATTGGCGAGGCTATTGATCTACGTTTGGAACATGTTAGTGATTGTTAGTGTAGTTATGTTGGCAGTTGTATGTCATTTTTTTTGTCTGGGTTGTTACCACACTCACTAGTGGTGACTGGCGTTTCTCGATGGCTTCGGGGGGGTTGTTTGAACATGCGGGGACCCTCAAACGATCTTTATGGGGAAAATGATGCAATATCATCAAAGTGTCCACGGTGTTCCCCTGAATTTCAGACAAACCCATGTCTACAGTCTTCTTGTCCCAGTTTTGGTACGTATGTTATATATATATTATAATAATAATAATAATAATAATGAATAATAATAATGAATAATAATGATAATGAATAATAATGAATGATAATGAATAATAATGAATAAGAATAATAGTAATAATAATAACAATAATAATTATAGTAATAATAATAATAACAATAATAAATATAATGATAGTAATCATGATAATGATATTAATAATGATAATGATAATAATTATCATTCTTATATATATATTACATATTTGCAATTCCATTATTTCAGGATATTTCAGGTTAGTTGAATATTGTGTTCGAGAACTCTATTTTTGGTGGATTGATATTATTTATTTGGCGAGAACCACACCTTTCGAGGTAGTCATAATATTTACATCGTACAGTACAGCTCGATACCCTCTGGTAAACGTTAACAAAAAACTATGGAAAATCACCATGCTATCAATGGGTAAATCCACTATTTCTATGGTTCGATATCCTCTGGTAAACGTTAACAAAAAACGATGGAAAATCACCATGCTATCAATGGGTAAATCCACTATTTCTATGGTTCGATACCCTCTGGTAAACGTTAACAAAAAACGATGGAAAATCACCATGCTATCAATGGGTAAATCCACTATTTCTATGGTCATTTTCAATAGCAAACTGTTAGTCATTACCAGAGGGCATCTCTGGATCTCCATTAATTCCTAGGGATCAGCTCGCCAGGTTGACCAAGTCCGACTCGGAGCGCCTGGCCAAGAAGGCTCAGGATCTTGTGGATGGGGGAAGCAATGGATGACCAAAGGTGTTTAGATACCCAGGTAGAACTGGTAGAACTCAGATTTTGTATTGGTGGATATGAAAACGAATGGATATTGATATGAAAATGACATAAAAACCGCCTTTTCTCGGTTCTGAAGAAAGGCGTTCGATTGGTAATTCATAAAGGATCACACCAGACTGGTCCTTTCCTTGCGCTTGGATTAGCCGAAGTTTGTGGTGCCCAAGAGCTTGACGCATAGTCGGAGTGTAGACGGAAATGGGTTCAGGTGTCTTGATCTTGGTAGGGAATGGGTTGAGGTTGATCAACGTCCAGTCCAGACACTTATATGATATCTTATATGATGTTTTGAATGGCCTGCCTCCAGTTGGAACGATGCTGTTTGGCATGATCTAGCCACAAACTGTAGATAGTTGCAAACTCCCAAGAAGTTACAGTTGTGAAAACTCCAAGGTGTTCTGTCAGACCGGATCGACTTCTAGTGACTCCAAATTTGGCTGCTTTTTGACTGGCTTTGCCGTTTTTTCCCCTTACAGCTGGATGGTGAAAAACGGACCTGGGGATCTGTTCCAGGAGCTCGGGCTCAGCTTGAGTCGCGAAGGAAGAAATCAAGACTTAGTGGTAGGAGAGCTCGAGGGACCTCCCGGAAGGTTGGGATCTGGAGAAAAAGCAGCAAAGCATGCGAAGGACCCAGCAAAAATGGAGATTTTCATGACAGAGTTGGTTGGATCAAATATGTGTGATTGTCCATTGCAAAAGTGAGGATGAGTATGAAGATGAAGATGAAGATGAAGATGGTGATGATGATGCTGATGCTGATGATGATGATGATGATGATGATGATGATGATGATGATGATGGTGCCAGTTAACTACAGTATATAATAAGTAATATTTGCCTCGCCGGTGTGGCTCAACCAGAATCGCTGTGGAGGTTGGATGGGTCTGGAGGCGAGATATCCAAAAATGCGGGTGCACTAGCAGATCTAGCAGATGGGTGCCCCAAGACCTCAATCATCCAATCACTGGTTGTTTTCTACACAAATTAATGCCATGAAATGGTGGATGTGTGGGGTATCTGATGTATCTTGGCATCCCGGTCCTGGTGACACATGGCATGCTCGGCTGGATCCGGCATGACCAATGAGGTGTACAAATCCGGAGAAGAGCTTCTTTATGGCGTCGTGCACGGGAGCCCTTTTTGTTGTGATCAGATCATGATTTGATGAGCGGTGAAGCCATCACACTGCAGCTGCACACATTTGGGATGTTTGCTATTTGGTAGTGCCAGGTGACAAGATGCTTGCCATGTCAGACTTTCGTAAACCTGATGAGGTTGCCAAGCCTTGCCAAGCGATCATTTCTCTGAGGCCATATAGTTTTCAAGAGCTTGGCCTACATGACATCATCGTGTTGGGGGCTGATGGATCGTCTCCTTTGCAGCTTCATCAAGTCACGGCATGGTCAGTAGCTTTTGACGGGGAAAATGATGCCTTGCAATCGTTTGTTCATGACTTAGGTGGCCGGATTCAAGTGTATGTTCATGTGAGCATCCTGCAAAAGGAATGATGCTCCAAAGTAGATCCAAAGTAGATAGCAACAAACAGAACTATACATTATATATATACACACAGATATACAATATATATATATATACATACATATATATATATGTACTACATATATATATATATACATATAAGTGAATAAATACAAGTAATTCAAGACTGGTGTGTCCCCCAAGTGGCTCATTTTTCCGAGCAACAAATGCTCCATGGTTCCATGGACATGGAGCTGTCGCCCAGGTCAGCACTTGAGAAATGGGAGCCCCAACCCATCGTCCAGGCGCGGCAACCGCTGGATAAGCCACCCATCTATCTATCTATCTATCTATCTGTCTGTCTGTCTGTCTGTTTGTCTGTCTATCTGTCTATTTGTCTATCTATCTATCTGTCTATCTGTCTATCTATCTATCTATCTGTCTGTCTATCTGTTTGTCTATCTATCTATCTATCTATCTGTCTATCTATCTGTCTATCTATCTATCTGTCTATCTATCTATCTGTCTATCTGTCTATCTGTCTGTCTATCTGTCTATCTATCTATCTGTCTATCTATATGTCTATCTATCTATCTAATCTATCTAATCTATCTAATCTATCTAATCTATCTAATCTATCTAATCTATCTATCTATCTATCTATCTATCTATCTATCTATCTATCTATCTATCTATCTATCTAATCTATCTATCTATCTATCTATCTATCTGTCTATCTATCTATCTATCTATCTATCCGTCTATCTATCCGTCTATCTATCTGTCTATCTGTCTATCTATCTGTCTATCTATCTGTCTATCTATTTGTCTATCTATCTATCTATCTGTCTATCTATCTGTCTATCTATCTATCTGTCTATCTATCTATCTGTCTATCTATCTATCCATCTGTCTATCTATTTGTCTATCTATCTATCTATGTGTCTATCTATCTGTCTATCTATCTATCTGTCTATCTATCTATCTATATGTCTATCTATCTATCTGTCTATCTATCTGTCTATCGATCTATCTATCTGTCTATCTATCTATCTGTCTATCTATCTATCTATCTATCTATCTATCTGTCTATCTATCTGTCTATCTGTCTATCTATCTGTCTATCTATCTATCTGTCTATCTATCTATCTGTCTATCTATCTGTCTATCTATCTGTCTATCTATCTATCTATCTGTCTATCTATCTGTCTATCTATCTATCTATCGGTCTATCTATCTGTCTATCTATCTATCTGTCTATCTATCTATCTGTCTATCTATCTATCTATTTGTCTATCTATCTGTCTATCTATCTGTCTATCTATCTATCTATCTATCTGTCTATCTATCTATCTATCTGTCTATCTATCTATCTATCTGTCTGTCTATCTATCTATCTATCTGTCTATCTATCTATCTGTCTATCTATCTGTCTATCTGTCTATCTATCTGTCTATCTATCTATCTTTCTATCTATCTGTCTATTTGTCTATCTATCTGTCTGTCTATCTATCTATCTATCTGTCTATCTATCTGTCTATCTATCTATCTGTCTATCTATCTGTCTATCTGTCTATCTATCTGTCTATCTATCTGTCTATCTATCTATCTATCTATCTGTCTATCTATTTGTCTATCTATCGATCTATCTGTCTATCTATCTGTCTATCTATCTATCTGTCTATCTATCTGTCTGTCTATCTGTTTGTCTATCTATCTATCTGTCTATCTATCTATCTATCTGTCTTCGGGGGTACCTTTAGGAAACCTCCATATGATGATTATATATCTGTTGGTCGGGTTCGGGTTGGTTTCATTCTTGGCCTTTGCAGGCAACGCACATCCAGGCATCAGTGATCCCCAGGCTTTTGGAAGGCTGGGCTCCAACTGGAGATTTGGGGTAGCTTGAGGTTTTCCCCAACGGGGCTGCAATAGTGGGCCCAAGCATTTTGATTTTGCAGGCCGCCAAGTACCGATGATTCAATGATAGATTCACCCAATAGTGGAAAACCTATGATCACCATATTTGGGGAATAACCATCCATTTACCAGCTACTTTAGGGTTGAGTATAGTTGAGCTCCTTTTGCTATCCATTAGATTCACCAGTTATGACACCCGAAATCCGCAGAGGTCATGACGTGTGTATTCAGTCGGAGACGGGCTCTGGCAAGACGCTAGTGCGCATCCCCAGGTGACAAATGGGTCAAAAGGCAAGACAGATAATGTGGCTCAAGAAATGTTAAAAATGAGAGAAAAGGGGAGAAATGAAGAAAAAAATGGACTGGAAAGAAATCAGGATCATCAAGCAAGAAACATAAAATGTCATCAGCAAAGACGGTTATTTCCCTCCAACAACGATGGATGTTGGATACGTTCAAGGCCTACCTCTTACCTGCTGCACAACATGCAGTCGAAGCTACGTATGGCACTGATGAGGCACAGTGGTCAAGTAGGTATGTGTCGACATGTGTCGACACTGAGTTTGGCAGCAGGATGCATTGGGCAGTCATCCACCAAGCCTAGATTCCCTAGATGATTGAGCAACCATAGAATTGAGCGTTGCTAAAAATGGTGGCACAATTGATCAAGAGTGCAGACACCCAAATGTCTCACCAGATCTTCAGAAGAATTTCTCTGCAGCGCCCATTCCGATCAGGAAGGCACGGTTCAAGTCGACGATGAAGATTGGGAGGAGAAGACCATAGACCTGAGGTGTCCACTTTGGAGATAAATTATCAATGGCCATTCCAGGATCCTAAATTGGAGGTACCTACCATATATTAGGCCTATATAAGGCCTATGTAAGGGAATATCCCCACAAAATATGGCCTTATATGGTACAGTACCTCCAATTTAGGATCCTGGAATTCCCATTTAAATCATCGTAAATTTGACAATAAACAGCCTGAGATTTGGGGGTAACATGGGCCTAAAAAAGGCAAGCGGTGGAGGCAGTGCTGATTGCTGCAGGATGATACGGAGGAGCGGGCAAAGGACCACACCTTCGAGGTGGCTTCTCGCTTCTCTGTTGGCCAATAACCCCATGTATTCCCATGTGAGCCACCGCAAGAACTCGGGAAATAAGGAGGAAGATGTAAGGGAGACATGGGACCTTCCAAAATAGCGATGCCCCTTCTGAAGGTCATGTCATGCCTGTGCGCATACATTATTTTCCCTTGAGTGTTGACATACTGTACATCATTCTTGTACAGACGTATTGTAATTAAGCGATGGGACCTTTGCAAATTTGTTGATGTCCTTTTAGTCAAGCTTGAGTTTCCGAGATTGCTGATGTGAATTTGACTGAAAATTGGGTGCCCGTAAATTTGACGGTCGGGCACTATGTCTCCCTATCAAAATGGCGATAAATTGGGGGCTCAGCCACCATTTTCAGACACACTGAACTTATACATTATTGATTATTGCTAGTCATGTGGATATATAATGAATATTAATGAATTATAATGATATATATATATACGTATATATATATATATAATGATACATATATATATAAAATATACATAATTATATATATACATAATTATATATATACATAATTATATATATACATAATTATATATATACATAATTATATATATACACTATTATATTCCCGTTTGTATCCCCATAAAATGCGTCATTCTTCTTGGTCGCCTTTGTCCTTTTCTTCAGAGGCTGAAGACGATGAGCCCACGAGCAGCGTGCAGGGGAGCTACAGCATGGTGCTTCGTATTGCTTCAAGGTAGACATATTAGATGCACATCGAACTGATGAACTGCATATTATATAATATGGGATTTTCAATAGTAGGTTCGAGTGTAGAATGTATATACACATCATATATATATATATACATATACATATATATATATACACATATATATATATATGTATCATTGTGATTGAAACAATTACTCGTAATGAAGCCAACCTTGTTACTTATACTGGAAGCCACTTATTTGTGCCATTGAGAATGTTGGTCATCCAGAACGTCCCACATCCAGATCAGAATAGTGCCAAATGATCTGCGGCAGTGTAAAGAAACGACGGCTCTTGCTCAAAATGAAGGCTGGCATTAAGGATTCTGATTTATTATAAATCAAAAAAAGTAATGATTTATCTTCAGCCCTCCTCACATGGGCATAGTTTTGCGACCACTTTCGCAAGTTTCCCAAGCACCAAGTCATGTCTCAGCACATCTCAGCGCTGTTTTTTCAGGTGCTACAGAGTGGAGACGGTTGCAGGGTACCACAGGGGACCACGACGGGGACGGGGGCCATGGATCATGGTCGCCACGGACAGCTCAATCACCATTTGACGACACATCGCCATCAATGATGTTCAATCAGTAAATCAAACAATCAATCCATCAATTACTAATTGAAATATATTGAAATATATTGAAATATTGAAATATATTGAAATATATTGAAATATATTGAAATATATTGAAATATATTGAAATATATTGAATCACCATTAGATTTCATTAAAAACCAGTGTTGATTCGATATTGATGAAATACTTGGGGATCTCCCAATAATTGATTGATCAATTTTACTAACAGAAATATTTCTAGATTTATCTAATGGGGATCACCATATTGATTACCCTCTGGTAAACGTTAACAAAAAAGTATGGAAAATCACCATGCTTTGTAGCTGGGTAAATCAACTATTTCGACTCTATAGCCATTTTCCACGTTCGCAAACTGTTAGTCATTACCAGGCCGGGTAACCATCATTAACCATGGATATCTCGATTAACCATCATTAACCATCATTAACCATCATTAACCATTGATATCCCATATGGATATATCAGCTTCATTAACCATTGCAACGACCCCATCAGTTTTGAGGTGGACCGCAAGGACACCAAGCTCCTGAGCCGACCCGAGAAGTATGCGACGCCCACGGGGCAGTTTGGACACCCGGTGGTGGCTTGCCATAGCGGTGATTTTTTCAGATAGCTATGGAAAATGGATGAAAATCGTCCATCTATAGATGTATTTTAGATGTACTATCCATTAGAATATGGTGATTCTCCATAGGTTTTCCAGATGCTAGTGTATTGGAGGGATGTTTTAGGTGTTCAACTTACCTGAGACGATGATCCCAACTTTCCTAGTTTTCTGGGAGGCTGTTGAAAGGTTCAGGTTGACCAAATTTGACCTAGACCATACCTAGACCTATATTTCCAACCGCTTGGTCGTTTCAAGATGCGAACGGGTTTGGCTATCCGGCTGAAGATTTATGGTGCTGGAACCAAGAGAAGTTGGTGATTGTGCTGTGGAAATCATCACGTTTATATCCATTTGTGTGTGGCCCACACCTAGATCTTGCCAGATCACCATCATCCCCAGAAAGACTATGGGCAGGTGGAGGAATATATTGGGAATATTAGGATACATGATGCTGAATCTCATACATGATGGAGACCTCAGTTTATGGATCGGCGATGAGAGGATTCAGTGGACCTACCTGGATCTGTGCCAAAGCTTGATGATTCACAAACATGAAATCCAATGATAAGGCAAAAATGCGCTAATATAGCACACGAATGACCATAATAAATATATAGATATACCCTAACCTGCATGCCTTATCATATATATATATATACATGTATACACACATGATCACAGCGATATATGTTTAATATGATATACACCAAACGAACGATATGGAACGATCCAACTGCTCATTTTTCTCCAGGCGCTTGCGCAAGGGCGACCAGTTCATGAGCAGGAGCTGGGAATGACAGACAAAGTGATGATTTTTGCTGGGTTTCTTTGAGAATTCATGAGAAGGCCCCGAAAATTGATGGTATATCATCATCTTCCCTGTACCCCCATGTGTGGGTATACCCCATTTTCAGGCACACTCAAGTAGTTGGGGAAGTCTGAAGTTTTGTGGTCTCATGGTTATTACGGTCTGACTGTTTTAGTGGGAAAAACATGACCCTGTTTGGGTGGGGACTGGCAATTGTAGCTGCAGACATATACCCCCTGTGACAACCTGGAGTCACAGGTGATCGCGTCAGCACCAAACCAGCATTCGATTTTCCACGATCGACAAGCGTAAGACGAGGGGGGCTTGATCCCATAGGGAGGCCACAAACAACTGAACATGTCACAGATAGGGATCCATGATTTCACACATCCCTTAAATAATTGTATCTGTGACATCTGTTGAACTACCTCGGATGTCAACACAAAACAACAAGCATCAACCAAACACAGCTTCATCATCATTGAACTTCTTCAGCCCTGACCACCTTTTGATGGTATCATCTTCACACATCACAAACTTTCCTTCTTGAATCACTCTTCGCAAAAGCTCTTTTGGTGCATTTGGCTTCGTCAAAGGATCTGCAATCATCTGATAGGTAGGAATCCATTTCAAAACAATGTTCTTCTTCTGAACGTCCTGCTTGACTAACAGCATCTCTATCGCTATCCGTTTATCTCGGATAGTCACCACTTGACTGTGCACGTGGTCATACACTGGCTTTGAATCTACAGCAACCACCACAGGAAAATTGCATGACATTTGAGCATCCTTCTCTAAAGAATAGTCTGCACACATCGCTTCACTCCACATTGAGCGCAACCAGCATGTTTCCGCTAGGGCACGTGAGACAGTCAGCAACTCTGCCCCGAGAGTTGAAGCAACCTGACGGTCCTGTTTGAAGGACTTCCATTTCAAAGGGGATACTCTCGACCATGCGTTGTGACTCATCTTGCCATCTGTCATGGCTATCAGAAAACCTCCTTGGCTCTTTCTCTCAGCAGCATTCGCCCACGAGGCATCGCTCCAAACAGTGAACTCGACATTCTTTGGCTCTATGGGTAGTATCCTAATTTCCGTATGCGAAAAATCCCGAACAAGGCCTACCAACTTGTTACACTCGATAAGGTGTTCTACTTGAGCCGAGTTTACCTTCTGTTGAAGTAGTGAACATGTTGCAGACAAATCCGGCCGTGAACAAACAGTCATCCAATTGATCTCTCCTAACAAGGCTCTCATCTGTGTTCTTTCGTTCTCATCAATGTCACTGTTCTTTTGTTTCCTGCGCTCTCTGCTAATCTTAATTGGAGTCACACTGCCTGCATAGTCCTTCTGAGAAATAACAATGCTAAAATCTTCCAACTGTTTCACCTTCTTACCAAGAAAATCACCACTTCCATCATGCCAGTGTTTAAAAGGATATTTCTTTTTCAAAGGTTCAACAACATGACTGTCAAAATACGAATCACCACCTAGCACCAAATCGTCGACATGAATCGCCAAGGCTCCTCGAAGTTTCCCGTTCGCATCCTTCAAGTGAAAAGTACAAGGATCTAATCTACTTTGATTCATTCCGCAACCAACCAAAAACTGACTAACACTTTTATACCAAGCCTGCGGTGCATCGGCAAGTCCATAAACAGGACGAACCAACTCTATCACAGAGTCTTCACTCAATCCTGGAATCCCACCGGGTGGAAGTTTCACAAGCACCTTCCCTTTTTCTCTGTGAAGCAAATCGCCTCTCAAAAAGGCTGCTTCCACATCTCCAATCTTCATCCTCCAGCGATTCGAACTGATAAGTTGCAAGGTCACGCTTAGGCCTTCAGAAGATAACGTTGGTGCTGAAGTATCCAGGTCTTGAATGTCGGGATCCAAATATCCCCGAATGACCCATCGTGCTTTGACATCATCGGCCAGTTTCATGTCATCATCTTGTGTCAACACAAATCGAGACGACAGCAAACGATGTTTACCAACCTCATTGATCAAGTTCCTAGCCGCCTCACCTGCATGAACCTTCACCGCACCTGACGCAATCATTTTATCCCACTCTTTCCGCTTAGCCTTACTAAGTTTACCCTTCACATGGTTACCAAGTTCCGTTTCAAGCACTTCCTTGCGACCCTTCTTCTTAACATGAACAACATACACTTCCTCATGAACAAGTTCATCTTCAACCAAAGACGCATCATGGACATTTCTTTCCAAAGTTCTCACTGATCTCCCATGATCAAGCAAATCTAAGTTCTGACGCATGGCATGTGTCAATCTTGATGGACTCCTGATGGGCCCATACTCATGTGCACTGGTATTACCTACCACTGGCAACACATTTGGTTCAGCATGTGGTTCAACCTGTGTTACCTGCCTTTTATGATCATGATCCAAGTCAAGGTCTTGAGGTTCCAGCTCATCATCTCTTGCTGGTGTCTGTGGAGAGTACTCCAATTCATTATTTCCCTCAATTTGACCTTCGTTTCCCATGCCAAGATCAACACCCATGTCAACTGGTCCAACATCCGTTCTGGCTCTTTGAGCAACAGGCGCAAGATTGTCAAACATGTCCATGCCATGATCAACCTGGTCAAACGATCTCACAACACCACGGGCCTCACCATTAGAAGGTTCTGCGGCCTCTGTCATGACTTCATCCCGTTCATCATCGGGCGGAAGATTTCCACCCTCAAGATTCACAATGTTGCCTGCACCTCTCTCGGCAATGGTGCTACGCATGATCCTAAGGTTTTCAGGAAGAAGCCGAATGAGGGCCTCTTGCTCCTCACTGGGACGTTTCACTTGCTCCCGTGAGCACCTGTAAACCTTTGATCCTGAAGCCACCCAGACTCTTGATCCTTCAGTTCCTAGAACATGACCTGGTCCATGCCAGTGATGACATGTGCCACCTTTCACCTTTCTCCAAATGTACGCAAGATCACCTGGTGCAAGTGGAACAGAAGCAACTCTACTTCTTGCATGGAAGGCTCTGCGGACTTTAGCTTCAGAGTCGGCGTTCATGAAAGCCGCACGCGCGGCGTTTCTTATGTTCATCCGCCTTGTGAACCCTTTTTCACCTTGCAAGACAGCAGACTCAATGACCTCATTGCCTTCGCCTGTCATGATCACACCTGGCAAACGCACATCCATGCCAAGAACATGCTGAGATGGTGAGAAACCGTCCTTTCGTGTCAAACTATTGTGCGCAGCATTCACCTGATCACAAAGCTCCTCAATCTCAGCTCTTCCATCTGGAACAGCTTCAAGAACGGCTTTTCTAAAGGCTTCTTTCCAAACACCCCCCAGACGTTCACACATACCGTTTTGCCATGGAGAATATGACCCGGTCATCTCATGAATGGTTCCATCACTACCCAAAAGATTAGTGAAAATACCCTGAAACTCCGGACCACCATCTGACCAAACTCGAACCGGCGGACCAGCCCATCGTTTCCAGTACCGTCTGTAGCACTGTCTGACGTTTTCGGCATTTGCCCCTTTCCAAAGAGGAACCACAACTTGATACCTAGTAGCACTATCAACGATGTTCAGAAACTTCATGGTTCTTTGGGGCAACTCCACTTCAAAGGTGTCCATACAAACAACTTGATTGAATTGAGTAGCATTTTCAACCTTCGCAACACGATGAGATTTGGTCTGTTTCATGGCATCACATGTAGTGCATGTCAAACCCTTGGCAATCTTCAGACACTTTTCACTCGCACGGGCAGCCTTCAACATAGCTATGAATTTGGGGGTAGAGGGATGACCAAGATTGTTATGACATCTTCTCAAAATCGACGCAATCTTTCTCTCATCGCTCTGATTCTCAAGTTCTTCTACGGCCAAAACGCTTGACACTGCCTTAACCTGGTTCCTGGCCTCGATCTCTCTCATCAAACCCCTGCAAATAGCCATGCAAAACTTTCGTGGATACTCCTGAGCTAGCCTACTCCTAGCGATCCAAGCATCCTGAAGCTTCACTTTACCCAAAACCGGTTCATGTTCATGACTGCCATCACAGTGTCTCTCAAGCTGTTTCCGAATCTCCATGCTATTGACCATGATACCTGTCGCCTTTTTATGCCTCTTGTGACTAATCCTATCCTTCAAACCGAACATGCATTGATCCATGGAGAAAAGCTGAACATGTGGTTGCTGAGAGATACGTTGCACTTCACGATCATCCCACGACTTTGCATTCCTGGGTTGTTCATAAAGAAAGTACCTACCTCCATCAATCTGATCCTGAGCAACTTGCATACCAAACCGATGAAGAATCCTAGCATCACTCAACATTTTCAACCACTCTTTACTGTTCTTACGGGGGTTCAGGTTTTGGAGAGAACTATAAGGACCACACGGAGGGCAAATGACAACAAGTTTGGGTTTTCTCAGCTTGATCTCAGAGCGCACTCGGTCTTGCAGCTCTTTTTCCCGCAGGTCGTGTCCAGTACGAATGTCATATGAGGGTCCCTTCTTCAAGCCAAAACATGAAGCCACTTCGGTAACCCTAGGAACGGAGAAAAGCTCAGAAATTTCATGGCTACTGGAATTCAAATTGATGTACAGCAGGTCATAGTCTTGACATTTTTCAAGCTTTTCAAGCTTCTCCACTCCTGCTAACAACATTTCCGGTTTGTCGCCACTCGCAGTGCTCACTTCTTGACCATCTCTCGAAGCAACGCACGGTTGGCTGGAGTCGGGGAGTCTTTCGCTGTCTTGGCCAAAGCCTTCAACACAGCCTGAATGTTGTCCTCGACCATCAATGTTCCCTGGGACAGTGTTGCCCATCGATCTACCACACTCGGACTTCCCACTTCCTCCCAACTCTCGGTTTCCATGGCCGCATCCGCTGACTGGCTTGCCCAACCTTCTCCTTCTCGTCCTCGACGGCTGGGAGTCTTGGGCATTTGGTCCCGAGGTGCACTCTTCTTCTTTGGCATTGGAGGCACTGGTTTCTGCTTCATGTTCATTTTCACACGGGATGCCTTCTTCTGATCCCTCATGGTCACATATAGCAACAGCTTTCTCATGCATGGTGAGCTGCTCTGATCTGGCGCCACATGATCTCGAACCCATTGCACGTAAGGCTTGTCCTCCAAGTAGATCTGCTTGATGCTGATCCTGTCTGCCTTCTTTCTGCCGTACTTCCCGACTGTGAGCGTCGTCCCAGCTGGAATTGGACACTCTGCTGGCTCGTCTTCCGACGCATCTGCCAGTTGGTCCAAGTCCAGGGCAAGAATCTCTGATGGTTGACCTGGCGTCAGGGCCAAGCTTTCCATCAGCTGCTTCGTCAACGGAGACATCTGGGTATTCGGCATCGGACCTGAGCTCTTGCTCGCCGCCCGAGAGTAGGGAGGACTTGACATCTTCTCCAAGAAGACAAGGATCAGGAGTCTTCAGTTTGGACCCCTCAAACGGCTTCTCATGACCATGAAAAAGAGGAATGGCATAATGGCCGCGATCAGTCTGGCCCAGCTTCACTTTCTCATTCAAACGCGAAAACATCATCACATCATCATCCATGTTCATCTTACATCCGAGCCACTTCAACAACTCCTTCGACAACAGTAGTGGGGTCTTTGCCCCCGACCCCGGAAGCACTGCTGCCTTAATTACTACTGGTGTACTTCCCAAGTACACTGGTATATGTGCAATTTCAGTTGAAGTGAGCTCCCCGGCATTCCCAAATCTAAAAACATTCACACCTTTCAACCTCTTGACCTTCAAGCCTCTGTCATGAACATGCCTCTCCATGTCGCGCAGCGTGTATTGCCCGATCAATGTCTTCCTGCACGCTGTGTCCGGCACTGCATGACTAGAGATCGGAGCGTTTGCTCCATCAAAAACTGAGTGCTCTTCACTCTCTAAGGTCAAATGACTTGGCCCGCTGCCCCCCTTCTGGATGACTTGTGCCTCGAAGCTGTCAATGACGTCTGGCTCGATGAAGTGCTCCTTGCTGATCACCTGTTCTCCTTGTCCCTGTGCATGGACTTTCTTCTCCTGCTTCATGTGAAAATGTGATGCCCTTCCATTTCTGGTCTAAAAGCCTCATTGGGAAGTTCTCATTCTTGAAGTTGTCATGGATCTCATCTGACTGACCATTCTCATACATTACGACGGTAGTGCGGCTCCCAGTCAGACATTCTGGGTTCACCGGCATGTTCACTAAGCTATGAGGACTGAACAAGGCTCTGCGATATCGACGGTGAAACCGCCACACCTCGCCTTCCCTCAGTGCCCATTCATCCCGTTTCTTTGACTCTTCTCGCACGCTGGTGTTTTTCTCGGGCTTCTCCAGCTGTTCTGTGACATCTTTCTCCTCCAGCAAGAAGGCATCGTGGTTGCCGGGGATATCCAATTCACAGAAGTTCACCTCGTGCTGGACATTGTCGCCCTTTGCCTTCCTTCCTTCGTTCCTCACCTTCTTCTCAGGACACTCCTTCTTCCAATGCCCCAATTTGTTGCAGGTGTGGCAACGCGTGCGGCTCTTCAAGGCTTCCACTTTTGCCTTGATACTGCCAGTGATGTTCCACTTTTCCTTTTTGAATCCACGGCCCATTTTCTTGTCTTGGACCCGCCTCTTGATGTCCTTGTAGTTCTCAAAGACGTCGATGGCTTCCTCACTGTCATAATCATCTTGGTCTTGCACTTGGTCAGCTATGCCTTGAAGCGTCTCAAAGACTTCGTGCTCATCACTTGACGACTCAACTTCATAGGTGTCAGCCGCCATGAACACATCCTTGGACTTGGTAGACTGACCCTTGCCATGTGGAAAGACAGCGTGGATAGCCTGGACGACTTCTCTATAATCCAAGTTTCCCTTGGCAGCCGTCAGAATCAGCGCCTCCTGAGTCTGATCAAGATGCATCTTTTTCATCAGCAGCCATCCGCGAACTTCTTTCGGAAGCTCACATCCATGGGTCACCAAAAGTCGGTAAGTAGATTCCAACCTCACGATGAAAGCCCGAAATTCTTCATTGGGTTTGATGGAAACTTGGTAGAAGTACTCCTTGAGTGCCCGCTGGAGTTCATCTTGTTGACGTTCTTTGTACTTGCCATCTAGAGTGCTGAACACCAGTTCGTGACCGTCCTCCTTGACTATGTCACTAATGGGTACAGTCTCCAGCAGCTCCCATGCTTCACCAGTCAGGGCCTCCAGAAGTCGAGGGCCCCATTTGGTTTTGCCTACTGTTGACGGAAGACCAAGCAAATGAAGCTCGGCCCTGCGTCTCCAGCGCTTGTACTCTTGAGGGGATTCACCACTGAACATCTCAAGCTTCGTGGATTTCTCATCTTCCCTTTGGCCAGACCCCGACATGTCAAAAGCAGGAAATCGTCCTCCGTCCTCTCAGCTCCACCAAGATGCAGCAACAGGACGGTCGCGCCTCAGCGCCCCGCTACCACCTGTGACAACCTGGAGTCACAGGTGATCGCGTCAGCACCAAACCAGCATTCGATTTTCCACGATCGACAAGCGTAAGACGAGGGGGGCTTGATCCCATAGGGAGGCCACAAACAACTGAACATGTCACAGATAGGGATCCATGATTTCACACCCCTGGATTCACAGGATCCGTTCCCCATGGATAGCACTGGATCTTTGGAAGTCTTGTTGATGCCGTTCCCCTTGGAGATTGGGAACCATGTAAAAAAACACCGCAGTAATTAGACAATAGATTTGGGTTGATGAGTGATGAAAATCTATTTAGGGTTTCCTAAAGTGGGAGTACCTCAAATTGGAGGGTTTTGAACGGAAAATCCTATTCAACTGGACGATTTGGGGGTACCCCCATTTTAGGAACCCCCATGTTCGTTCATATTGACCCAGGTATCAGGGGTCCCATATTGATTTGGCAGCTAAAACCAGGGTTCTGGCATGCGGAAGGAGTTCTGAAGGCTCGCCCCTCACCATCCAGTTCGCAGGGGCTCTCAGAGATCCAGGGGTCCGCGTATAGCTTAGAGGTTTATAATTGTCCTATTCAGATGTGTGTGTGTGTGTCAATTTCAATATTTTGCATATAGTATATATAATTCTAACATATTGTAATCCAGAAAAGATATAAAGGTAAATGACAAATATTTTGGTAGGATTCTACATCTCCATATCTTTATATATGTTTGGGTTTGCTATATGTAGTCTTTTGAGTCTTATGATGATTCACGATTCCTTACCAGAATTGGATCATGGAAAATTTGACATGAACCCCCCATATTCTGGGTGCAAAACCCTGGTTTCCCATCAATTTTCCAAAAAAAAATACCATTCTCATTGGATTAGTAGCACAGGAACCCCGAATGTTTCATGGGGAAAGCCATGGTTTCCTATAGATTTTCCCAAAAAAACACAATCCATTGAACCATTGAATCCTGGGTAAGACTTCCCCCTGCAGATCGAACTCGCCGACGGTCGCGGCTGGTACCCTTGGAATAGAGGCGATCTCCGACAAAGGCACGCGGGAAGTTGCCATGTTCAGGTGGGTGTTGATGGGGAAACCATGGAAAACCCCTATGTTTTTCGTAGTTCCCTGGTACCTTTTCTTCACTTTCTTTTACCTTTTTGGATTTCAGCCAAATCACCTTTTTTCACCTTTTGTTTTACATTTTTTTCTGTTCAATCAGTTCCTTGTTTTCCTCAAACTACCTACCTTTGAAATCCATAAGTTTATCATGTGTCTTCGTATTCAAAGGACGACTTCGAGGCACCCCCCACTTTTGCACGCAAACCGATGTGAAGCTTAGGAGGTTTCATTGCTTCATCCAAAACGATCCAAGAACGCCAAGTTGTATAGAAACAAAATGAAACAAAAAGTACCATGAAAAGATATGGACTGTGTTTTGTTGGCTGGCGACTCCCATTTTTTTTCATGTCCATCCCTACCTAGAGATCAGCCCAAAGATTCAATTGACTTGTACTTTGGGGATAAATCATTTGATACGTTTTAGCCACCGAGCAGAATATCATTCTCTCTGATCAACTTTGCGTTTTCAGTTGGTGCTCTCCAGGTTTCAGTTGGGGTGTCTGAAAATGGTTTGGGGTGTATCTCCCAATATATGGATATATATATATATATATACATATGGCATTTTGATAATTCATGACCATTCATTCGTGGGAAGAAATGCCAAGTGACATTGATACATCATAATCCCATTGTATCATTATTCATCATAATCATCTCCCATGATACATTAATTCATTATATAAGTAATGCCAAGTGCATTCTGGGGGTTACATGGATCCCCAGGCGGGATGATCGCCAAGATGCCAAGGTTTGGCCTCACTGCAGTCCAGTATTCCAAGGGCCAGCGAGTGGAGGCCGTGCAAGAAACGCTGCCTATAATCCCTGGTGGGTTGATCTTGTTACACATGTGAAATTGTAGAGATATATAAATGTGTGTATATGTATATATAATATATATATACATATAGAAAGTTGTATGTGTGTATATATATAGAAAACACATATATAATAAAATATCTAGTGACTACCTGAATTGGCTGCTGATCACTTGGGACTATATACTACCTGGCTCAACAGGAATGCCTGTTGTCTGATTTGGAGCTGGCTTGGATTTAGTCCATGGAAGTCCGCTGCCTCTTGTAAGACATGCTCCACATGGTTCTTTGTTTCTGAGAATCGATCTGTTTTGGATCGAATCCGCAACAAAAACCCAAAACACCCCAACAAAATGGACATGGGATCCTGGGATGCTAACAGTTAGCCAGTTAGCAGAACCAAAAAAAATCCAAGCATTATACTGAGATATACTCAGATACACTGAGGCCATTGAAGAGATCCGTTACGGATCAGGAGATGTCGTTCAGCCGGGTCTCAGATGGGGGATGGGGCCAAGATGTGGAGAAATATGGCACTTATATGGCACTTATATGGTGCTTATATGGTGCTTGTTGAGTGCTTGAACCTTTGCATGATGGCAATTTTTGAGAAAATTGATTGGAACGAAAAAAATGTTCCAGACCATGGTTGATGGGATGGGTGACCGTGGTGACCCGATTTTTGGATCAAAACCATTTAGGAAACAAACCGCGTCACTTGACTTTGATTATGGCTGAAGATGTGCGACGGTGTTTTGCGAGAGCAGAACTTCTGGATTTTCTGGGAAGTCCATATTTGGAGATATTTAGTTGACAATATGTCAAGGTTCCAAAATTCACAGGCTGCTTGACTTATTTCATCATTTAGTATTATTTAGTAATATTATGATGTATAAGTGTATAACCATTTATAACCAACATCGATAGGGCAGAAAATCGGAAGGTTCTACAAAATATTCACAGCGTGGTTCAGCCAAAAGTTCAGCCCATTTGGAGATCCTTTCAACAAGGTCCGGGCAAAAGGGCACCATCGAACGCTTGCTGCCATACATTGGCGTGAAATGGGATGGCATGGATGGAGTAGGTGGCCTCAGCCGGTTGGTGGTTGGTTGCTTAATGGTGGTTTGATAGTGACTTAATGGGGATTTTCATGGTGGCTGGATTTGGGGATTAATGGGGATTAATGGGGATTAATGGAACATGAATTGTATGACTTTCCCACTAGTTGGGAATGATGATCCAATCTGACTAATATTTTTCAGAGGGGTTGAAACCACCAACCAGAAATGAATTCGATACAGTCTCACAATTTCTTACATATACGTGCAGATGCAGATGTACTGTATATTGTACATATGTACTGTATATGTACACGATTGTACACGTACTGTCATTCATCAATATGAAATCTGTGCCATCCTGGGCAAATGAAGCTGCCAAGGTCAAGGCCATTCCAAGACCCCGTGAGGTGCTGCAAGATGAGAGGCGCCGTCAATTTTTCGATGCAAACAATGAAGGTCCCCGGCTGTTGGGGTGGAAAGAAACATGAAGCATCCATAAGCACCAGTCAAAATGTGTGAAGGAGGATCATTTCGCCGGTCTTGACCGCCAACTCATGCCAAAATTTGTACTCATTGACTTGTTGGTGTGTGGAGTTGCTTCTGGATGTCGTGATTCTTGAAGGGAATATCGACTGGAACCCCAACGTGTATACGTATATATATATATATGTCTGCAAGCTAAAAATCCCTGGTGTTCCTGTAAATATTCACCCTCCAGATCTACTAAGTCTATGAACATGCCCTTGATAGTTTCCTGATGTTTCCTCCAAAAGTGACCTGTCTCCTCCGCCAGGAAAATCCTGACCAACAAACAGAAATGGGCCAGCTGTGTTGGGCCGCCCTGCCGGTTTCCATGTCAAACATGGGGGGAAGCAATGAACTCACCAAAGGCTGGCATTTTGTAAGGCTCTGAAATCATCCACTTGAAGGGTGATGAAAATGTGAGCCCATTCCAGAGTGGTGTTGTTCTTAAGAAACGATGGGATCGATGAGTCCAAATAGTTCAAGGCATACCCAAAGAATTCCAAAGGTTGTCCAATGTGATTCCTGGGCACATTTCATCACCAGCGGTGGCCCTGGTGCCATTGATTCCAACATATTCCATCATATTCCAACTTTGACAGCCAAGGCACCTGACACATTGATCCTCACTGCGAATCGGGAACTTTGTGAACAGGTTGGGTATGGGGAAGTCATTTTTCGCATCCACTTGGGATATGTTCTGTTCAGCATCTGTTCAGCATCTGCAGATCTCCCAAGATTCGCTGATCTTTTTTTCAGCGCGCGCCGCGAAGCCGCTAGTGGGGATGAGGGGGCCCGTGGGGGCCCGTGAGTTTTTAAAAGTTGAGGAACGGTATCAACAGCGCACGAGGAACAGAATGTGTAGTTTCAACATGCCGAGCCATTTGATGAGAGTGTGAGCCCAGCCATTGGGCAACTGCTGTGGTGCAGGTTGCAGATGTCGCGCGACGGTCCACGTCTCAGCACTTGTTCAACTGTGTGTGGATGTTTACCATCAAAAAATGACCAACCATTGGGGTTTGTGGGTCTAGAATCTAGTAGTTCATTTCTACCGGTCACCACAACCAATTCTGATATACAGTATTCCGATGCTGTTTTTTTAATCCACCCCAAAGCCTGATGACTGCCGACCTCATCGCTTTCAGGTTGGGCAGCTTATTGCCAGAACGAGTACAAGAGAACTGGAAAGTGGCGGTAGCAGTGCTGCTGGCAAAGTTTCACGAGTCCATTTTGAATCATCCAATCAGTAGGTGTTTCATGATGTGTCGGATCATGTTTCCTTTAAAAGGGGGTTGACCCTATGTCATGGGGATACCCCAATAGCGTTTTTTGGCTAAAGATAATAGAAAATCCCATTTTAGGAAACCAATGGAAACCACCATATATACAGCAGTATATATATATAATTATATATCTATATATTTAATTATATATATATTTGCTAGCAAACAATGGATGACCCTCAAAGCCCATAGTTTCCTACATGTTTCTATTGTGTGATCAGTTTCCCCGCCATTCTCACATCAGGTGGGTGCACCACCTGGCGTGGGAAAACGCCGGAAGCGCAACCGAGAGGAGTGGCGTGGAAGCTCTGCTGTTGCGAATCGGAGCCGTTTGGGAGGTGTGACCTGAGGTTTAAGATGGTTAAAGGATGTTAAAGGATGTTAAAGGATGGTTAACCGATGATTAAAGGATGATTAAAGATGTTACTTGAAGAAAGATGATCAAATCTAAGATCGTCCTGAGATTTGTGAGACTTTGGGACCTCTGGACTTTTTTCCATTTCCGGCGCGCGGGCTCAAAACATTGGCAATGCTCGCATATCCTCGCTTTCATGGTACATCATACTGTTGGACGACGTGTGTCACTAAGGCCCTTCCCCAAGGGTGCTGACGCTCCGTGGTTTGCTGAGTATGGGGATTCTCCTGACTGCCATCCATGGCTGCATATGGCCGCTGCCTGGCTCAGGAATGTGTTGGTGTCCACTGCAGAGTTTATGGGATACTTCTTCCACAAGTCATGCTGGCTGTGTTCGTTTGCCGCATCGCTTGAGATTTGGAAAGTGAGACCCTAAGTATCCCTAAGTCAGTGTTGGTAGACAAGGGTCCGTGTTTAAGCCTTGTTGACGGTATGGAACATGTTTGTGTTATGTCTTTGTCAAAGACTGTGCTTGAAGGTTATGCTTGTAGTGGCTCATTCTACCCTTCCTCCAAAAGTGCTGGTTGTTGTCCAGGAAGATCCTATAATTTCCTTTGGCTCAGACTCCTTTCAATGCATCTGTGCCCTTGACATTTGACAGTACGCCAGGAAGCACATCCCCTTGTGGGCCAACATTCGCTATATTGTCTACGATGAGGTGCGCAATTTTTCTATTTCGCACGTTGAAGCAACAAAAGGGTGGCAATGTCATGGTGGTAGGAAAGCCGAGAGCAGTAGAGAGTTATTGTGCTGGCATCACTGTTGGAAAAGCTCTGGCAAACAGCAGATTCTTGCCAAAATCATCATCATCATCATCATCATGCGAAGTTTATTCATCATCATATTCTTATGCGTCCTTTTCGTCTCCTTATTCTCCTTATTCTTCTTTTTCTTCTTCTTCCTTTTGTTTGTTGCGTTCATGTTGTTCTTTGCTATTTTTTGTTATGTTGTTATTATTATTCTTCTCCTCCTTCTTCTTCTTCTTCTGCTTCCTATTCTTCTTTATGTCTTTATTATTTTCTTTATGTTCAATGTTCTTCTTAGGTGTCTTCTTCTTTTAGCTTAATGATATTCTTCATATTTTGTGATCTGTGATGTATGTGTTGATCTAGTCCTCATGATCATGTTCAGGGCATATCCTTTGGCATCCCGCCAACATCCAAACATCCAAACCTTGGAGCCTCGCCTTTTGAGGTGGACAGCCTCGTCTCAGGCACTGTCTCGAGTGGATCTTAGACTGGGGAAATGACATATGGAGGTTTCCTAAGTCATGGGGGTACCCCAATAGCTGGATGGTTTATTTCATTGAAAATCCGAAAATGAAATGGATGATTTTGGGGTACCCCTATTTTACGAAACCCCTATATCCATAGATCCCAGTCCATGGGTTTTGACCCAATTCCCATGGTTGACATTGTTGGATGACAAGAATCCATATCTGGATGCCAGTTTTTAGTAGGCTAAATCCCCGATTTGGATGATGAAAATCCGGAATTGCCAGACTTGTTTCCACCAAGGAAACTGGTTGAGAGAATCAAGGTCGTGATCCTCCGAGCTCAACGCACTGAGGGTGCACGGGTTAAGGCACGACCACAGGACCCCACAATTGTGTTGTCAAACCCACCCGATTTTGCATGAAAGTCACTGTCTTGGTTTTGGTCGCACACCCTTCCAATTTTGGTAGTTGAATATGTTGAATTCAAGAAAAAGACCTGATCATGTCATATCAATTATAATTACATATAATTACATGGTGCTTGGGTTTACTCCTTGCGATGCAAAGATCTCGTCGCAAACCGGTGTGCCATGCGCAGAAGCCTCCACAAAGCAATATGTCTAGAAGGTATTGGTGAACATTGTTTCTTTAATGGGGAGCCAAAACAGCATGGCACCAATGGCACACTGATTTTGACAAAGCTAACCATGGAGCTGAGACATGTAGTAACGTAGTAAACCCTTGTGCCCTGTGATGAGATCCGCCCCTCCTTTTTTGAGACACCCAACGATGTGTTATGCGGTTGTGGTGAGATGCACTGTTCATTTTTGTATTGTGAACCACCTGCGCGCTCGCGTATATGTATATTAATGTGTATATACATACATACATACATACATACATACATACATACATAACATTACATACATACATACATACATTACATACATTACATACATTACATACATTACATACATTACATACATTACATACATTACATACATACATACATTACATACATTACATGACATTACATACATTACATACATTACATACATTACATACATTACATACATTACATACATTACATACATTACATACATTACATACATTACATACATTACATACATTACAAATACATTACATACATTACATACATTACATACATTACATACATTACATACATTACATACATTACATACATTACATACATTACATACATTACATACATTACATACATTACATACATTACATACATTACATACATTTACATACATTACACATACATTACATACATTACATACATTACATACATTACAGACATTACATTACATTACAGACATTACATTGACATTACATACATTAATACATTACATACATTACATACATTACATACACATACATTACATACAACATACATTACATACATTACACACATTACATACATTACATACATTCCATACATTGCATACATTGCATACATTGCATACATTGCATACATTGCATACATTACATACATTACATACATTACATACATTACATACATTACATACATTACATACATTACATACATTACATACATTACATACATTACATACATTACATTACATTACATTACAATACATTACATACATTACATACATTACATACATACATTACATTACATTACATTACATTACATTACATTACATTACATACATACATACATACATACATACATACATATATATATATATTATACATTCTTACGAAGATCCTGATCTCAGTGGTTTTTCCCCCGCCCGGCAGAGCGCCTTGGTCACCTGCGTCATGCCCAACCAGGGGGGGAAGCTGGGAGGCCCAGCGGGTCAGTGGCTATGTAAAATGGCCCATTTATAGATGAAAAATGATGATCTACCTCTAGGAAATGGTGATTTTCATTGATTTTGCTACAGCAAATGGTATTATTCAATGGCTTGGGTCGTTGGGTTTTGGGAAGAAGCGGAAATCCCCATGGGTTTTTGTTCCATCAAATATCGAGGTGTTCTGTAGATGTCCCCTTAAGGGGAAATCCATGGAAATTCCTGGTCCGAAAAATGGAGGGTTTATAGCTGGGAAAATCATCTATATATGAATAAACATATTGGGGGAAAGTTTGGGTAGATGACCAACATAGATGGAGAGATAATGTGAAATTTGAGTGATCACCAAAATCAAAATCTAGGGAAAAATTAGATGATTTCAGTATCTGGCTTCTGAAGATCCAAAATGTGTATTGTAATTCCACTTATACGGGTAGATAATTTCATAGATCGAAACTGGAATAGCCACCCAATCACCAAGAACCATATGGATTCCGAGAACCATTCTGGTCATATGTCTTTCTCCATCTCTGGGGATCAAAGGGGTGCTAATCAGAGTCTTTTTGCTAGATTATTTTAATTGATCTTCTTTTTACGATATTTTAAAATTGGTGGAATGGGGCAGAAAACAAAAAGTATGAAAAAAAATATGTTTTTCTATGAAAAAAATATGCGTTGTGGGGTTTGGGACGAGGTCGTTGAGCAGAAGGGTACCCTGCCCCCCTCTAAAAGTAGTATTGGAAGCAAAGAATCAGCCAAAAAAAAATGAAAACATATGTGTATTTATGTTTTTTAATTTTTAGTTTGTTTAAGCTAATAAATTAATTAAGATATTACAAATATGTTCCATTTTGGGCTACCTCAGTGCATTTTGTTGCTTGTTCGCAGTCAAGCTGCCTCTGATCCTTGCTAAGCTGAATAGCATCCCTTTGAATAGGGCCAGGGGGCCTTTGAATGAATATGACAAGTAAGACAAAATACCTTGAAATACACCACGCTTCACAGATATCTCAAAGAATCCGCTCATGGTATGGGGATGATCCTGCATGGGAGACTCGGCACAAGCATTTCTTCCCCTCTGATCATTGGATTTGGGTCTGAAGTATAGAGATATATATAATCATAATATGTGTATATATATATATGTACGTGTGTGTGTGTGTGTCTGTGTATCTATGGCATGTATATATAATTATATGGTTTGTGTTCACAACCTCGTTGATTCCGTATGCAGGATCACTCCTGGTTGTTCGGCTTGTTTCTATGTTGTCATATGTTGTCTAAAAGCTGCTGGAACACGAAACCAATCAACGAAGTGCAAGTAACAAAGTCTCTCATGGAATATGGGAGAGGAGTGCTACGAGTATTGTAAGCGCCACCGACCTGAAGATGCAATTGCTGTTTGGTCATTGAAAGTCTTGTTCAAACAGAGAAGTGTGTTACATTGTTTTACAATTTTATATATTATATATTATATATTATATATTATATATTATATAACCGTATTTCATTAGCGCATCCTTTTTACAGCTCTGCATGAATTCCCGCGGCGTCGATTTGAGGTCCACCAGGATGATGATTGGCAGATGGATGCCGCATGCACTGCGAGCCGCAGAGAGGCCAGGATGCTCATGGGGTTCCCGGCGGGTGCAGATGTTCCTTGTTGCAGACATGCTTTAATCAGTGAGCTGAGAAACCCTAGATATCCCTAAATGATGTCTTCTTCGATTTTGGCAGTTAACTACCACTTATGGGTCGTGTTCTCCTGGATGAGTAAAAGTTTCCTCTTAATCATTTCAGAACTGTTGTTGCGGATGATCTATCCTCGGTAAACCAACCATCATATTTTCCTGGCATATCTGTAACATCCAATTTTAATCACTTAAATCCCTATTTGTTGACGGCCAAAGCCCTATTGTTCATGGTTAAAACATGTTAAAATCCCTATTTGTGTGGCAAAAATGCCCATGTTTCCTTTTCGGCCACTCTCCGTAAGGCCGGATCTGTTGCATCGGAGTCATCCCATGGTGCCCATGAAATGGCAATATGTGCCTGAGGGCTTCGACGAGAAGGTCTGGCACTCAGAAATGTGCCTGGCTCACCCAAAAAGCTAAGCCAACATGGCAAAAAAAACCAACAATCTATAGAGATCTATAGTATTTGTAGATGATTTTTCCGTTTTTTTAATAAAACCACCATTTTTTTCATCCGGGATTTCGGCATCGCGATGTTTGTTTTTCCACCGGAGAGCGTCTGCGCTTTTTCGCGGGTCCCGCCATCACCAGATTTCGGTGAACTGCCGAGGTCCGACTCCTGTTGGACCATCTGGAGAATGACATTGGGACCTACAAAGTCACGCGGCGGAGATGGGAATCAAACACCTGAAAGGACCTAGAAAGGAACTTCCATAGATTCTGTATAGAAAAATCAGATGATGTTCCTACATGTTCCTACTAAAAATGGTGGATGTCCGTTTTTAAGTTTGATTTCCAAAACGATCAGCCCATGCTGTCTTTGAATGACATGTCCAGCGGCAGACAGTGCAGATCTTTAAGGCCAGGAGAAGTCAGAGGAGATACGTCAGGCTGTGATTCTGGGCTCGAAGTTGCAGTGAATAAATTGGTATATTTCCCCATAGGGAAAGTAGTCGTAGGTCTGGGATTCTGTCATGTTGTAAATAAGTATAGTATAGAGATTTATCATTCTATATCACCGCTTTTTCGGGCCCGCACGTGTGAGGCAGAAGACACTGATCTTCTGCAACAGTACGCAGACAGCGGCACGGCCTTTACCTAAGTTTCCCTTGGCTCTCGTTGTTCTTCCAAGTATAGTCATTGAACTTCACCGAGGTCGAAAATAATGTTGTTTGTAAGCATAGACATGTATGTGCATATGTATGTATACAGTATACATATATATATATATATGACATATATATATATGACATATATATATGACATATATATATATTATGTCATATTCTGTATGTATACATGTATACTATAAGTATACATCTTAGATCATCTTAGTATATGTATACATACAAACACATCAAACACAAGACGGGTGGAATTATAGGCAGAAAGAGGTGATGGTTCAACGTTCGCCAAGGCTGGCAGAGCTGCTAGCAACGACCTACAATTTTCGCAAGGCGCGAAAACATGGCAGAGGAAAGCTGCTTGGATGCGAATCCGGATGTTTACATAACGAATACTAGGGGGAATTATGATCCAAATGACCCAACTTATGATAGCTACTTTCTTAGTTTGGTGATTTATTTGCTGATTCAGCCAGATGAGAATCATTTTGGGATACAAAGCAGACTCCTTCTAGAATGAATCCATGATTGTAGATTAGTTGTTGATATGGTTGGGAATCAATCCATGGTTGTCAACTTAAAGTCTGGTAGTTAGGATGTTGGAGTTCTTGATGCTAGTTGGTGTCAAGTGTCAAGCGATCTCATATCAAGCGGGTGATGGACGATTTACAGATCAGAGTTGGATCAAAGATCAAAGCAAGGTGAGGGGGCAGTAGTTTCGACGGCACGTCATTTGGGATCCAGGGGGTGTACATGAATTTGTTTAGCAATGGATGATATTCATTGATATTCATATTATATATATATATTATATGACAAAAGTGTTCCACGAAGTTGATATAAGGCAACTCACAGAATTCGGTAGTCAATGCCAGTCTCAGTGCCGGTCACCCAATCACCAGTGCTTCGGTGCGATGCAGATTGGCATCTTCGTCAAGCAGATCGGTTACGACGAGAGACGGAAGCGACTTCGGATGTTCAGAGAGGGGCGGATCACCCTCATGGTGTGGTAGCCCGGGAGGCCCTGGGCCAAAGTCCATAAGCCTATCCAAAATTGCTGCACCATGACGCACTAGAGGGTAGAATGTAACTTCTCATTTTTGTTGACATCTTGCACTTGCCCCAGTAAACTAAGATTTTCTATGATTTTCTAGATTACATTCTTTGGGAAAACCGTCCATGTCTGTGTTTTTTTCGGTTTCAGGATAGAGCCGCCAATCGAAACCACGCCTCGAGGTTTCAACTGATCTTCTGGCTCGCGGTATTGACATTCCAGACCTTGCAAATGTTGGGTCCCAAGCGGGCAGCACGTGATGTTCATTCGCGTAACCCAAAAGTTGTGCACGTTAATGGACCCACAAAAGTGATGATTTTTGATCATGTTTAGTACATCTTCTAGTACTAAGCTAATTATGCGATTTGGGGGTCAATATGGGTCAATACTTTTGAGCTGGGCTGCAACCGTTTTATCGTTGTGTTTTAGACAATCTTGGAAGTTTTGGCACTTTTTTTTCCAACTCAATTAGTCTGATTTCCATCTTTGTCATGTAGAATTTAGGGCAAGTGTTCATCGTCTAGACTAGAGACGTCTAGTAGATTTATATAAAGAGGTTGGCACTCCACTTGAACAAAATGTATTGATGAAATCTTCCAAATTTTGAATGATATCAGATTCAGCATGCTTCTACAGTATGTTCATGGCGTGCTTTTAGATACTCTGCACTTTTTCGAGTTGTGAGGTGGTTCAATTTGACTTTTCCAGGCGAGTTGCTGTTTGTGCTTCCGGCAATTGAGTGCTGTTTGTGCATGTTTGTGCAATGTTTTCTTTGTTCATTACCCTCTGGATATTTAACATAGCCATGGAAAATGGCCCATTTATTGATGGTTTACCTATTAAAAATGGTGATTTTCCATGGCTATGTTAAATAACCAGATGGTAATTCCTTCCTGTTTCCAAGGGCATCAGAAACAAGTGGCTTATCACACCAGTGGAAACCTTTTCCAAAGCTTTGCTGGCACAAAGCGCATGCGGTCGACAGGAACATTGTGAACCACTTGTTGCGCACTGGACGTGCTGCCGGCGAACTTGTCAGCATAGGCTGTGAACTTGTCATGTTCCCCGGAGGTCGTTGCTTGCTGGAAAGTGTTGATTCAATTGTGTTGCGCACATCCACATGATGTGGTTCCCTTCTGTGTCAAAAAAGAAACCATTAAAAAGATACCTAAAAAAAACACATATGATATGATTGAGACCCTACCTGACTCAGCCCCAGTTTTCCATTTTGGTTCAGATCCAACCATCGATGGACGGTGTAGCGAAGGCGTGAGTCGGGCGGGCTCGCGTGGACGAGTCCTGAACTTCTACGATGACACGGAGCAGGGAGGGAAGGAGCCACGCTGCCAGGAGGGTGACCAAGCGGAAGCAACAAGAAAAATCGATAAGAATAGGGCTTTCCATAGATATTAATGGGATAAAAATAGGGCTTTCCATATTTATGACTGGTTGGTGGTTTGGAACATGGCTTTTTTTTCCATTTCATATATGGGATAATCCTTCCCATTGACTAATATTTTTCAAGATGGTTAAAACCACCAAGCAGAGGGGGATACCCCAAAATGGATGGTTTGCAATGGATCCGATGAAAATGGATGAATTGGGAGTACCTACAGTATGTTACTGTAGGAAACCTCCAAATATGTGAGTTGCGCACCAGATGTGTCGTGGTCAGGGTGAAACGGAGCTACTATCGACATATCTTTCAAAACGTTAGACGTGTTAAACCATCTGGTTGTTGTTGTATGAACTATGGATGAACCATTAATTAATTGACCATTAATGAACCGTCATTCATCTCTAACAATGACCATTAAGAAGCATGAATGATTATGAATAGCAATTAATAAGCAGTAATAACCATCAATAACCATTATTAACCATCATTCATAACCATCAATAACCATCATTCATAACCAGTAATAACCATCAATAACCATTAAGCACCAGTAATAACCATTAATAACCATTAATAACCATTAATAACCATTATATAAGCATTATATAAGCATTATATAAGCATTATATAAGCATTATATAAGCATTATGTAAGCATTATATAAGCATTATATAAGCATTGTATAAGCATTATATAAGCATGATATAAGCATTGTATAAGCATTATATAAGCATTATATAAGCATTGTATAAGCATTATACAAGCATTATATAAGCATTGTATAAGCATTATATAAGCATGAATAACCCATGTGTTGGGGTTCCAAAAACTTGACGTCTGGCGCTCACCTCTTCGAAGCTGCAGGACTTGGCGGAGGCCATTCAGGAGTTGGGCACTGCGCCTTTGGACGGTCCGACCGCCGAAGAGTCGGAAATACGGGAATATCATGGGAAGTGAATGGAATATCATGGGAATATTATGGAATATTAATGGGATAGAAGTTCATGGAATGTCATTGAAGTTAATGGAAGTTAATGGAAGTTAATGCAATATAATGGAGTATAGTGAGGATATAATCAGTCATGATGCTGACAGGTTTTTGATTCGTTGCAGATGCATACTGTTGGGCTTCACGATCTGCCCTGTCGGGTTGTCTGAACAGGGGAAAACCCCAAGATCCACTGGTTAATCATAACTTTCCCTATTAGAATTACCATTTATATATATAATATTAAATGTATGTATATATATATATCCATTTATAATCATGTTTATATATATATATATACAATCATATATATATAATATCATATATATATATAGAATCATATATATATATATCCATGGGTATCCCCTGGTATCAGTTTCACACCCAAATAATCCCAAAAGCTTTACGGAAAGGGTAGCATGTGAAGCCCTGGGCATGGACAATGAGGCCTCTTCAGTCGACGTCGCGGTTTCAGGCATATGTTGCAACGAACAGAGGTCAGCAGCGAAACATCCTCGGCGTTTCACGGCAGTGGGACCGATGCGTATCTCACATGTCGTCATGACATATCATGACCACATAGCACAGAGATGTGTTGAGATGTGATGGAATAACAAATTGAGCGAACTGAATGTTCTCGTTTCTTGATCCTCATACTTTACAGCTAGGAATGTAGAAAGGTTGAAGAAGCTAACTTTCTGAGTCACTTGCCTGGGCGGCTATTCTCTATTTCATGGCATGCGAGCTTGATCCCCGTGTGGATCTCACTTTTGTAAGACTCCAAAAAAACTTCGTCACTTACAAAGACATCACATCTTACTCTTCTCCAGCAACAGCAAGAGCGCCTGGTGGAGGCCTTCCGACAGATGCTTCTGATGCAGGGTCTTCCGTTGCCGGCTCATTTGCAGGTGGACCGGAGAGATCTGCAGAGTCTGAAGTAGACTTGTGGTTCTGAGTGCCCCAGCCTATGATGTCAACCACAGGAAGACTTTGCAGCCAGATACGGCATCCATTTCAAGCAGCCAGAGTCAGCAAATGTCGCGGGGCAGACAGGAAGCTGTCACTTGAGTCACGATCACTTGCCGCCATGCCAGCTGCCATGCCAGCCGCCATGCCAGCTCTACTACAAACCCAAAATTGAGGGAAAATAGGGATGAGAATGGATGTTTCATGTTTGTAGGCACCTCACATAGGATAGTTATTTATCCCACTTGCCTATCCGACCTCTCAGCTGTCAATCTTTGCCAGGCCGCACCTTCCCTAGCAGGGCAGATCTCTCAAAGAAGCGAAGCCCAGGCGAATGGTCGAAAGGACTCCTTGGCTTCATCAACATGTTGGGCACCCCTTTGGTTTCCGTGTTGCAATGGAGCAGGAGATGGATTTCTGAATGATTTTGGGCCCCAACATCGGCACATTCCCCCCCATTCGGTTGAATAGGCTCTCCATTTGCCAAAGGCAAGATGCGCACAGATGGAGATCAGAAAAGTCTGATGGGGGTTCTGTTTTGCCCAGTTGGAAGGCCCTCTTGGAAGATTTGGATGACGACGAGGACTCAGATGACGACGATGTCGATGAGTGCGAGGCTGAAAAGCAATCTGCCCAAGGTAGGGTGTGATACCATTTACAAGCGACAAACATTAAAATTCAGATTATGGCAACGCAAACAGACATATGCAATATATAAATATGATAATAATAATAACAACAATAATAATAATAATAACAGTAATAATAATAATAAGAATAATAAGAATAAGAATAATAATAATAATTAATAATAATAATAATATATATGTAACATTATGCAGTGTAGGGAAAACGGCGGAGTGTTACTGTATGTTACTGTATGTTGCTGTAATCCATTGTACTCCTGTGTTGTCCCGCATGGTCCCTGAGGCCAGAAGCATTGGAGGACAGCCGCAGCAATGCATCAATTTTCCCCTTGGTCACAATGGGGCTGCTGGCGGCGTTGGTGAAAAGTATGATGGCAGATGATGGTTGCACCATCATGACTCGTTGCACCATACAAGAATCAAAAAGATACAGATTTGGGACGATTCGGGGTCAGTAATATCAGTTAATTATCAGTTTATATAGTTATAGAATATCAGAGATCAGAATAGATCCCATCCCAAATCTATCCAAATCTGATAATCATAGATCATTGATACTATGCTTCTGGACATTTCTGGACATACTGGGCATAGTCTTGGTGTCTCGTGCGGATGTACTGTGAGGGGTCAGAGCCAGAGATCTACAGCAGGGATTCCCAGCTGTAGGGTGAAGAATCTCTGGCATGCTTGAATGACATGAAAAAAGTGGCATGTGAGCTGGAGAAATCACCAAAAATCGTGTAAAATGTGTTCAGATCCAGATGTTTGACAAAGATGTGGGAGGAAATTCCGGATAAACATGGATAAACTGCATGAAACTCTGGGACGTTTCAAGTTGTTTACATCTTGCGAGATCCGATAAAAATTGGGGCGTGGCTCGACTCTATGCTGAAACGGGAACGCAGCCACCATCACCATGCTGGAGGTCAGTTCATGGATTCCAGCGACGCGGAGAAAGATGAAGATTTTCAGGACATGATTGAGGCGACCAGTTTTCTTTCAGCTCCTTCAATTTGCTTGATTTGGACTGGTACTATGATGTCTATTTCGGAGAATCGGAGAGCAGTTTAGAATCAATGTCTTGGTTCAAATCTCTTTGTGCGTAGACCACAAAGTCCAAAGTAATCTTCAAAGATGGGCAATGATTGAAATTGCTGTGGAAAAGGTCCCGTTTATAGATGGTTTACCCAGACATGGCGATTTTCCATAGCTATGTTAAACTACCAGAGGGTGCATGAAGCTTTCCAGTGCAATTTCGCTGCGAGTCGATTCAAGATGGAGATCCTCCTGATTCTTCAAATGAATGATGTTGGAAGGAAAATTATATTATATATATATATATTTATCTTAAATTATTATTAGATATAAAAAATTATTTTTAAAAAAAAACGAAAAATATATCATTATATAAATAATATCACAATATTCTATGAAAAATATCTAATATTAAAATTATGTTTAGAATCGATATAAATATTTAATAATATAATATAATATAATATAATATAATAATAAATAATAAATAATAATAATAAATAATAATTGAAATATATATATATAATAAAATTAATATAATTAATTATAATATATATTATAAATTAAATTTATTATATATTATATAATTAAAACATAATATATTATATATTTAAGATATATATTATTACATAAAATGGGACACCTATCGAAAAAGTGGGCGCCCCTGTCGGAAACCCGACATTTGTAACCGGAATTGATCCAATACATTATGTATTGGTGCCAAAAGTCCCAAATTTTTCCGGAAATTTCGGACGAAACCCGAATTTTCACGGAAATTTGGCGATTTAGGAATTTCCTAAAGTGATAAATTTTCCGGAAAATTGGTACTTCGGGATTTTGACTGAACCGCGAAATTTTCCCGAAAATTGGTGCTTCGGGAGCTCGATTTAACCGCGACTTTTGGCAGAACAACTCGCATCACAATGCCTGATTTGGGGGTACCCGAATTTTAGGACTCATATATTAATTAAATATATATGTATATTTTTTTTTGATTTATATATTTAAATATTTTAAATGATATATATATATATATATTTGAAATTATATATATATAGATATTTGAGATATAATATATTGTATATATATCTGGTTTAATATTATATATATATATATATGATTTTTTTATTTTTAAATATAATATTGTTGTTTTTGATATTTTATATTTGATATTTTATAATTGATATATATATATTATTTTTTTAATATATTTTTTGTAATTAATATATATTATTTTATTTTTTTTATATTTTAATTATTTTTTTTTTTATAATATAATATTATTTTTTGGAATATATTATATTTGTTTTTTT